TAATTAACTGGTCATTTGTACTTTTCATCTTCCCTGGTAGCAAGGATTTAGGTTTTCGAGGAAATTAGTATTTCTATTTCATATCATGTGGCCATGAATAATCCAATGAGCATCCATAATACAAAGAGTAATTGAGGGCATATAATTTGAATATGCATGGGATTACACATACTGTATCATTTTATTTTTTTGATCTACTTGTAATAGTTCTAAAACTAAAACATGAAAGGCCAGGCATGCAAACTGGCATGGTATTGTGTTACAAAACATTATTTCATTCTAGATACAATAACATGCATATTGGCATACTTCGTTTTAAAATAAGATTGTTATAACTCCAAGTTTTGCAAGTCACATGACCAATTCTTAGAGAGTTGATTGGTTGAAACAGTTGATATCAGATATGACAATTTGAAATTAGAAATAAGCTGTTTGTCTGGAGATGGTACAATTTCACACTGAATTCTAGCTTAATGAGAGGGAATTGAGATGGGGCATGTATCTGAGATGAAAGCCTGTGTTTCAAATAGTAAAATTCCATGTCTATCTCAATTTTTTTGAAAATGGCAGTTAGTACAAAGTTATTCTCACGCGACGATATGTGCAATGTTGAATGGTCATTAGTATCATAATGCTTGTTTAAGTTTAGTCTTTCAAATTTGTCAATGATCAAAATTATGAAAAAAAGAAATAGATCTTCTGAATGAAATAATATAAAATCACATACCATTGATTTTCTAAAGATAAAATTAAAGTTAACAATACAATAACATAAACTTTAAGGAAACAATTATGTTTAATTAACTTACATGTATATATGGGAGAGTCAACTGATTTACATTATAGGCAACATTTAAAACACAGTTTTAAGCATCAGTATCTTATTTCATTTTCATATCAAAAACAAGTTTAATGAGAGACTTTTGTTGTATATAAGTATTTAATAGGATGTGTTCACATTGACATTGCATTTAGTTCATATCGACTTACGTTCACATTGACATGTACAATAATGAATAAAAATTATAAATAATGTTAAATGGCTAAATGTTATGCTGTACAATTACTGGATCCGGAAAGTAACTCAGACACTATTTACTCAAACATACTTGTGTAAACATCATATATAATTAACAATGATATAAAGCAGACATCTTTGTTATCTTTCCATTGTTATTTAAAGATCATTAGCATAAGTTTGAAAGATTTTCAGCTCTATTGCCTAAGTACAGGTGGTAGGGAGGGGCCACTTAACTTCAATCATTCCTCTTTAAATTAGGTTTATAAGATGTACTGTTCTTGCCAATGTACTTCTATTTCTTTTAAGAGAATAAAGATAAGTCAAACTCATACTGCGAGCTTGGGTTATCAGGTTATTAGGAAAGTGTCATGTGTAGTTTCAATCTTTCCTGAGTGATTTTGTCAGATATATTTTTGTGCAAGATTTTTTAAATGATGCTAAGAATAGATAGAAAATACTAAATCTAAACTGAGGACTGTATAATTTTAGTAACTTCCTTGTGATATTTAGATTCAACTGATACTTTTAATATTAGAGTGCTGCTTTCAAAAGTGCATGTTTAAATAAATATGAAATGAATAAATCACATCCTCCTACACTTAAATTGTACTTTAAACAGCTGATGAGTTTTATTTTAAGAATTAATAGAAATGTGTTTCATAACTTAATTTACATTGTCTAGTTCCGCAAGTGATAATATATCACTCTAAGTTACTTCATCTATAGAACAAGGTAACCTAGAAAATATATGAATGATTGTTGTTTCATCGTGAGTTTGTGATGATACAACCTGTACGAGCAAGTAGACTCGAATATATCATCTCATAACTTTTCTTCATTATTTGATTCAGTAGAATTTTTTATCAGGTCTCTTAGCGATGGTAGTCATGGTTGTCATGGTACATATCTTGTGCTGGCCATTGTTGTCAAGGTGATTACTGTTGTCAGGGTAATCATCATGGTGATGGCTAGCAACATGCTTGAGGTAGATATTGAACATGACTGGAATGGATGTTTGCCAAAAGTGAATAATATCAAGCCTCTGCTGATTGCTAAACATAACCTATAAATCCTGAGTTTGCCCTTGGTGTCATGAAACTATGAGATGTTCTTGTTTTAGATGTTTATCATACCTATAATGGGAATTCTGCACTCTCTTGCTACTTTCATCCTTGTATAAAGTCGTTTCTGTTTTTGTTACTCAAAAATCCATTTCTTAGTTACGGATCTACAAATCACTTATTTGATCCTTCATAGGTTTATGTGATATTATTTATAAAGCAGACAATAATATTGACTGTGGATCTGTTACTACATGTGTATACCATTTAGGAAAAAGGATCCTAGCTCGTAAATAACATTTCATTTTTTCTCACATAACAAGCAAACAGGAACGTAATATGTTTTATCTCATGTAATGTTATACAGTGATGTTTATTCTAATGTCATCATGGCTTGAAGGTTTTCCTGCACCCAATGTTCTAATAACCTGTTGAGTTGTCCATTCTTACTGAACCACTGCTAATGTTTAAACTGTGCACCCAGCCAGATGTGACTTCTGAGCTGAACAATGATTACAAAGCTAAAAGGAAAATTAATTGAGATTTTTCTTTTTGACTTGTATGATGAAATCATTATATTATAACATAAATGTAGTGTAGACCATGTCAAATGGGTGCAGACCAAGATAAGGCTTCGTAAGTTGTGTAAGATGAGCATAATTTTGTCTTTTAGAACTGCATGCTTGCTGTTCAGCCTAGTTATCGACTTGTAAATCCAAAATATCTGATAAGTATAGATACATAGGTATACCTCCCTCGCATACACAGGTCACACTGTTCCTCCTCTAAGGAAAAACACTCATGAATGTAAACCAGAATTTTTTTTCTTGACATGAAAAAGTCAGGAAGTTCTTGATTGCTCGCAAACATTAAAATGGTCAGGGAAACACAAATATGTTGCTAGCCATGGTGAGGAAAAAAAGAGATTGATCAATGTCATTGTTAAAATCAAAAGCCCTTAGTCGGGATTTGTATACCCTGGACCCCAGAGGGTAGTACTAATAACAGACGAAGCTCTCTTTTAATGAAGTGAAATCAAACTATTGTCAAGGAAGACTAGAGAAAAGGAGATTAATATGAGAATGGTGTTTCTGTAGGCATGCACCATAGGGAAGTAATGGTTAAGTCATGAGGTAACCATATTGTTATCCTTTGGAAATAACAGCTCTCAAAATAACTGATAGATTAGCCACCCAGTTGCATTGTATATAGTCTCGCAGCAGGTCTTTACATACCCCCTCCAAGTATCTATTCTCTAACGAGTCTCATTGAAATAACGAAATGAAAACTTATTCTGTTATTCAGTAAATTTCCATCAATTAATTCCTTAAATATTGCATTAGACAGTTCAGCTTTTGTTATTGTAGACAGTTTAGTTCCAAATGCCTAGAATCAAAAATAGTTGAAAAAACAATAAGTTTCAAATTATTGATTATTATATTAAATTGATGACAGTCTCTGATGATTCACCGGCTTGTTGTTGTATTACAATCGGTTTTACCAATCAGTTTGTCATATCTGATGAAATTGGGAATTCAAATACAATTACATTTATAAGGGCAAGCACTGGATTAAGCGATCACCAACATAAGATCAGAGAGGATATTATGTAAGTAAAAATAGTATTTTTTAACAAAAACAAAGATGTATTGACCAATATTATTGATTATAGTGTTGCATTTTATTGGTAGAATGTATTTTGATGTATCAAAAAATGAGGAAGTACTTGTAATGACTATAAGGGTTTATATGATCTATTATTAGCATTTATGAATGGTTCATTATCAGAATTCCAAATGGTTTTATTGGTACATATTGTACCAAAGATCTTCAGGGTTTTTATCTCTATCAAAAGATGGCTAGGCCACAGGCTAAGGCCTGTCTCAAGTTTCCTGGTTTCCATTTACTAATAAATTTGTGGTTTTCCTTCCTTTCCGGGAATGTCATGTCTGTTTCTGTAAATCTTTGTTCCATTGTTGCCTTACCAACAATGTCCCATGTCATCTCCTTGATGTCATCTCTTTGATGTCATCTCCTTCCTTCTCAGTCTTACTAGTTTCAAAAGGTGTTATGAGTATCAGGATGGTGCTGGCTCATCCAGGTAGTTCAAAGAAGATAGAAATAGCACCTGAGGTTTTTTCTCTGAACGATCCAAGGTTTAAAATTTCATGTGAGTAGGAAAAAATGTGTAGAAAGGTTTTGGACCTCGTATTGGATTCATTTCAGTTTCCTGCTATTTGTGTACTGTTGTGGTTTCATTGATTCCTTTTCATATATGTCATCTCTTACTATTTACTTAAAATCTTTTTGAAATTAGAACAACATTGAGGTTGACCATTCATCTGTATGTGGTACATATTTTAGTATCTAATAAAAAGTTCTTGTCATATCCTCCGCACCTTTAAAGCACACACTTGAATTTTAAAACTTGATCTTGAGATACATTCTGTATTTGAGTAATACTAACTCAATCAAACTGACCAAAGGTCTAGAATATACCAGAAGGAATACTGATATATACCATTATATTACAGTCAGTATAAAGTAGAAGATTCAAATGCACAAAATGTGTTTAGGTTGAGGGGTAAGTCTGATATATGGTATTTACATTTTCATGTTATTGGTATTTTTACAGTGTTTACTTTGATCTTATGTCAAACAATATTTCATGTTGAAGAGTAAACAAAATATATGACATTATATTAGATAAGTACCCTATTTTATATTTCTATTTTAAGAACATGAAAAAATTCAAAAGTGAAAGTAAAAGAATGTTCAGTTGTTTCACTATTTTTAGTGAATTTTCCATCATGGTATTGCTTATGTTATTCATATGTATAACTATTCACCGCCCCCCCCCCCCCGCCACCTACAATAATCTGATTCTTAATTTCATTAAATGTTTCTATGTGTTCCAGAGGGTCCAACATCAACCATAGGTAATGCCCAGCAGAAAGGGAAACATGGCGCAAGATTACTATGAGCTGTTGGGGATACCCAAGACTGCATCAGATGCAGATATTAAAAAAGCGTAAGTACAAATAACTTTCCTAAAGGCTCAGAGACAAGCACATTTGGTAGATGAACTTCTCTTTTAAAGAAACCAAATCAAAGTATTGAAAACAATAAGATAGCTACTATATTATTTATGAATAAAGTGATAACTTTCAAAATGTAATTTTAATCCTAGTATATCTGAAATAAGATGCTCTTAGCCCAGCACTCAAAATCAAAAAGGAAAACTTAATTTAAAGATGGGCGTTTTATTGAATAGATATGGAATGCATGGATGTATGCTTTCTTTATGTTGCCCTGTGGTATTGATCAAGCACATCAAGGTTTGACATATTATGGTAATATACTTTTTTATGATCAACCTGAATTCAATAGACTTCAAGTGAAGTGTGTTATTTAATACAGTGTAGTCTAGATACACCATACATGTTCATTAAGTTGTAATTATAAGTCTACAATGCCAAGACAACATTTTAAAGCTGCCACCTATACCAAGCAGATTTTGAGAGTAGAACAAATAGCAAAACTAAATAACAACAAAAACAGTATGAAGTTAAGGAATAAATAATGATAGGCCATTCAATATGGTGAAATTCAGCACGAGTTGGACAGAATGTTGTACAAAGCACGAACCGAAGGTGAGTGCATTTGTACTAACATTCTGTCCAACGAGTGCTGAATTTCACCATATTGAATGGCCTATCATTATTTATTCCGATTCAAACATAAATATTAGTAAAAGCCGTGTCTGTGGAACGGGCATGAAGGAAGAATACGCATGCTGTCAAGATTCTGAAGTCGGCCGGAAAAATTTTAGAATTTGTTTGGGCTGTTCTATTTTACTCCCCGTTTTAGATTTTATACGGTGTATAAACTTGAAGTCAGCCATAGTTAAATAGTTAGAGTAGTTACGGAGGGAGTAAAAAAGAACAGCTATCCCCGGACAGAGCCCCAGATGTGCAGCTGAGATGTGACGTCACTCAAAACAATGCAAATTGCAGATTGAATAGAGCATGGTCATGCATCTATGGAGAATTAGAGAACGTTCTATATTGGCTATGCTGCATTCTGATTGGTTGAGAAATTCGAATAAAGCACGGTCATGTTTGAATGAACAATCTTTCTACAATAATATAAGATTTGAGTTATCATCATTTGAACACTAGCCTGAGATTTTGTAAATATTTTCAGAATAGATGTTGCAATATGCACCAATGTTTGATTTTGACACATGGGGATCAACTGGAAACATAAACATGATATTAATGATGAATTTATAAAAATAAATCTCATTATATCATGAAAAGTTGTAATAAAAAGAATATGCATTTTAAAACTGAACACAACAGGCTGTTAAATAATGGCTCTATTATAGTGAGTTTACCATTGATACAGCATAGGTCATCTATGCTCATCACAGGCTCTCGCAGTCATTAATTAGGCAGAACATATGTAATGATGACACTTATGAATGCTATAAACTGGTTATATTATTCAGTGTGTATGTGTGTAAATGAACATGTACATATTAAAATGTTGCTTTATTAAATTCTGTCTGATTTTTTATTAATTGTGTTTCAATCTACAGGTTATGGTGATTTTGTTTTGATATTCCTATCTGTATACCTTGTGATAAGAGTGGTCATACAAATGAATGGTAAAACAATTAAACGATAAAATGATGTATGTACTGTACATGTATTGGTAATAAAGATAAAGTCACATTGCATGTCCAGCTGACCAGCTCTTTCCAAGAGATAATTAACAAACTACTCGTGTAGGGGATAATACTTAATAAAGATGTGTTGAATTTTCATATGTTCGGCATATAGGGCTGCCATTTGAACTCTGCAGACAACCATTATATATATATCTTTTATTGACTCTTTAGATGTCATGACCTGACATATTAGTCATTACAAAATGAAATTTCACAAAACTACACTACACTACACTAGTAGTATACAAGGTTGAAATATGAATTCTGCAGAAAACCATAATACAAGGTTGACATATGAACACCCACACATTCAGCTGCCAGGGTTGATGTTTATAAATTGTCAAACATTAAATTATAATATTACCATGTACATGTTCAAACCTGGTTACCTGCCAGGTTGTGGTAGCACTGATCAGCATAGAAAACCTATAAATATATCTTGACTTATATAATGATGCTCTCTTCATCGAGAAGAACAGGTTTTCTCTATATGAGATGTTTGGTCTGAACTGATGGTAGATTTTATATATATGTTTATGGTATAACTGGAGCTATTTTCCTGTATTTTTCAGGATTTTATTCAACCTGAAACAGCCTCTGTATGTCTTTTTATACTTCATGGATTTCATTCCAAAATGTCTTGATTAAATGAAACACCTAGATTAACTCTAAAAGTGCTCGGTGACCTTGATCCTGTAATACCTTCTTGACCTTCGAAATTTACTTACCATTTTATTTGTGAATTAAGGATTTATTACAATACCATGTTTTGATCTATCCATGAATTTGTATGCAGAGACTGTACCCATAAGGCAACATGGGAAAGGTTACAATGTTACATGGAATCAAACAACAAACAGCTTTTGAAGCTATTGTTAGTGCTATAACCTCCTCTAGGGTATATAACTGTCATTAGAGTTAAAGTGTGACATTTTTGTGAAATATTGTTTTTGTATATTTAGAAAATATTATCAATTTCCCATATGGAACATGCAGGGGGGGGGGGGTATTAGAGTCCTTTGGGTTGTTCATTTAGGGGTTTGTACTTCACAGTTTTGGCTTTCTGTAAGAAAATTGAGCACATATTCATGAATATGTTGCCAAAAAAGGTAGCTGTAATTGTAAATTAACTATTGACTAGCAATGCATTTCAGTCAACCTTAAATACTGACTGCCCTATGACCAATCAGAATCAACGTTTTTGTTAACTTAAGTACCAATAATGAAAATTGAGCTTATATTTGGGGCTTTATAATGAATAAGAGCTGCAGTTTGTAGGTTAAATTTGAACATGGTTTTACCACTCAGTCCAATGAAAACCAGAAAAACTAGATAAAGAATACATGCAAATTATGCTGATTTGAGCCAATTCTTGAAGTTGTGCACTAAACTGTATAGCAACTCTAGTTTGTAGGCTGTATTGGAAACAGATGGTAGGCAAAACCTGACTTGGTTCATCTGAATGTGTTGTTCTAACCAGAAATAAACAGCTTTGCCTCTAAACATTTATATGTAATTCTAAATTCTCTATCACCCTAAGATAATTCTTCAGTGCAATATGTGCAGTGGGGAATTTAGGTATTTTCTGTGGAAAGATAAGCCAGATAAATTCTTTGAAATATTAGACTGTAGAAACGTAAGCGTGAGCTGTGCATTGTCATCAATGACATCATTGCATGGAAACTGAATTACCAATGTGTTTGTTCATTGTTTCATTTAAAAAATTAATGTACAGTATTTGATATTTATAGTCGCTTTGACTTTTTTACTGCTTACAATTATCCTTCTCATTTAACCATATTTTCCAACATGCAGCGTACTATTGGTATTATTTATGACATCATTTCTTGGAAATAAAAGATGGATAGGGCTTACAGTTATGAAAGAAAAATCATGTGAATTGACAGAGCTTGTAAAAGTACAACACAATCAATGGTGATTTGATCAATCTTATAATACCTACCAAGCGATGAAATCTGTGATAATTGTGGTAATCGGAACTGCTTTCATTTGTGAACTATATCCTATTTGGATCAAACTGTCATGTTTTGTTAATGCTAGTGTTTACCTCTAAATCCAATATCAAATTATTATTTATGGCTCGATGTCTTAAGTAAAAATGTCTCTTAAGAGAATCACCCATACAAATAAGTGAACTTCTAAACTGAACAGTTGGATAGGATACAATTTACCTCTTTGTCTCACCCCTTACCTCTTTTGTTGAGGATAGGATACAATTTACCTCTTTGCCTCACCCCTTACCTCTTTTGTTGAGGATAGGATACAATTTACCTCTTTGCCTCACCCCTTACCTCTTTTGTTGAGGATAGGATACAATTTACCTCTTTGCCTCACCCCTTACCTCTTTTGTTGAGGATAGGATACAATTTACCTCTTTGCCTCACCCATTACCTCTTTTGTTGAGGATAGGATAATACTGAGGTTTAACTCGATATGTCACTTTACTCTTACTGCTGTATACACACATTCTACCATGTTGTTTCCTAACATTCTCAAATAGCGCTGAAATGCCAAAGAAAAGTTGGTCCAGATTTATGGGTGCAGTTTAGGTACACCTTTAACAGCACACATAGTACATAAACTATATACCAGGTAGTAGCTTGTGAGTGTAGTTTACATTGATATAATCATTCAGTTCTTGGTTACTAAACAACATTCCTGTATGACTATTACTAAGTACCTTCATTGAGAAAAACAACTCATGATGATTATGTACCCATTTATGTTTCCAGTTACAGAAAACTAGCTCTTAAGTGGCATCCTGATAAAAATCCAAACAACAAGGAGGGTGCAGAGAAAAAATTCAAAGAAGTTGCTGAAGCATATGAAGTTTTATCAGACAGTAAGTCAGAAGTGCACTCCATCTGATTTCCATGTACATAATGATTTCCATTAAGTCAAGCAAGCTTTGAAAGAATAAGTATAAAACTGCCTATCCAATTTGGAGAAATTAATAAACAACAATTGCATATTTATACATGATTTTAGCATTCATGGTTACAAATATACATGTACACTGTATAGTTACAACGAGGGTGATGCCTACATCTAAATAAATTTTTTAACTTGTAGAAAAGAAAAGGGACATTTATGATAGATACGGCAAAGATGGCTTAAGCAATGAAGGCAGGAGTTCTACTCAGGACTTCAACTTTGGAAACTTTGGACATGATTTTGGAAGTCACCAAGGATTCCATAGTTTCCACTTCAGAGATCCCTTCGATGTTTTCAAAGAGTTTTTCGGTGGACGCGATCCTTTTGAAGATATGTTTGGCAGAGGCTCAGGTATATACATGCTTAGTTATTTTCTGATTTGTATGAATAATAAGTTTTATTATTTAAATTTCATGAGATTTAGTTTGGTTTTATTTGAATTTAAGTTGCAATATTCCTTGCATGCGTTTTCCAAAGCTAACCAATAAATGATTTTTTTGTAACTATTTTAAATTATATTATTTTGTAACTGCAAAATAGTGCAAAATTATATTGTAACTTATGTTTTGTTTCTTCTATCTTTTGTTTTCAATCTTAAGGTGGGTCATGTAGGTAACTTTAGGACCATTTTGATCATGTTGTCAGTATGCAAGTCTACATGTAATATGTCCAAGTTAAACTCTACTTGACCTACCTTAAGAGCATATTAACCATGAGCACAAGAGGATGAAATACCCCAGAACTCATAGATGAACATATCTCCATGTTAAGATTAACCTCTATAAGTTCATGTTTACATGGAGATAGGTTCATCTGGGGAATTTCTCTTCTTGAGAACTGTATTACCTTAACTGTTTGCTGCTCCATCTTATGATTCATTTCTCCATTTTATTCACTTTTATATAACAACATTCCAGTGAATATGTTAAATTTAAAGCACTCATTCTACAAAAATGCATTTCTTACATTATTTACACAGTTTCTTTTTTATTTTCATAATTTACTCTCATGTAGGATATTTAGATTACTTTTCTCCATGCTGATTAATCAATTGTAAAATAACACATAACTGGCACCCCTCTGCAAAATTGAAATTTTCAAATTCTTGACTGGTTGCACATAGATTTTCAGCTGGTGGAGCAAGTTTATTCCTTGAGGTTTCATCAGAATCAGGGATTTAGGGTTCAAAACTAAGGTTGAAAACATGATTGCCACAATTAAACACATTGTGAATCAGTCCATTACCCAGAATAAAAGGTTTTTACCATTGACAGTAAGGCAGCTGTGAGTGTCAAATCCTGACTGACATCAGCCAAAGTGAATGAAAACAACAAGGAAGATTAATAGATTTAACAAGGAAAATAGCACGATTCCTCAAAACAACAAGCAATTTTGATGAAATGAACTGTAGAAAAATCCCTTGTTGCTCATGAAACCTCTGTCTTCAATTTCACGGAAATAATGTCATCCTCTATCCTAAAAGCTATCTGGTGATTGGCCTCTTGTGTTCTGCTTTCAGGTCGCAGTGATTCAATGTTCCAGGATTCTTTTCCAGGGTTTCCTGGGTTTCAAGGTGGTTTTCATCACAATGCATTCTTCAACTCTGGGGATCCATTCGCCTCACACCAGCAGGGTAGCGGGTAAGTTATCTTGTCTTAATATGCCCATTTTATTTTGTCGTTGCCTCATTGAAGAATTGAAAAATGTGCATTTCTAGTATCATGGAATATGACATTACCACCAAAGGATTTCAGCACATTGATGACATGATTCAAGTAAGATTTTTAAAGAAAGTAGATTTTTACATCCTTATTAACTTTTCATAAGTGGTCAATATCTGAATTTACGTAAGAACTAGAACTAGATTTAATTGGATTGATCACACAAAATCTGATGTTATCATCTCTGAAAACAATTAAGTCAACGTTATCTTGTTGTAATAAATTGAATGGAAATGTTCATTTGTTTGACTGAGTTTTGTTTTATACATTACATTTAATAATATGTTAAATTCAATTTTGCCATGCAAATAAATTGCATCTAAATACAAGAATGTTGTCTTTTAGCTCAATTGGGCATTTATCCATCTTATTAAGCTTTTAGACAATGCATGTAATTATTCAATTTTAATAATACATTAAAGTCGAGAACTTAAGATCTGAGCTTGTAGAATGGGCATGTGCTGAAGAACCTGAATTAACTCATCTGCTTAAATTGTGCTGTGTACTTGTAACAATAGAAGCTTTTAGTTTTAGTATAGACTGACTTTTTGCACAGCATGGGATTTACACAGCATGGGCAAGGAGTGGTGAAACACATCAGTACTGATATCATGGATGAATCTTGATTTTTATTATGTTCAAGGATTGTATGACGATTGGCATATGATTTTGAAAATAATGCATGCTTACAGACATAACCATATATAGCTGTCATGTGGACATTTTCGAAAACATAGTGAATAACGATTCATGATATTCAGTTGCTTTTACGATGTTGTCATAGTTACAGTGTATCATCTTGGTTTGGAATTTCCTGATCGGATGAAATTTTGGAACCAAGGGTGACGTTGTAAAAGACAAATGAAACAACGAATTGTGATTTCTGATATCATCAGAAATAATCATCCTATGATAGGTTTTATTTGGTTAGTTGTCTAATTTTCTTACTAAAAGATGAAGTTTTGTTAAGTCTTTCTGAAGCATCTTGCAAGTAGTTAATATATATCATAGGTCTAATAGATTATCTTTAATTTATTTATTTATATTTTGTAGGGGCTTCTTTCGTTCTTCACTTACTATCCCAATAAATATACGATCTGCGGGGACAGCTTCGAGACCAATGATACGGTCTGTTTCATACTGCTTTTTCAGCTTATTGTATCAAGGCCCTTTTTCAGAGTCTATGCCTTTACCATTATATCAACTTTACTGATGTAAAAGTATATGAAGTACTGATTGTACACAATATATTTCATATCATAAGGTTCTTTCTTGCTATAATAGCTTCTGGCCTATATGAAGTTCAAAGTTCTTGGTTAAAATGCGTTTTAGTACTTATTTGTATGTGGATATTGCAATGTTAAATTGATCTTTCTCAGTAATGCTAGTAATATCATCTTCGCATGCTTGGTCTTCACTGCGTTCATTGACCGATGGGAGCCAAGTGAACAAAGATGAGTAATATAATATTGAGATTTTTGCTTTGTTTAATCACTGACCATGCATCGTTTTCATGACTTTTTTGTTTTGAATAATTTGTTAATTAGTTGATGGTTGATACCTAGCTCTCTAATGAGTGTGATAGCCATATGTTGATCAGAAAGTGACTCATGTTGCTATGCAACATCAAACAACAAGAAAGGCACTTCAATCCCATCAGGCCTTACCACCTATTGTTGTTTCTATACCACAACAAAAAAAGTACCTTAACCCAATCAAAGATGCCTTTATAAACTTAAGTCTCTAATCAGTATAAGGCCCAGTGTCTCATATGTCTAAGCAACACCAAATAACAAAAAAAGGCACCTCAATCCCATCATTCCATCCCTGTCTCAATCACCTGTTTCATTACATTTAACACATGTATGACACTGGGTATTTATGTACTTTCCCTTGTTATCTTTGTTGGTTTTGTATTTAGCTGCACCTCCTTCCTATTTCTGAACCTTCTTCATATGAGTTCATGGCCTGTGAAGTGCTATCATCACTTCATCTCAAAACAACATCATATACATTGTGTTGTTTATATAGCTTTTTATGATATAGGATTTCATTCTGTTGTTTGATTAACTGAATATCACACATCGGTGTGGTGAACATATTGATTTTTTGGTTGAATAGGTGTTCAAGGAAAAGAAATCTCTTTTCCCTATCTCTCTTCATAATAAGAGACAAGATGTTAATCTGAAATTCATTTTTCTTGGTGGGCAGGGACCAACGTGAATTCTACGTATAGCTAGGTTGTGCAAAATGTAAAAGAAAGCAATTTTTACTTCAAAAATAAGTGTTCATACATTACAAGGAAGGAGTCAGTCTTAACTGTAAATTGTTCAATTCTTTTACAACATTGATGTATTGGTCTGATCCCTAAGTACTAAATATTCTTAGCTCTACACTCACTCTTTGCTTTGTATTAATTTAAGTAATTTGTAGACTTAATCTTTGTTTAAGGAATGCTTACAGCTTATTACAGGAACACGTTACACCATTTGGGCATGTAACCCATGTTGTCACACCATTTGGGCATGTAACCCATGTTGTCACACCACTAATGCATGATTGGACTACTAATTCTATGCCTTGGATAGAAGGGGTTAACATTAATGGAAGGGGTTAACATTGATGGAAGGGGTTAACATATTGAGAGGAGTATTCAAGGCAATAATATAATTTGTGGTAAATGCAGTTCTAATCTAGAAAACTTTTTTGTTTATGGGTTTTGTCTCATGTTCTTAACCCATAGTTTGAACTATTCAATTTATCACATTTGGTCTGCCATTTGCAACAAATACCTGAGATGTCTCACCAGCTGACCCCAGGGAAGGTTCAAGGTGGGATATCTCATCTTCAGACTGCTAAGATTTAATGTAACAAGTTTCCTATGATTTGTCAATACTCAATCTGTCGCAAAAGTTCTGCAGTTTCAATTCATGCTTCATCCAGCTTTAAACACTTCTTGTCAAATGATTCCAACTGAACCACAAATCTATTGCCTTGCTTACTGTATATTTATCACTACTACCAGGAATTCGATAGATCATGTTGATGATGTTTTGATTTTAGTCGCCAAAGAACCAGACAGCAGCCTCAACAGCAACAACAGCAGAATCGGCAACGTATAACGGGACCTGGATTTGGGTTTAATTCATTCTTCAGTAACCAAGACCCATTTGGAAATTTTGGGTAAAGACTTTGCTCAACTTGATGTTAATCAAATGCATTTGCAGTCAAAAAATATTAAATGTACTGCCTCATCTGTGTATATATACTGTTGTATAATATTGTATAATGTTGTACTATTGTTGTAAAATATTGTACTTTGGGGCCTTGTCCAGATGTCCATAGTTGTACTTGGTCAGTAATTATATGTAATTATGTTTGGAGGAATCAAAAAGATAAATTAATTTTGAAAATTAAACTATTACTGGATTTTCTTGTAATGATGCTTTATTTATTATTTCAGAAGTATCTTCAAAATAATGTTAAAATGTCAATTAAAATAAATTTTGCAGTAATCTGGATAGTCCGCAAAATGAGGAGGGTTTAGTTATATTAATGTACACATTTATCTATTATCATTATCATTTACCTATTATCATAACAGTAGACATTTGGATATGGTCCCTTAGATATCGCATTGTTATATAATTGTATTTAAGAAATATAGACCAAAGAGCAGGGGTAATATTGTCGAATACACCCCGCAGGGCTAGGCACAATGTTTTCTGTACCCCGAACGACTGAAGGGAGTAAGGGGTTCGGAAGCTTTTGTGCCTAACCCTAAGGGGTGTATTCAATGATATTACACCTGCTCTGAGGTCTAAATTACGATTCAAACATGAAAACTCACCAAAATGTTTCGAATATTCATTATGGTCCGCCATTTAATTACTACGGTCCGCCGTTATGACGTCACACATTACAAGTAATACCAGGGGCATAGTTCGCGAATATACACTGGGTGAAATGTTGACTTTATTTACAGTTTATAGAAGGCGTGAATACAGTCATGTTTGAATCCTCATTATATTATATTATTTTATATCAAATGATGTATGTTGCTTTGTGAAAATGTTTGTACATATTTTAGAAAGATAGATAAATAGATAGATAGACATTGTCTGTTGTAGAAGTGTTCATGTGTAGATCTGAGGAAAATGATCATGATCTTTGTGACTTTCTATTTGAGTAGTTGTTTTCAGTGTGACATAGGTAGATGGCCCTTATGATTTACATGTACATGTATATGTTTATACTTTGTTTAAAAATGTTCTGTACTATTCTACACATGCAATTTTTTATCATTATAATGCCTCAGTTACATAAACTCTATGGCTAAGATATGGCTGTCATAGTTCTTCAAGATTGGGAAATACCCATGGTATCCTTAGAAGATATGTTGTATGCTTTAATGTCACAATGTACAACTTATCCCTATTTTAACATGACATGGGTAGTCACTGTAAAATTGTCCATAGCATATGTGACTGCTGCAGTTTGTGACTGTGGAAATGCTAGCCTTATAGCAAATGTGGCTGAGCATAAACATGTTAGTTAAGCTATATGCATTGTGTTGTTATAAAATAATTATTTAGCACCATTAAACAAACATTTAGGATTAACCCAAATGACAGATGATGCCCATCCTGTTTTAATTGATTTCCTACTATTGCTTTGAGTTTCAGCGCAGCTTCATAAGAACAGTGTTTAAAGAATTTTAGAAATGTAGTATTCTGTATTTTGTATTTCAGGAGTCAAACTTCTTTCTCAAGTTCCACGTTCAGTGGGCCAGCAATGGGGGGAAGCTTTAGATCTTCTTCAACATCAACAAAAATAGTTAATGGCAAAAAAGTTGTCACAAAAAAGTAAGTGATGCATTTTGAGAACATATTCGTTTTGTCATTGTGTGAGTCAGTGATATGTTAACCAAAAAGGGTGTCGAATTTCGTATATGTATTTTCAATGTAGCTAACAGAGATGAAACTATCATACAGTTGGGGACATAAATAAATGACAGGTGGATTTGCTGAAGTGAGGATTTCCCATGTTAAAAATAAGAGAATTTACAAGAGGCCATAAATCAGTGGATGAGATTATACAAAATGTAAAATATACAAATTTTAAGGGATATGTATCTAGACAATATTGGAAATTATGGGCTTTCAGACCACCATAATTAGGAAATGGTGATCGAAAATCGACCTGTCATTTATTTTTGTCCCCAACTGTAGCACTTGATCTAAAAGGTTTATTTCTGTAATATTTCATATCTAATTATCCGTTCTTTCTTTCTTAAAATAATTTTCTCTATTTTTCTCTTTATGAGTTCACTGTATATTCCATGGCCTACTGGTTTGTTGCAAGAGGTAGTATTATAGATCAGGCAGAACAAGACACGTTTTATTTAGCTCCCACATTTTAGCAAATTTTGTGTTGAAATAATCTATAGACTTGAACAATTTGTGTACAGCATGATACCTAAAGTACTGGAGAACCTCATGGATTTACTGTTTCAACAAGGACAAGGATTTATAGACTACAGAGTAAGAGGAACATCTGGGGAAACAACAGTAACATTGAAATTTTCAACTAGCCATGACAGTACAGAGGTCAAACAAATGAACAGCAAGGTCAAGCGTGATAGAAATAGGATTAGCCGTTTCAATGAACAGTTTGACACAGCTGATTCAGGAAACAATACACGGAGTAGTTTTACTGCAAGTGGTCAATCAAGCATGGATTTAAATCCACAAGCAGCAAGTACACCTCATTTGAATGAAAAATCAAGTCAGGTTAAAACATTTCCTAGTCAAGAAATCGAGGGACCGTATCAAATAGCACAGAGACGTTTGGTGGAGAACATGACACATTCAACAAATATGAACACACAACAGAGCAACAGTGATCATTTGGAAACCTTAGAAGTAACAAGTAGTAAACCAGGATTAGAACCATTATCCCAAACAGTTAACATCAATAACATGGACAAACCTTTACATGGAATTATATGCTGCAATATCAATGATCAGGAATCACAAACAGAGACAGGAGGGATTAAGGTAACGCTTAAGTTAATCAAAAGTACAAAAAAAGGCAGGCATATTTTTTTGACTAAGTCACAAGATTTTGTTTTCTGTTTTCCTTATAAGTGAATGCATTTCCTGACTAAAGAGACATGTCAAAGAAAGCTTCACATTTAAACACATTTTTTTTAACGATGAATTGGAGGTGCATGGGTCCCTAAAGCTAGCATGGAAACCGTGAAGTGAGGATAACTTTTTAAAATTTCAAAGATTAGGATTGCAATGGAGACACATTTGTAAGACTCCAAAATTTCCACAAATCATCTTACCTTACCAAGGAACACCAAAGGAGCATTAAAATGTGTACTTCATGCATTGTTAGAGTATAATAAAGCTCAAACCAAAGTAAATTCTAAATATTTCATGTCCATCATTTTGTTTGCTGGGACTATTTTCTAGTCCAAAATAATCCTCACTCATGTATCCATTGTTTACATTTAAAAAACATCAATTATGTATCTATCATGATTATTATACTGTTATATATAAATTATACTAGTGATAATCCATGCCACTTGGTGAAGTCACAAAAACTTAAATGAGGATTACAGGAAGTCTAGAAGTAGTTCCGGCAAAAAAATGGTGGACATGAAATATTTATCAGAAACTATGGTTTGAGCTTTATCATACTCTAACAATGCAAGAAGAACACATTTTCATGCTCCCTCGATGTTCCTTGGAAAGGTAAGATGATTTGTGGAAAATTTGGATTCTTGCAAATGTTTGACTGTTGCAAGGCTACTCCTTCAAACTTTCAAAAATTAGCCTCATTTCACGGTCTTAATGTTAGCTTTGGGGACCCATGCACCTCCAATTCATAGTTATAAAAAATGCGTTTAAAAGTGAAGTTTTCTTTGACATGTCTCTTTAGTCAGGAAATGCATTCACATATAAGGAAAACAGAATACAAAATCATGTGACTTAGTCAAAAATATATGGCTGCCATTTTTTTGTACTTTTGATTAAGTTAACGGTTACCTTAACCCTAGAAGCCCTAAGGTAAAAATAGTCACACGAACACCTAAGGGGGGGTCAAAAGGGCACCCCCCTTGTAAAAATTTTATTAGTAGAGCTAGGGTGTTCAAACTTTTTCCACGTATACTTCATTCAATTATATACAACTTGGTGTAAAAACTTTTACAATTACGATGATGTAAGATTGTGTAATTTTATTCTTAAGACAATACCTATGGTAGAATTACTGCTAGCTTTTTTCTGATTTTGTCTACCGGAGCTGATGATTACATCATAATTAATTAATAACAAATTAGTAAAGCTAGGATGTTCAAACTTTCCCAAAATATAGTTCATTTAATTATCTACAATTTGGTGTAATTACTTTAACTACTATGATGATGGAAGATTGTGTAATCTTATTCTAAAGATAACATGTATGGAAGAAATAGTGCTAGCTTTTTCCGATTTTGTCTATTGCAGCTGATGATTACATCATAGTAAATCAATTACCCTATGTACAATTTTGCTGATTTTTTCAGAAAACATTTGTTATATCTGTAGCTACAGCTACTGAAAATTTGAAGACACTGTCACATGCCAATAAAAGGTTATGGGGAAAAAACTTAACAGGGGGGGTCATTTTGACCCCCCCTTAGGGCTTCTAGGGTTAACTGAGGATGATTTGTCTGACGAGGAAGAAACTACAACAGAGGAATTTAATGAGATGTGCCAAGCCGCTTTAGAAAGATCACTCCTAAAGTTTGACAGCATGTTTAAGCTTGAGACCAAGAATATCATTCTAAATAATTAATCGCTCTTTTGGATTAAACAAACAGCATCTTCTTACTTACACAGTGAAACCGTGCCTAACACAAATAAAGGACATGATACAGAATGACACACTTATCAAAGATGATATAATTTTAAACAATAATTGTAACATATTGGTTTCAATAAGGTTTTGACTTAAAAGGGGCTTGAATTAACGATACTCCCTATAGAATAGTTACATGCTTGAATAATAGTCAATGAACAGTTGTGCCATTAATATCTTAATATTCCTATCTTATCAGCAGGTAATTTGCATAGTATAACATCTTCTGAGGTATCTAATGACCGTCTTAAGTTGTTCTGGATCTCCAGATACTCAGGACAAGTTTAGATATAGCGCAAGAAGATGAAGATTGCTCTGTATAATTACATTTTATCTGTTTATAGCCACATATTTTTTGATTTAGGTCTTTTGGCTTTTGATGCCCCTTCTAGTTATATTTTATATCAATAAATGAAGTAAATTTGAATTTGCATTTCAAATTCACAGAAATGCTCTGATGATCTTTAACGTATTTAAAGAAGCATTATTGATTACTTATATTACGTAATATATTACTTTTAAAATGTACATAGTATGACATTATCTGAGGTATTTAATAACCGCCAAGTTGTTCTTGGATTTCCAGAAACATAGGGCAAATTTAGATACAGCAAATGTGACTATGGATACTTTGCACATTTTATTCCTAGTATTTTGAAATATTGATGCCTTCAAAGGTTTACAAAATTGCTATTTCCAGATTCAACATAAATACCTTATTGTTCGATTGATCTGTATATTATAGTCATGAATAAAACTGGAATAAAAAAAAAAAAAAAAAGGTTTGTTGCAAGGTAGCTGCACTGCGCTGCAAAGTTCTATTTTGATTCTCAAAATTAGTTTTGCGGCTCTATGTCATCGACACCATATCCAATAGATGACATTATCTACAATTTTTGTCTATTTATTGCGAGGTAAATGTACTTATAAAACAACTGAGGGCATCATATTGTTTCTGTATGAATGAAATTGTGATGTGTAATACGAGGAGTTATTTTTGGTGATATTTAATTTTTAAACTTTTGTTACATTTCCAGAGTGGTAGAAAATGGGATAGAGACAGTTACAGTAGAAGAGGATGGACAAATGACATTAAAGACAGTCAATGGGGAACCACAAGCCATTGAATATAGACATTAACATATATTAATAACATACATATATACAGTACATCACATATACATTGGGAACACTCTACAGTACAGTAACACATGTCTACTAGGAATCATATAAGATGTATACTTACCGGTGGAACATAGAGAAATTATAAGTGCTACAACTGAAATGACAAACTGGAATAGAACAAAGTGTAAATGAAACTCAGAATGGAAAATTTAAAAGTGAGAATGAAAATTGTCAAATATGAACTCAAAGACCGGGAAACTGAAACAGTGGTTAAAGGGTCATATTCAGGATATAAATTTGCACATTCCATTCTTGCCTGGGAGGTTATTTCCTTATATGCTCATTTTCAGCCTGGATATGACCCTTTAAATCAAAGCTCTTTGGATAATATTAAATAGAGTTACTGCTGTAAACAGTCGTGTAATAACTTCACTGGTTACAGTATCACATGTATTTGTTTTAATGTTGCATTGCCAGACTTGTATTGCACACATATAACATTTAATATGTTACTATTAAGTCAAAATAGTTTTACTTTTTACATTTTTATTGCCAACCCCAAAATTTATACTAAAAATTTAGTATTACACTTTCTTGATTTCTTTCAAAAATGAATGCACATTACACCTTGTAAAGTGGGAGCAGCAATGAAAAGTCTTCAAAGGAGAATTTATTCTCATAAAGGTATTCATTTGGTTCAATTATTTCATTTTTCCTCAGCAGACCCTTGATTTAGTTTTCAAGAGATTCTAGCCATGTGGAAATCAAGAGATTTAATTTGTATTATGGGTACTCCTTCAGTACATTTTAAATAAACTTCTTTCCATTGATGTTTCACTTTTGATATGACATTAATCTATGTCGTCAAGCCACGAATGAAACATCTGGAATCTCCTATGGAGTCATGATTTTGCAGAGAAAAGAACGAAGTCACTATCATACTAAATGAAATGCTTGGAGATTGTGACGAAGGAGCATGTCGCAAAATAATGCAGATTTTATCAATGGAAAAACTCAGATTCCATATTTTTTTTCTATTGTTTCCCTCCTTCATATGGTGTACTATGCATTTATGCAATTCAACAATCACCCAATTATGGAATTACCTTGTACGATAATGTTTTTAAGTAAGGGTTCTTTGACATGCCATTTGTTAGAAGTCAGTAGTTCCTAATTATTTATTTCTCAAGTATTAGATTTAAATAATTTTGAGACCAGAAGCATACATGTTCATTTAGCCATTTAGGCCTATTGTGTAATTTGCACATTTGCTTAACAGAAGTGAAGACATGGCTTTACTAACAAAGAACACCATGATTGTCAAGTTATAAATTGCTAATTTGTGAACATAAACTGGTGAATTGATGAGCTAACACAGGGTTAACTGTAGTGTTGATTGGTGAACTGTAATTGTAATCGAGTGGACTGTTAACTTGTGATCTGTTCAAGCAAATGTTCGATGAAAGCAATAAACTGTGAATTGTTATATGTCTGTAAACTGGTGAACAGTCGATTGTTTAACTGTTGACTGGAGAACTGTTTATTAGTTGACTGGTGAATTGATTATCTGTTGACTGGTGAACTGTTTATTAGTAATTTGTGAGACTCCACCTGACAATCTTGGTGTAATATGTTAGGAGCTGTATCAATTAGATTTTAAATGTGATAAAGCTACAGCTCATATTGGGCCCACTTTATTTTGCAGTTTTAGTTATACATAACCCAAATTAAAAGTATAAGTATTAGAACTGTACATATGTTGACTCATCTATTCTAAGCATGTAATCAATGGTAATCAGTATAACTTGATATTCAGACTTTTAACTGTAAAGATTTGGATGTTGAATGTATGCAAACCCCTATAAACTATAGACATTATAGATAGGAGAGGTTCACCTTTTGTATATCTTGAAACACCCTATATGTATTATTTATATATTCATCCATCCATCCAATCATTTTTGACATTTGAAAAAATGTTATGTTACACTCAGTCAATAGAGGCCAGGAGTGTATGAGAGAATTTCATCATGAAAAAGTTCAGAATTTGAAACTGTCTTGTGATTATGTAGTAGAGAATAATGGCTTCAATGTGACACATTCAGTTCAATTCAGTCACTTTCTTTAATAGTAGAAGTCTTGCATCATTTCCTGCAACCCATTTCCCTCACTCTCTCATATTATCCTTCTTAGAAACAAAAGCCTTAAGTGGAAATAGAGTAGCAGGGTGAAGAGGGTTGCAGAGATTTGATGCAAAAGATTTTTAGATTTTGCCAAATCTTAATTTGTCTGTCATACGTGATCAACATGTACAGTTCTCTCCATAAATGTGGGGTCTTTTGTTATAACAGATATCAAACATTGTTGCCTCAAAAGGTTATAAAGAGCAGATTCAAAAGACAAATCATTTGTGGTTTTATTAAAATTTTATTTTTGTTATTATTTATTTTAAGTCATGCAATTTTCAATAATTGCTTTTAATTCATACACTTTCAACAGAAGTACATTTGATGCTACATGAAAATATATGTAGCTTGAATTTGCCATGCTCATTCATAGTAAATGTAGGACATAGCCACGTGTATATACTATTTTGTAACATGTATATAGAGATATATTTGAAATATACACAGGTGATTTTATTTCATGTTTTGTCTTGTATTATCTCGAGAAAGTTAGAGGTGATCACAATTAGAGAGTTCACTCAGGTTCATGGATTGTTGTGCACCGAGTTCATATCATTCTGTATGTGCAGAAAATGGAGTAGCAAATCCCAACGAACCCTATATATTCTTGAATCTGTAATGTCACAATGTAGTTATTTACCATCTACTCTATCCCTGATCAAATTGGCAGATATTAAAATAAAAGACATACATTAGAGATACATCATAATTTCCAACGATTTAAGCAATTGAGTGACCATTTAGGGTCAAATCATAAAGACAATACAATATTGAGATTTAATGTAGTATAAAAGAACCTTACTTTGAAGAAATCTCTGAAATACCATAATTGTGATCTACTCTAAAATTCCTTCAATTTGAGTGTAATATTATTAAGCCATACTTTAAATAGATCAGGAAATTATTGTGTAATTCCACATAAGGTGGCCATTTTGAAATTTCGAGGCCCTGATCAGAAAAACGAAACAATATTTGCAATCTACTCTAAATTGCCTTTCATTTGAGTATAATATAGCTGTTCTTCAGAAAGATCTCAAAATTAACAAAAATTCCTGTTTTTTCCAACCCCCCATATATCGTTCCTGGGGTCAGGGTGAAAAACACAGAAAACATGTGAAAGACAGATGCTCTGAATATGGTATCAAAATTTCAAACAATAAAATATATAACTTTGATTTAAAATGAAAAACTTTTATTCCCACCATTTTTAAAGCGGCAGCCATCTTGAAAGATTTTTCGCATAAAACTATTTACCAATATACATCTTTTCACCAAATATGAAGAAAATCTGTCCACTAGTATTTGAGTAATTTTTTGGACAGACTGACGGATGGACAGAGGGCTCCAATATATCCCCACCGAGCTTCATTTGTTGGGATAATGAGTGTTTGACATCATATACACAATCAAAGGTATGGTTGTCTATAAACATAAAACTGGGTTATCATAAGATGACTGTAACTTCTGGTGGTGACATAAAAATGTGACCAATGTATTATACCTCAAAACCTACTAGTAATTGGTGAAAGGGAACACAATTATTCAACTGATATGAAAATATGAAATAACAAAAATGGAACTACCAAATAAGTGAATTTGTGTTTATTTATATCATTCTTTTATTTGAACACTTACCCACAATTTTATATTTACATGGTCTTTTAGTTGACTCATATACAAATGTTATCCCAGTTCTGATCTAATCACTCTTACTCTGTTTTTGATTACTCAGCAATACCAAGTTTGAAATTCAGTATATCAATCAGAAGTTGTTTCTTCTATGGTGGAGAGTATGGCTCAAGAGGGGGGGGGGGAACTGATACAGAGCAATACTGTACATTCAGGATTTCAGGGATAGGCCCCGCTTGTAAAGGTACAAACATTATTTACATAGACCCCATATATGGTGTAATTGTGTAAGTGTAATCCTGAGAGGAAATGTAGCCAAATATTGTTTGTGTGGTTTAGTTTTATAGTATCCTGACAGATAAATTCTCTGACAAACAGTTGTAATGTAATTAATAGTACAATATTAAATTTATATTCATAAAATAGATGTAAGTAATTTAAGCATTCACTAAAATTAGTCACTTCTACTCCTTCTGTGTCTTCTTTTATCTCTGCGATTGTCATGTGTTCTTTCTTCAGAACTGTCTCTAGACTGATGTCTAGCTCTCCTTGAATCAGGAGATCGTTCTCTATGCTTTCTATCTCGTTCACTTGAATCGTCCCTTCTTCTGTCCCTACTTTTACCATTCCTTTGTCTATCTCTCGAGTCATCTCTTTTTCTGTCCCTTCTTTTGCTATTTCCTTGTCTTTCTCTTGAGTCCCTGCTGGATCGTTCTCTAGAATGGTCCCTTTGTCTATTGCTTCTATGTAAATCTCTTGAATCATCTCTATAACTTTCCTTTGTTCTATCTTTTGTATTTCTTTCCCTTGAATTGTCTCTCACTTGGTCCCTTCTATTTCTTTCATAAGAGTCCTCTCTATTTCTGTCCTTTCTAAGTCGTCTTTCCCTTGAATCACTTCTACTTCTGTCCCTGTTATCTCTATTATTGTCTCGTTCCCTTCGACTTCTATTATCTCTGTCTCTTTCTTCGACTCTTTTTCTGTCTCTTGTGTCTCTGTTGTTTCCATGCCTTGAATCTTCTTCATGTCTTTCCATTCTCTGTCTATCAGCTCCACTATGTTTCTCCTGTTTTATCTTCCTTTGTGCTCTATCATCCTCACTGTCATCTGAATCATCACTTGAGCTTTCAGAATCACTTTCCTGTTTCCTTTTCTTCTCTTTCTTCTGCTTCTTCTTTTTCTTAGGGGATTCATCTGAAAACACATATAGTGTTATAGTTAAAGGTTTAATTATATAGAAGCTATTTCGGATAATTTAATTAAAACAAGACACGCATTTATAAATATGACACTCTGACGAATAAAATGGCCCTTAACAGACCTTGGCACTAGTCTGGTTTTGCATCTGTAAAAATTTCAAGTTGAATAGATAAGCAGTTTTCGTGAATTTTGATAACAAGATTTATAAATTGTCCACCCAGCTGCCCTCAGACAATGTAGCATTTTTCAGAAAGCACAGAAAGTTATACTGGAATTCTTATAATATTGTAAAACAGTAAAAAAACAGCTGTATAATTTAGTTCTATTCAAATATTGGTTTGTTCTGTTTTTTTCATATTCTTCCTTGTGAAAGGAGTGTATGTTTACCTGAATCAGTATCACTGTTTTTCTTGCTTTTCTTTTTACTCTTCTTCTTCTTAGATTTTTTCTGCATCTTTTCCAGCTTCCTAATATATTGAATATTACACATGTTAGTGAAAATAGTATGAGTCAGTGAAAAACAGGCTTAAAGTAGTTCAATATAGTTAGCAAAGATAATTTTTATCAAATCATTTCTCAATATTTTTGACTGTGGCACTAGAACTGTAACTAGAACTGGCACTAGAACTTGCACTAGAACGGACTGTGAAACTATATCTTTTGTGGACTTTACATGACATTCAGGGACATATCATTGCTTTATCAAAAATCTGCATTTGGGAAACTCTGTACATGCATCGCAGACACTATTGATGCTTCTCCTACCAGAAATATCATATCTGAAAAACCTTCAAGATAATTTCAAGATATTTTTTATGAAATTGAATAACTGCATGCTACATATACATGACTTACTTGAGTAGTTTTTTCTTCTGTTTAGGAGTGAGGGATTTAAAGAATGCAGCCTGTTCATCTTCATCATCTGAATCACCTGGAACCATTTGCTGAAAACATACAAAAATATTCAAGCAGTTGAAAAGACTGAGAATTACATGAAGTTGTCTTTTCAAAAGGATTCAATCGTTTTTTAGTATTATCAATAAAAAATATATCTCTGAGTATATATTTTGAAATAACTTTTAGGTAAGGTTAATGTTTACAATAAACCAGATGTGAGTAGATAGTTACCTGATTAGGATCCATTGAGTTGATCCTGCGTCCCATGACTGCCTTAGTGAATGCCAAACCATCTTCTTTCATCATACCAATTAGGTCTGCAGGATTGTTACCAGCTGAAATTTAAAATTTAATTTAGACCCACATGTTCTTTTGTAACTATTGACACAGTTCATTAAGGAATCAAGGGCGAAGTCTACGTCTATGAAGTAGTTATGGACTTTGGTTTGCACTTTCACATGTAAAGAATAATGAGCCAAAAACATTTGTAATACTTACGTGCAGGAGGTTCAGCAGTGATGTTCTGTCCAAACAACGGACATATCCTGTCTGTATTCACATGACCCCATTTGTGGCATTTCATACAGCGCACATTGCGAACCTCAATACCAAATGGCTGATCCCTAATCTGATCATCATCTTTTGCATAACTGCAAAATAAATTAGGAATGTATACTGAATAACATGTTTTGATAATATGAAAATTGGAATTTGCTGGGTCAATCAGAGTTCTGATATTGAATAAATTTTTGAATAAACTTTTGAATACTTTTAGCTAGTTCTAATAGGTTTTATGGTACTTCAATATCTGAATTTATTATTTCTATGCCGCGATACTCTTTCTCTCATTGGTCAATTAGATACCATGTGACTAAAAAAATATAGAGGTATTCCATGTCTCCCTGCTTAGAAAACATGTGAAGAGTGTATTCACCGACAGTGTCGTCATTTTTAGTGAATACCACTATATATTCAATTAAAATGACGTCACATCACTTAATTCCATGGGACTAAATCTTGAAAGTTGTAAAAACATGTGTTGGTAATCTGTTATACTATATACAGTATTTATTAATTGTACACTTTACCTCTCTCTGGGTGCTTTATATTTTCTCTGCCACTCAAACTTGTACTCTGGTTCATTGTCCTCCTTTTCACGCTCCTTATTGGCACCTGGAGGTGCGTCATACATGAAGCTCAATCCAACACGAGCCTTTTCATCTCCCAACAGAGCTCTGAAATATAAAGTTAACAAATATGATATGGATTATCCTATCAGAAAGTTCTTATCAGCAGTCATTTCAATGGTGTAATAACATACATAAAAAAGTCTTGTTTTGCTTCACAAGTGGTCAACTTAACCCCCATCACCCTCAAAGGAAAGTGCTGATGAAAACATTGAAATAACCACGAGGCTTATAATATACAAAAAACATTTACTTGAGGCCATACTGAGACACTCTTCAAAATATGTACTGCTCATTATACCACTTTAAGTCCAATTACAGTTGTATAACATGGGTCTATAACAACGATATACAGTGGAGAGTGGTATATCGTCATCGTATACAACTCCTTCGTATACACTCCAGCGTATACCACTGTAGAAGTGCATTCTGGGAACTAATGAATAAAAAAATCATGAAAATTTTCATGATTTCCTAGAATCAAGTGAGGTCATAAATGGTTCCGGCATGATTGCTAGAATCAGGCCATGTCCTAAATGGTCCGTCAATCGAGATCAACATCAGCATTATTGAGTTGGCTATGGGATATTTTTATGGTTTTTAATTGTTATGATTGTGTTCGAATCAACTGTAATTGAACTTAGAGTGGCATAATAAGATTATATATAACCTCATAATATACCTCACAATTCAAGCATGTATTAAATAGAAGAATTGATAAAAAGTTAAGCTCTAAATAGATGGCTTGAAATGATTTTTATCCCTACCAGATGACACCTCCAAGATTCTGTTCATAGTCATCTGTCCATTCTATGTACATAACAGCTATTTGAATAATGGTGCAGAATTTGTATAAACAAACAAAAATGGTACATAACCCACCTGTTGTTCACAACATCTTGTTCCTTTTCATATTGAGATTGGAGTTCTTCCTGTTTCTTCTGTTCGTGTTCAGTTTTCTGCTGAGCCATCCAAACCTAAAATAATTGAATGTACTTAAAGTCCCCGTCTAAAGTTTGAAAATATATTTTTATCATTCATTTGCTATCTGTCAGGACTTAAAAAGTGATTTTAGAGATTTTTGAACAAAAAAATTTTTTTGAAAAAAAAGTTGTGAGCATTTCATATCTCAAATATTCAAATTTCCCGCCATTTTACAAAAAAAGTTGAAATTTCTTAATCATCAAATATTTCTTAATGCATTTCAAAAAAGATTATCTTTTTAACACCAATGCAAAGATTGAACAAAAGACACACTATTTCAATAATAAAATGTCATATTTAATGGGCCACTTCAATGTTTTAGCTTATCAAAAATATTTTGATACATTAGTGATGTCACTTTCGATGTCAATCTTTTCTAAATATGCTAGACTTTCATAAAAAACAATGTTGATTGTCTAACCAGGTTAAAAGGAAGAATAAATTATGTTTTAGATATCATTGTACCATTGGTTTCTATGAGAACTAAAATTTTGAAATGCATTTTTCTCAGAACCATTTTCATACACTGATAAGTTCATTTCTCGCTTGTTTATCAACGGATTTTCTTAATTTTTTCGGCAAAAAACATGGGAGGATGAATGCTATGCATTGGTATGAATTGTGGCTAATTAGAAGATATGAGTGACCTCTAAAAGTTGGTTTTAAATAAATTCACAAATTTTGGAACAAAAAGTCTATCAAAAACCACTTTTTGAAATTAAAAAAAAAAGTTTCACATATCACACTTTGATAACATTGGGTAAGACTACAATATAAGCCAAAGTGGTTTAAACTTTACATGGGGCCTTTAAACATTAGAAAGTATGGAGTTTAGCATACAGTTCAGCATAAATGTTAGATACAGAATAACAAGACGCTTACAATACATTCCAAATATTACTATTTCTTTATAGATTTGTTATCAAAATGTAGATTTCTTTATAAAACAGACGTATCTGTGTTGTATTTAGACTTGGAAGAAATATGGTGGACATTAATACGATTTTCAATTTGTTGAACTGACCGAATGTAGTACTGAACGAAATATGCAGCCGAAACTTCTCGATATTCTATGAGATCACAAACAGATTGCAGAAGAATTCTTCTTTTTGCTGCATTTAATAGTTTCATTCTTATTTATTAGCCATAATCCAGCAATGGAAACATAATATAAATACAAAGTATGATACAAGGAACAAACACGTAAGTGTTTTTTATGATGTTTATTCATTTGTCAGCAAGTATTATACATTGAAAAACCAGTGTGTTTTTTCTGTAGTAAATCACCCCTTTTTTGCATTGGACCTCGTCTGGCCCAGATCTACGACGTCGGGAGTAGATAACTGGGCCAGACGGTGTCGACTTTTGGCAAGCAACCGAAGATACCTCAAGAAAAGCCGGAGATTGCAGAAGCTTTTCTTTGCAAACGAAGTTGGCCGAGGGTACCACGAATGTGAAGAGGATGTCTCTAATTGGTCAAAAATAGGGGCTCGGCATTCTCCGTCAGATTGAATCTGCAAAATTCGGTTGTATGGCTTATCTTCGGTTGTATGGCTTACCTTCGGCTGCATAGCCCAACCTCGATTGATTGGAAAAGATGCTGTCCCGTTTGGTTAGGCTAGAGTCAGTGTCACGGCGGAGTAAAAAAACACGCAAAAAACTTACCCTTTTTATGTTGTCGAAATTCCCAGGATGGAAGAACTTCTTTGTCATGTAATTATTGTATCCTTTCCCCATGATTGCCTTGTTCAATTCTACGCACGTATAAAGCAAGAAAACACTGTATTTGAGCTTAAAAACAAGCAAACGTATGAAAAACTAAAACTACGATTTTCAGAAATCTTACGGAGTGAATATGGACTGTGTTGAGTGATTACCCTACTACAATCACGAAATTCTTGAAGTTCCATTACACAGGTCACTTTTTGACGTCGCGTAAGGTACGATCATTGTCTACTCCGAATAATGTTTTCCGACCAAATATTGAGTTTCGATGGTTCAAAAAACATACTCTTGGATAGCAAGTTGCTACTGATAGTACGGGTTTTGAATCTGAAGGTCTTGGCTTGGATTCCATTATTGACATTATTGGTATGTTGAATTTAGCACATTTCCTAAATGTATCAGGTCTACAGCTGGATTGTTACACTTCACTCTACATTGATTATTTTCCAGGGGTATCCTTTGGTCTTTACATGTTGTTAGTGGTGGGATCAAAGTGTTAATTGTATATACAGGGTGTCCATAAAGTCATCACAGACTTTTATTGTATTTGAAGACTTTATAGACACCCTGTATATCTTTTGCTCTGAGTACTGTACTTGAGATGTCACCAGCCTATGCGTAAAACCAGGTCTGGTTCTGGGTGTGGTGCTTTCAAATAGGGATAGTGTATGACTCTGGAAACTAAGTTGCTAACTAAGCACACCTACATGTATCTTAACTTTAGGTAGCTCTTTCTGTATAGCATCAATCAATTCATCACGATTCCTTCCATATTGTGATATACTAAGCTTGGTTTTGGAAATTCCCTACAGACACCCTTGGGTCATTACACAAATATATGACATCAATGATTTCAAAGAAGGGTGCAAAACATTTCTCTAATTCTCAACTAATATTACATCTGATATTTATAATTGTTTGCGCCCATTGTCTCTTTTGTAAAATATTGGCTATTTCTAACACATTCTATTTTACTGAAACTATGATGGATGCCACATACCATGGCAATTTTGTCAATTGTAAAAAAGATATGTTGTTTGATATATGATAACTTAACAGGATGGGGCAAGAGTGAACAAGAAACAAAATAACAAGGTTTCATTTCATAATAAATTAACAATCACAAAGTTGTAGTTTTATGTAATATTGCATTCTATTTATTGCATAATGTATATTCTAAATGGCTAAAATCATACATAAATCTAACAGTAAAACAAAACATTAAAAGCAGATAATCTTTAACAAAATCACACATGGTTATTGGTTACCTTGTTTTGATTCAGAAATCTGAATAAAAAGTATGCATCAATGGTTTAGTTTTGCATATGGTCATGTGCTCCCCAATATTATCTTTCATATACAAGTATGATGGATATATTGTATTACAAAAATATCAGAACATTGTAAAACAAAAATATACAATAGAAAAATAGTTGCAAATACAATTCATGGACGGATTGAAAAAAAGTTGCAAATACAATTTATGGACGGATTAAATGACATGTTTATAATAATTATTATAAACATGTAGAACAGTTTCATTATATATGAAGTAATATATTATGAACATTACCATGCATGTACTGGATTTGGAAGTAAATAAACATTTTTAGTCTTTCATTCAGTTAAGCTATACTTCAGTCAAGTACACACTTTGCTGTCCAAAACCTGTGAAATTGAACACTATCATGATCATGTAAAGATGTTCACATTGAAAGGTGTTCACATGAAGATTTTCACATACCAAGTTTTAATTTTTTTGTATGGATTTCAAGTGATCTACTGACATTGATATCAGATGCCAAAGTTACGTTTTAATTTAATACAAAGACAGTTTGTTATGAATACAAAATGCACATTGATTTGCACACTTTAAATATTTAAAAGTCAAACATTATGATCACTTTAAATATAGGGTGTTCATGAAAACTCAATTACAATTAGAAATACATGTGCAAAGCCTGTGTAAAGAGACTTTATGGACATTTCTAAATGATGTTAGTTTTCAAAGGTTTCTGTCATTCAAAAATATTACTATTACTAAATGACATTTTTTACGATTTTCTGTGAAATCAAATAATCTTTGGTGCATCAAAAGCATCTAAAATATCACAGTAATGTTGGTGTACATTTGTATATCAGCATATTATCTTCTATCAGAGAAGAATCCACTTAAGTCATTCCTCCTGTTGGCTTATTTTCATGTACCAATGGCTTGTGTTTGTGTACTGCATTTTTATACAACTACAAATTGAATTGGACGGATTGGGTCAGATATAAGCTGATGACTATGGTCACTCATACACTGTGAATCCATATAGTTATTAATCGTAGTATCCATTCAGAGATGTTCTCATGCAATGTCCATGGCTATTTTTAGTTAGTCTTCATTCTTCACAGACCCCTTATCATCATCATCGCCATTCTTCACAGACCTCCTATCATCATCACTTTTCACTGACTTTCTGTCATTGTCATCATTATCTTTGATCGACTTGTCATCATCTGGAAATGGAACAATTAAGAAGAATTAAATTTAATTCATGTTACTAATTCCACAATCATAAGAAGAAGTATCTAAATGATTAACAAATTCTTCCAAAATTAGAAATGGAACTTTGAGGATATTTCAGAAAGAACATTTTCACATTGATTCACATTTTTTATATGTGATCTAATTGAGAAGTGCAGTAATCCCTCTTTAAAATTCACATTTTTGTTAGGAAATGCTAACGGATCAAAAAAAAAAAAAAAACGTTGCAAAAAGAGAACATAGTTTGCAGCTACATGTACCTATGCGTTTGGGGAACCCTTATTGTTGAACAATCAGTTAATTTGAAACACTTGAGTCGTCTTTGTTCTTCTGGATGTTATCAGCTTTATAAAGAAATGAAGAAAAATTAAAACAAGATTTGCAAAGAAAAGAAAGTGGAACTAAACAATATATGCTCTATAAACTAAATGTACATCTAAGTCTAAAACAGAAAATTCGAAGGTGCAGGAATACACTCAGACAGTTAACTATAGTGCAAGTTTTGCGAAATAACAAATTCAATTTAACACTATAACTTTCAAAGCTATCTAAGTAAACAAATGGACTAAAGCAACATTATTAACATTTGTTGGACTTAAGCTACAAAAACCCACTTTTCCTTTAAGCATTTTACTAATTCTCTTGCATGAAATTTCATTTCTTCCGTGTTACTACCTTTTCCCGAGTCAGCAGTTGTCACTGTATCATCTGGATTAGTCACACCATCTGTGGGTAAACTATGCCTTGGCTGATTTTTCTCAACACTTGCTGCTTTTACAGCAATATTATCTGCAGAGGAATCTTTTTCTCCATCTGTTTTAGACACACTGGATTCCTTATTTTCAGGACGTTCTTCATTACTTGTAATGTTTCTTGAAGTTTCTTCTATACTTGCGCCTCTAGGACTTTCTTCATTAGTAGTCTTGTCTCTTGGGCTTTCATCTTTACTAGCATTGTCTCTTGGACTTTCTTCTTTACTAGCCTTGTCTCTTGGGCTTTCATCTTTACTAGCATTGTCTCTTGGGCTTTCATCTTTACTAGCATTGTCTCTTTGACTTTCTTCTTTACTAGCCTTGTCTCTCGGGCTTTCTTCTTTACTAGTGTTGTCTCCTGGGCTTTCCTCTTTACTAGCCTCATCTCCTGGGCTTCCATCTTTAATAGTCTTGTCTCTTGGACTTTCTTCTTTACTAGCCTTGTCTCTTGGGCTTTCATCTTTACTAGCATTGTCTCTTGGGCTTTCATCTTTACTAGCATTGTCTCTTTGACTTTCTTCTTTACTAGCATTGTCTCTTGGACTTTCTTCTTTACTAGTGTTGTCTCCTGGGCTTCCATCTTTAATAGTCTTATCTCTTGGGCTTACATCTTTACTAGCCTCATCTCTTAGGCTTTCTCCTTTAACAGCCTTTTCTCCTGGGCTTTCTTCTTTAATAGCCTCATCTCTTGGACTTTCATCTTTACTAGCCTTGTCTCCTGGGATTTCATCTTTACTAGCCTTGTCTCTTGGGCTTTCATCTTTACTAGCATTGTCTCTTTGACTTTCTTCTTTACTAGCCTTGTCTCTCGGGCTTTCTTCTTTACTAGTGTTGTCTCCTGGGCTTCCATCTTTAATAGTCTTATCTCTTGGGCTTACATCTTTACTAGCCTCATCTCTTGGGCTTTCTCCTTTAACAGCCTTTTCTCCTGGGCTTTCTTCTTTAATAGCCAGATCTCCTGGTCTTTTGTCTTTAATAACCATATCTCCTGGGCTTCCATCTTTAATAGCCATATCTCTTGGGCTTTGACCTTTACTAGCCTTATCTTTTGGGCTTTTTTCCTTACTAGCCGTGTCTCTTGGACTTTCATCTTTACTTGCCTCATCTCTTGGACTTCCATCTTTATTAGTCTTGTCTCTTGGGCTTTCATCCCCACTAGCCTCATCTCTTGGTCTTTCTTTTTTAAGAGCCTTGTCTCTTGAATTCCCTTCTTTACTAGCCTCTTCTCTTTGACTTTCATCTTCAGTAGTCTCATCTTTTTGAATATCTCCTTTGCTAGCTTTGTCCATAGGACTTTCATTTTTGCTAGCCTCATCTCTTGGACTTGTCTTTTTACTAGCTTCATCTCTTGGGTTTTCATCTTTAGTAGCATCATCTCTTGGGCTCTCATCTTTGGTAGTCCCATCTCTTGGGGTTTCTCCTTTACTATCTTTGTCTCTTGGGCTTTCATCTTTGCTAATCTCATCTCTTTGACTTTCCTTTTTACTAACCTCATCTCTTGGACTTTCATCTTTAGTAGGATCATCTCTTAGGCTTTCTCCATTACTAGCTTTGTCTCTTGGGCTTTCATCTTTTCTAGCCTCTTCTCTTGGGCTCTCTTCTTTAGTAGTCCCATCTCTTGGGGTTTCTCCTTTACTATCTTTGTCTCTTGGGATTTCATCTTTGCTAGCCTCATCTCTTGAGCTTTCCTGTTTACTAGTTTCATCTCTACGGCTTTCATCTTTAGTCGCATCATCTCTTGGGCTATCCTTTTTACTAGTATCATTTCTTGGGGTTTCATGTTTAGTAGCATCATCATCTCTTGGACTTTCACTTTTAATAATCTCATAGCTTGGGCTTTCCTTTTTATCAGCCTCATCTCCCAGGGTTTCTGCTTTTCTAGCCTCATCTTTTGGGCTTTCATCTTTAGTAGCCTTGTCTCTTGGAATTGGATTTTCTTTTTTACTTGCCTCATCTCTGAAACTTTCTTTTCTTGTTTTTTGTCTTGAACTATCTGTCAATGTTGAACTACTCTCATTGCTCCCTGAACTGTTCACAGGACTCTCTCCTTGTCCTTGTGAATCTCCAACTGAGGTAACTGAATTTCTTTGATTTCTAGAGGCTGCTTTCTTATATCGTGGTGGTACTGGCCTTTTATTAGACTTCCCCTTTGGGGTGTTGTTAATAGAGCTATAACTTCCATCAGATTTGTCTCTTCCACTTGATTTAAGAGTAGAATTACTATCTGAGCTTCTTGTGCTACTTAAAGGACTGTCATCTGCATTAATGTTGGTTTCATTATTAGATTCAATTTTATTCTTAGGGCTATCAGGTTCATCCAAACTTAACCTAATGTTTCTATGACTACCAGATGCTATAGAGCCTAATGCTGAAGAACACACAAAAAGAGAAAAATTAGAAATAGCATAAATAAAAAGCAAACACAAATATCCAAGTGTTAAAAGCACACACAAACAAACAGTGAGACTAAAATGTGATGTAACAAGTGCGTTACAAGGCATAAAAAATAATATGTGGTTAGATAGGCATTTCCCAAGTTCTAAGCTACAAAGTTGTAAAGACAAGACAAGAACAGTCAGACAAGTAGAACAGTGTATGAAGCCTGAATTCTCCACAAGGGATAACTATGGGGCTATACAGGGTTACCTTTAGCTTCCTCTGCTTGTTGAGTATCTTCTTTACTAGGGTCATCATCTTTAGACTCTGATTCTGAAGGTTGATATAGGTTATATACAAAGGAGTTATGTTACATTTACAAATCAAATGAAATAAATGTTATTTGGCAAGCCACAATAATGAAGCAAGTGTAATAAAGATGAGCAATCGTATATGACATTTCTACTTCTGCCTTGTTAAAAGAAGTGCAAAACTTCTTACTATGAACCCAAAGCAAAATAAGATAGTCAGAGAATCGTGAAACTAGTTAGTAGGATGTTTTGTTAGAGAAAACACACTGAATGTTCGGCAGCCGAAAATGCCACCTCAATATTCAACTTCAAAGCTCAACCCCCTGTATATAATTATTGAACGTACCTTTATATCTTGAGTTTCCACTGTCGCTAGCATTGCTGTTCCTCCTACTGCTGGATTTATCTAAAATACAAGGTGGAGATGATTAATAGAAATCAATTAGATCCTGTAATAGAGGAGAAATACATCAAGGCATAATCAAACAAAATGAGCAAAGAGGGAAACCAATTAATAGAAAAATATTGAAGAGCTTGTTTTGCAAAGGAAGTTTTCATCCTCCAAATAAAGTGCTCTAAGATCACTAAATTCCTGAGTATTTTTTAACGTGAAGTAAATATGGATTTTTTTGGTGGATCTTGAATGCATCTCATTTGGAAAATGGAATATTGTCGAAAAATCAGATTCTGGTGATTTAGCGTACACTGTATTATACTTAGTCAAATTGAAGATAGTGAATCGTAATTATATTAGATACCATGATTGACTTTGACATGCTACTGTTACTTCCTACAGCTTCTCAAATGGAATAATACAATTATCAGATTAAGCCTGTTGAAGGAATTCAATAATTATCCAGAAACTGAACAAACCTGTCATTCTTTGAGATACTGAAATATAGCACTGAATATGACAATGGTACATATTCAAAGCCCAAAATAGGCCATTTATAGCACCGCAGCGACTTTTAATTTTTGTATTTCAAAGAGGAAAAATAATCGCATTACATATTTTGCTCTTTGATGTTTCTTTAGAGATATTAATAGATAAGATAAGCGCATAGAGGAACTTATTGAGAAGCTTGTTATTAGCACATTTATCAAAGTACGGCTTGATGCTCATGACAGTATTGATTATTATACAAGATATATTCGAGTAGAGGATATTTCAAGGTTGCTAATTGTAGCGGATAACATAAGAGGCTGAGGCAAACGTAATCATAATTGCTTTTGAAAGAGTCATGCAAAATCACCTTCTTCAAATAGATCAGGTTTTCAAAGGCCCACTTGGAAACTCACATTGTGATTGTTGTCTATGAGCAGTTTATTATTTTACCGAAGTGCTACACAATCTGTATTCAATAAACTATAAATTATTTACCAGAAATTTTATCAGCCAGCAATGTTTTCTTCCGACAATAACAAATGTTTTATAATAATTATTTTTATGATTAAAATCTCGAGGATAGCTTTAATTTAAGGTAGATCCACATGTTGAGTATTTTCATGTAATTTTTATGATTTCAATTACCAAGAAAAAATAATACATTTTTCAAAATTTAATGTTGATATTTATACAATACAGCAATACAGAATACATAGTTCAAAACCAAATATTTTGCCAAATTTGTGTTGAAATGACATATCACTGAATTATTTTTCAATTTGTTCTGAAAGTGCAGAACTACCTTAACAGCAGAGTACAGTACAATGTAAGTCTGCATACTCTGATTTGATGTACACAGAATCAAAGAATTATCTTAATTTAAGTGAAGTAGATCCTTTGCAAAGGGAATGCATTATTGTTTGGCTCAACCTCTTATCAAATATATCATGCAAACCGTTTTGTATTTCATGCAATATATTTTCTATATTCTCGTAAACTACGATGCAATAATTCAATGTGATAAAAGAATTAAATCATGACAAAAATCTTTTCATGTTCATCAATGTCTATTGTCTTGCTGCAATAAACGATTTGAACTTATCATTTTATCCTTAAAACATGTAAACTCCAACCTTACCTTTATATATACAAGGGCCGATCAAAAAGTTTCTTACCATTGGCTCTCAATTTGTATTCTTTTATTAACTCTTACCTGTACCTTCCAATATATATGAGGCTAACCAAAAGGCATTTGGAAGGGATCACATGAAATATTTTATTTATCATATCACTGAATTTTAATATGCCTTTCCTTCAATTCAATGCATTTTGGTATAATGTATGAATCCATTTAAGGGTAATACAACATGTTTTGACTTTCATAACACACAGTGCACATACACACATACATGCCCACTGAAACCCCATAACATCAAAGTTCACTTTTCATTTCATGTGATACATCATGTCGAATGTTTTGATATCCTTCAATGGATATACTTTGATATATTGCCTTTTGGAACAATGCATGGACACCAACATCATGTGAAACGACATCTCTGGACATTCATACATGCACTACATGTATATATACAGACGTTGCATACATCAAAATAATAAACCTAATATTCTACACTCGCATAAATGTAAACATCCATCCATACATCAAACATGTTCAAAATACAAACCCAATATTTCACACTTGCACATGTACCACAGTTATGGTGAGTGAGCATATCTTTAGTGATGGTGATGCAATCAACATAAATGGGGAAAACGATGATGAGAGGGAACCTGAATATGGTTCACTGGCGGATTAGGGGGGGGGCCTGGGGGCCCGGGCCCCCCCCTTGGGTGGGCCCAGAAAAAAAAAATTGGGCTCAAAAAAATTTTTGGGCCAAAAAAGGCCTTCAGGCCCCAAAAAGTGGGCCTTTTTGGTCATTAATGGGCCTTTAAAGGCCTTATTTTTTAATTTCAGGCCAAATTTTGAAGAAAATGGGCCTCAAAATTTCAAAATTTGGGCCCACTTTAGGATTTTAGGGGCCCAAAGTTTTTTTCTCTGACCTGAAATTTGGGCCCCCCCCCTTGTTGGTTCCTGGATCCGCCCCTGTGGTTAACATTGGACAAAAAACATTCACATTTAATTTTAACAGTATTTCCAATATTAACAACGCAGCAATTTGAAGTGATACACCTATAACACTAAACAATAGTTATATCATAACAAAAACAGAAATAGAGGTCAGAGGGACCTTTAATCCTCTTTCAAAATGTTAATTGGATTTACATTTATAGATAAATATATGTGCCCACCCATCTGTCTATTCACTGCAATTTGAATTACAATAGTTGCCATTTTAAGTGAAAATATAACGACAGAAAAATGATGTCTTTCCTAAAAAACTAATGACTACATTTAAAAGCCCAAATTGCTTCATCAAAAATGTATTAATGAATTTTATTGTTCAGCTATTTAGTTATTGGTAAATCAGACTGAGGTAATAACTTTAAATGTAAAAGTGTCTTCAGAATAATGCTATTAAATGGACTCAATATAATTATTTATATTCTTGAGTCAGTCGTTTTTGCCATCGTTTATCTTGAATGGGAAGTAAGTAATGCTTTGGGCAAATGGAACTAATTTGATGAGAAAAAGGTAATCGAAGCATTAAATCTTTTGCTAATTATGTGCTCTGAAAGTTGCTGACAGCTTTCTCATATCAATTAAAGATGCTTCTATAAGGCATTGAAATTATTGATCCCTTTGCAGGTTTCCGAACCAGCTGGAAATTTGCTGCATTTTCCAATAATCTGATAGCTTTCTAAGATTTTCGATAATTAGATATTGTACAAGGATCCGACTTTACAATACATCATAATATACGGAAGCCATTGATTCTTAATTATGAGAACTCATTATTGTGGATTATCAAATATAACTGATATAAAATCATCTTTATTGAGATGAAAAATTGTCCACATAAGTCATTTAATCACTCACATTTTAGTCATCCATTGTTACCTGTACTTGTAAAAGAAAGGTAAATTAAGAACCAAGGGACTGTGACAAGGAAGTCTTATACGCAAATGAATTCTTGAAAAGGATAAGTTACTAGAAAACAACATGTATTCCCAAATCTGCCCATCCATCCAAAAGAATTAAAGGTTATAAAAACATTGAAGTATTCCCAGGATTGCTTCAATCGATTTCTGGAACTGCAATGGGACAAATTAGTCAAAATCTAAATGTTTTATCAATTTTTATGTGTTGTATTTATTCTGGGAATTGTTTTCCATCTTCACAAATATTGTAACTATACTACTGTATTTGTATCTAACTTGAAGTGTATTTAGACTTCACAAATTCACAATAGCAATAGATAAATGTGAACAGGGGCGTAGCCAGCTTTCAGTCAGGGGGGGTGCGATCGCCGAAAATTTTTCAGTTTTCGGTCAGGGGGGGTGCGATTTTGCCATAAGCAACACAAAAAATTAAGATTTCTTTTGAATTTTACAAAAATTGATGCAACTTCCTTCAAAATTGAGCTAGAAGCTTCAAATAAAAAGCATTTTAAAGCTCTTTTCTACCTCTATCCAATGGTCATATTTTCAAAGGTTATGGGGGGGGGTGCGATCGCACCCATCGCACCCCCCCTGGCTACGCCCATGGTGAAGCTCCTTGAAATTCTGTACACAGTATTTAATCGTTGTCATTGAATCTTGCCAGAATGACTTCACTGTAATTCACACAGGAAAATTGTCCTTTTTGCCCAATCTTATTTATGTAATACTAAATGATTACAACCAAAAATACCAAGTTAAACTTGCTGATATTTCAAATTCTGAGTGAAAACAACATATTGCAGTATTGTGAGTAATATTAGGGTGATAACAGCTTTGACTGTAACCACAAACATACCTGTATAGAATCGAGTATAAATTATAAATTTTAACATGCAGATTGCATGTGTGTTAATACATGTAAAAATCTATTTTCATAATCCAAATAGAGATTCTATTGGTGAGGATAAAATCAAAGACACTATTTTGATTTAAGGTAGGAAATAATTTCAAAGTCGTTTAATATGTATTGAAGAGCCTTAGTAAGAAGCATATCAAAAAATATATTCCATAAATGTTAATGGTAAATGTCTTCTTTATCTTTGTACCATTATTTCATGTATTAAGAATGAGAAAATAACGGAATATATTGCCATCAACATCTAAAGGGGATACTGGATTAATCTCCAACATCAATCATTTTTGTAGCTCTTCATTTATGCCAAGTGATTACAAACTCACTTTTAGATATCTAACAATCTACGTTATTGTACATTTTGCTCTGATTTATTTCTTATCACTATTATGACTGTCACCTCCATTGACCTCTACAGAATTGAGAATAACACTGTTGTATTAATTGTTGATTCTAGTATAAATGTGAGTGGAAATATGTATGTTATTCATGGGAATTATCCATCCCAGCTTTGATTCTCATCAGAGTAAATAAGCTGTTTAAGTAAGGTTGATGATACATCAGAGTCACCGGACGTGGGGAATGGCATGTATCCCGTAAAAATGATTTTCTCTTAAATGAAATTTAAATCTAGTTCTTAAAATCAGGTCTGCAAGTGTAGTGTACAGTTAATCATGTTGTTTTATCAACATAACTGATTTGTATGTTTAATTATGACATCAGGCATTTACTATTATATCAGAGTACATCATGTTATATCAGTATACATTGCAGGCCTGTCAACTGTCCCGCAATTTGCGTATTTGTCACGCATTTGCTGAAGAATTTGAAGTCACGCCAGTTATTTTTGTGTGACAGAAAATGTCACGCAAATACGCATTTTACCTGGTAATTGTCAAGCAAAAATATTTCTGTAGAAAAATTTCTAAAAAAGATCGTCTACACAGCAAAAATACGAACGCCGGAAAAAAATGTACGCATTTTGTTCGGACTTTTCACGCGAATTACGTATATGTCACGCATTTCGTTTGAAATCTTTTGTACCTACTCCCCCCCCCCCCTGATGGATGTTTGAAACGCGAGCGTAGCGAGCGCGAAAAATTTGAGGTGTTCAAAATTTGGCAAGATGTAATAAAATTTAAACCAAGGTGTTCAAAATTTGGATCAAGGTGTTCAGATTTGGACCAGGGTGTCCACATTTTGAGGGGAGGTGTTCAACATTTCCAAGTCACTCATGTTAGGTGTTAGGTGTTCCCAAGTTGACAGGCCTGACATTGTTTCTTGAAGCAGTGGATCTGGAAATTGTTGTTGTATCAGTGTACATAGTATTATTGTTGTATCAGTGTACATAGTATTGTTGTTGTATCAGTGTACATAGTATTGTTGTTGTATCAGTGTACATAGTATTGTTGTTGTATCAGTGTACATAGTATTGTTGTTGTATCAGTGTACATAGTATTGTTGTTGTATCAGTGTACATAGTATTGTTGTTGTATCAGTGTACATAGTATTGTTGTTGTATCAGTGTACATAGTATTGTTGTTGTATCAGTGTACATAGTATTGTTGTTGTATCAGTGTACATAGTATTATTGTTGTATCAGTGTACATAGTATTATTGTTGTATCAGTGTACATAGTATTGTTGTTGTATCAGTGTACATATTATTGTTGTTGTATCAGTGTACATAGTATTGTTGTTGTATCAGTGTACATAGTATTATTGTTGTATCAGTGTACATAGTATTGTTGTTGTATCAGTGTACATAGTATTGTTGTATCAGTGTATCAGGAAATACCAGTGTACATCATTTTGTTGTTGTTCATTGTTGTTCCTCTAGCAGTATCACATGTTCCAATTGTCGAGAAAGAGTATTACATATCTTGCCAGTATATCCGATGTATTTCAATCGTATCAGTGTAACTTTTGCTGAATAAGTGTAAGTAACTTATCCTCCGATGAACATTTAGACGATTCCATTGGTCTAAGAATATTCTTATTTGAGATGAATTGAAATGTATTTCCTCAATTACAAGTGTTTAATCCACTCAAGGGGTCTTTAATTAAACCATGATTACAGGAATACTGTTAGTTTTCACTGTAATGGCACATTATGACCCGTGAGGTGACAATTAATAACTCTCTGTAGATATTTCACCGCCAACAAGGCTAATGATTACTTCTCCACATGTCAGTGTCTTGAATCTTCATCCATTTTTACGAGCTGTAAAGATGCTTCCTCTGTGTAGAATAATACCTCCTCTCACTGTAGGTTGTTTATGTTTCAAATAATTCAGAATACCGTACAGGAAATATCCAAGTACAAAAGAGAAAAGAAATGACTGAGTTAAAGTCCAGATCATCGTAGCTATTACGGATGCCATGTTATTTGGACTTTCCACTTAATCTGTTTTATCGCATTTGTATTTTCACTACATTCAATAATCTCTGCGGAGCAGTTAAGCTATTGACTATCTATATTTAAAGCTTGTTGAACGCTTGTTTATATGTATATATTGAATATTTCAAACACTCTTGTATCGTCATTGATTTTCCCGCTATATGCTGCTGATAACCTCTGGCAAACCTAGTGTTGCTGGGAACGATACATCGTATAAATAGCAATTATCTTTGCTACTTCTAACAGGTTGATGGCATTTCTTACTTTAATATTACACTGGAGTTTGACATTAAACCCAAGTGGTAGTCATTGACAAAAGTCAACTTTACTCAAATAAATCTTGATTTAAGCGTTTCGGATCAATGTATTTATTTTCCGAATTATATTTGCATTATAAGATAGTTAAAATAAGGCACATTATAAAATCATCTCTTGGAAGTTATTGTTAATGTTTCAGATATAATGCAACTACTCCAAAAGCTCTACAGATTATTTCCTCATATTAAATCTGCTAAGTTCAAAAATGTGATGCAGTTACAACTGAGCCCAGTTTCTCTATTGGTAAATGTTGATATACTCAAGTCCATTCAATACAACATAAGAATACTGTTACATTCTATCCTTTCATTACATTAGAATAATTATGTTACACTCTGCACCGAGTCTTAGTTGTTTAATTATTTATAGAGAAATGACTACTGTTTACAGATACTACAAATTCAATAATAAAAGCAGCAAAAGAAACATTTACTTACTTACTTCTTACCATGTATAATGTAATATTGTATCTCAGGTGATTTCAATTGTTTTCATTTTGACTAATTAATGTTCATAGATCTTTATATGGAAGCAAACATACAAATACAATTACAATAACATATAACATACGAGTATTTACAATTAAATGAAGCCAAGAAAATAAAATATGAAACATTCTTCAGCAAATATACGATGGGGACTTCAATTAAATTTTGCAATAACGCAATGTGCATGTAACATGAGTCCCAAAATGCTATTACTTTCCTACAATATGAATCAGAGAAGTTTTACATAGGATATACTACATATATAGTGTGATCTAATCAAATATAATTCTATTCAATATATTATTTTTTTAAAAACAGATATCAATAACCATGCATAAAAAATAAAAAATTAAAAGTTAATGCAATGATGCACGTAATATTTCTAAAAATTCATAGATAGAAGAAACACATATAATTAAAAAATCTTGATATCTCTGCAAAGGAGTGGCATTCATGTAAGTTTAATTATCAACTTGCTTTGTCAAAACTCTCCACTTGCATTGTCAACACTATCAGGTCTAGTTGCTTTGTCAACACTATCAGGTCTACTTGCTTTGTCAACACTACCAGGTCTACTTGCTTTGTCAACACTATCAGGTCTACTTGCTTTGTCAACACTATCAGGTCTACTTGCAATATAAGCACTACCAGGTCTACTTGCTTTGTCAACACTATCAGGTCTACTTGCTTTGTCAACACTATCAGGTCTATTTGCTTTGTCAACACTATCAGGTCTACTTGCAATATCAGCACTACCAGGTCTACTTGCTTTGTCAACAGTATCAGGTCTACTTGCTTTGTCAACACTATCAGGTCTACTTGCTTTGTCAACACTACCTGGTCTACTCTTTACGTCAATACTGCAAGATCTACTTGTTATGTCAACACTCATAGGTCTACTTGTTTTGTCAACACTACCAATACTTCTTGCTGTTTCAACACTACAAGGTCTACTTGCTTTGTCAACACTATCAGGTCTACTTGCTATATCAACACTACCAGGTCTACTTGCTTTGTCAACACTATCGGGTCTATTTGCTTGGTCAACACTACCAGGTCTACTTGCTTTGTCAACACTATCAGGTCTACTTGATTTGTCAACACTACCAGGTCTATTTGCTTTGTCAACACTATCAGGTCTACTTGCTATATCAACACTACCAGGTCTACTTGCTTTGTCAACACTATCAGGTCTACTTGCTTTGTCAACACTATCAGGTCTACTTGCTTTGTCAACACTACCAGGTCTACTTGTTTTGTCAACACTATCAGGTCTACTTGCTATATCAACACTACCAGGTCTACTTGCTTTGTCAACACTATCAGGTCTACTTGCGTTGTTAACACTATCAGGTCTACTTTCTTTGTCAACACTACCAGGTCTACTTGCTTTATCAACACTATCAGATCTACTTGCAATATCAGCACTACCAGGTCTACTTGCTTTGTCAAAACTATCAGGTCTACTTGCTTTGTCAACACTATCAGGTCTACTTGCATTGACAACAGTATCAGGTCTACTTGCTTTGTCAACACTATCAGGTCTACTTGCTTTGTCAACACTACCTGGTCTACTTGTTACGTAAATACTGCAAGGTCTACTTGTTATGTCAACACTCATAGGTCTACTTGTTTTGTCAACACTACCAATACTTCTTGCTGTTTCAACACTACAAGGTCTACTTGCTTTGTCAACACTACCAGGTCTACTTGCTTTGTCAACACTACCAGGTCTACTTGTTATGTCAAGGCTGCCAGGTCTACTTTCTTTGTCAACGCTATCGGGTCTATTTGCTTTGTCAACACTACCAGGTCTACTTGCTTTGTCAACACTATCAGGTCTGCTTGCTCTATCAACACTACCAGGTCTACTTGCTTTGTCAACACCATCAGGTCTGCTTGCTCTATCAACACTACCAGGTCTACTTGCATCGTCAACACTATCAGGTCTACTTGCTTTGTCAACACTACCAGGTCTACTTGCTTTGTCAACACTATCAGGTCTGCTTGCTCTATCAACACTACCAGGTCTACTTGCATCGTCAACACTATCAGGTCTACTTGCTTTGTCAACACTACCAGGTCTACTTGCTTTGTCAACACTATCAGATCTACTTGCTTTGTCAACACTATTGGGTCTACTTGCTTTGTCAACACTACCAGGACTACTTTCTTTGTCAACACTAATGGGTCTACTTGCTTTGTCAACACTACCAGGTCTTCTTTCTTTGTCAACACTGTCGGGTCTACTTGCTTTGTCAACACTACCAGGTCTACTTGCTTTGTCAACACTATCAGGTCTACTTGCTATATCAACACTACCAGGTCTACTTGCTTTGTCAACACTATGAGATATACTTGCTTTGTCAAAACTATGATGTCTACTTGCTTGGTCAATACTATGAGGTCTACTCGCTTTGTTAACACTACCAGGTCTACTTGCTTTGTCAAAACTATCAGGTCCACTTCCTTTGTAAACTCTATCAGGTCTACTTGTTATGTCAACACTGCAGGGTCTACTTGTTATGTCAACACTCATAGGTCTACTTGTTTTGTCAACACTACCAAGACTTCTTGCTGTTTCAATACTACAAGGTCTACTTGCTTTGTCAACACTAGCATGTCTGCTTGCTTTGTCAACACTACCAGGTCTACTTGTTATGTCAAGGCTGCCGGGTCTTCTTTCTTTGTCAACACTATCGGGTCTATTTGCTTTGTCAACACTACCAGAACTACTTGCTTTGTCAACACTACCAGGTCTACTTGCTTTGTCAACACTACCAGGTCTCCTTGCTTTCTCAACAGTATCAGGTCTACCTGCTATGTCAAGGCTGCCGGGTCTACTTTCTTCGTCAACACTATCATGTCTATTTGCTTTGTCAACACTACCAGGTCTACTTGTTATGTCAACAGTACCAAATCTCCTTACTTTGTCAACACTTCCAGGTCTACTTGCTTTGTCAACACTACCAGGTCTACAAACTTTGTCAACACTTCCAGTTCTACTTGCTTTGTCAACACTAGCAAGTCTACTTGCTGTGTCAATACTACCAGGTCTACTTGCTTTGTCGACACTACCAAGTCTACTTGCTGTGTCAATACTACCAGGTCTACTTGCTTTGTCAACACTACCAGGTCTACTTTCTTTGTCAACACTATCGGGTCTACTTGCTTTGTCAACACTACCAAGTCTAATTACTTTGTCAACACTACCAGGTCTACTTGCTTTGTCAACACTACCAGGTCTACTTGCTTTGTCAACACTACCAGTTTTACTTACTTTGCCAACACTACCAGGTCTACTTGCTTTGTCAACACTACCAGACCTACTTCCTTTGTCAACACTACCAGATCTACTTGCTTTGTCAACACTATCAGGTCTACTTGCTTTGTCAACACTACCAGGTCTACTTGCTTTGTTAACACTACCATTTCTACTTGCTATGTCAACACTTCTGGGTTTACTTGATTTGTCAACACTACCAGGTCTACTTGCTTTGTCAACACTACCAGTTCTACTTGCTATGTCAACACTGATATCTCTACTTGCTTTGTCAACACTACCAGATCTACTTGCTTTTTCAACACTACCAGTTCTACTTGTTATGTCGACACTACTGGGTCTACTTGCTCTGTCAACACTACCAAGACTACTTGCTGTTTCAACACTATCCGGTCTACTTGCTTTGACAACACTACCGGGTCTACTTGCTTTGTCAACACTATCAGGTCTATTTGCTTCGTCGACACTACTGGGTCTACTTGCTTTGTCAACACTATCAGGTCTATTTGCTTCGTCGACACTACTGGGTCTACTTGCTATGTCAACACTACAAGGGCTACTTGTTATGTCAGCACTACCAGGTCTTAAATTGTCAACACTTCCAGGTCTACTTGCTTTGTTAAGACTACAAGGCCTACTTACAATGTCAACAGTATCGGGTCTACTTGCTTTGTCAACACTACCAGGTCTACTTGCTATGTCAACACTACCGGGTCTACTTGCTTTGTCAACACTACCAGGTCTACTTACTTTGTCAACACTACTGGGTCTACTTGCTTTGTCAACACTACCAGGTCTACTTTCTTTGTTAACACTACCAGGTCTATTTGCTTTATCAACACTACCAGGTCTACTTGCTTTGTCAACACTACCAGTTCTACTTGCTTTGTCAACACTACCAGTTCTACTTGCTATGTCAACACTACCAGGTCTAATTACTTTGTCAACACTACCAGGTCTACTTTCTTTGTTAACACTACCAGGTCTATTTGCTTTATCAACACTACCAGGTCTACTTGCTTTGTCAACACTACCAGTTCTACTTGCTATGTCAACACTACAAGGTCTACTTGCTTTCTCAACACTACTAGGTCTTCTTGCATTGTCAACATTACAAGGTCTACTTGCTTTATCAACACTACCGGGTCTTCTTGAATTGTCAAAATTGCCAGGTCTACTTCCTGTATCAACACTACCAGATCTACTTGCTATGTCAATACCCCCATTTTCACTTGTTTCGTCAACACTGTTAGGTTTACCTACTTTATCAACACTACCAAGTCTACTTGCTTTGTCAAAACTTCTTCCAAGCTTGCTTGCTTTGTCAACACTACCAGCAACACTAACAGAAGCAGGTGTTAGCAATTCATCAACAGACAGTGATTTAAGAGCATTATTTGAACTTCTCAATTCATTTACACTATTAGCTTCACTCTCATTTGTACAACATTTTTGAAGTTTTCCAAACATTTCTGGCAAACTTTTCCTGCTTCTGAACCATGGTCTTTTACTTGTAAACAGATCCGCAATTATAGAGGTAACTGCATCTTCACTTGAACAGTCATCATCAACTTTGTTTTTGTTCACCTTTTCAACTTCAATTTCAATATCTTGAATCTCATTCCTATCTGTACTTATACATTTATCATTATGATCAGCTTTGTCAATATGTGTGGACATACTTTTTGTGCATACAATGCCATCAAAATTGTTTATTGGAACCTTCTCACTGCTACTTGATTGAAGTGGCATCATAGATTCTTCCAATTCATTTGAATCAAGGAAGGTAAATCTGGACTTATTAGAATCAACATTAGATAAAGGGCTAAGAAGCTGTTCATTTGGATCACCACATTGTTTTTCAGTTTGAGCAATGAATAGTTCACTATTATGAACAATTTTAACAATAACAGGGCTACTTTGCTCCACTGATTTTTTATTTTCCCTCACAGCTGAATTCTCACAGGGATCATTGTGTTCTATATCATCACTTAAAACATCCTTTGTTGATGATTCATCTTTACAGGGTCTTGTTTGATCATCTGAACTGTATACATCCTTGCATTGGGCTTCATCTATTGATGCCATTGTTTCATCATTCGCACTACTTACATCTTCACTCTGAGCTGCATTCTGTGTTTGATCATCCTGGCTGTTTATCTTTTTAAACTTTGGTTCATCTTCAGATATCATATTTTGCGATGTAACTTCAGACGACATTTTACGCTCACTTTTAATGCCATCACATTTAGCTTGTGATTTTTCAGCAGAGCATTCTGCTGCATCCTTTTCAATATCTGCTTGACTGATTTGTTCTGAAGGGCCTGTCGTATGTCTTGGAGACTGAGAAGGTGTTGAGCTTGCGCTTGAATCATCCTCAACCCAACCAAGTTTACTCAAACTTCCCCTGCCTAATACTGCAACACTTTCCCGGTGTCTTAGCTTTGGAGATCCTTCAATCATAACAATAAAATAAAATAACAAAATGAAACATCTACATAAAGATCCATCTAAAAAGGAATATACATACACACGGGTCATTCCAAATTTTGAACATAAATATCCTGAATTCTCAAAGCTGAATTATTCAAGGATACTTGAACAAAGAAAACTTTTTCACAAAATGCTTCCATCATACAGATGAAACATAAAAATGATTAAAAACAATTCTAATGATATTAGAAGCCAAATATAGTAGTACTATAGTATACATACTTGGTGTTTCCTTTTCCATTATTTCATTAATTTCATCATTATCAGCATTATCTACATTTTCACATTCCTCTTTCGGACTGCATTTCCTAATTAGTATACCATCTTGATTCAAAGCATTTGAGCCATTTGGGCTATTTGGCCTGCACACTTGGTCTATTGTGCAAGCTTGGTTCCCCGTATTATCTTTTTGATCTTCTGGACTTGATACTTTCAGTGTCACATTATCTTTTATTGCACCACTTGAACAATCAGCATCCTGAGAGTCTTCTGATATGTTTGAGCTCTTCGTCTGGACCAAATCGTCACTCTTACTCTGAGAAACCATTTCACTGCTCTTTTCTTTAACTGCTGTTCTATCATGATCTTTAATTTCCTCATTGAAATCATCATCACCACTGGAATCTTCTTCTACCCATCCCATTCTACTCTCAACCCCACAACTGGCCCTTTCATCATATGCACCTATAATTTATAAAAATAATCATGTTTTGATTTATAATATAGTACATAAGTTCTTTCTTGAGTAAATTTATTATTAACACAGTACATGCTTACAAAATTACTGTATTGATTCATATCTTACACACCTTGATTATTTGTTCCAGTATCTTCAAGAAAGGCACAATCATCTTGATCCCCTATGACTCCCTCACTATCGTCAACAGTTTGGTCATCATGAACATCCTCTTTGATTTTGGTCCCATCATACTGGTTTATGTTTTCTGTAGATCCAACCAGCGCATCTTTTTGTTCCATTTCATCCTCTTGTTCATCCTCTACTATGCTATCCAGAGTAACTGTGTTTATTTCATCATCTTTCATATGTTCTAAATTTTCATCTAAATCAATTTCCCCATACCCTTTTGAACTTACAGATGATCTTGGATTGTCAAAGTAAACTTTGTCCTTGCTTTTCTGAATTTCAGCTTCAGCTAAATCATCTGAGGTGTCAACTTTAACATTGACTGCAGAAGCCATGTTTGAGGTACTAGAATCTGTTGAGGAAAGTGGACTATTAAAACCCAATGCAGTATGTTCACGAGATGCTTCATTGCTTGGAGGTTTTGAGTTTGTTCTGCTGGATATATCAAACAGAGTTTGTTCATCATCTCCACTCAGTTCTGTCAAAGTAGGCTCCTCACATGATGGTTTATTTTCAGAGCTAGCCTCATTACCATCTTCAGCTTCTCCCAAAAGTTGTTCCCTTGAATGTGTTCCCAACAGGGAACATCTTTCATCTCTTTCCTCATCATCACTTAATCCATCACTGGAGTCCTCAATATTTCCATCCATTGATTTTGCAAGATTATCATCACTTGTATCAGCTGCTGAATCATTGTCATCCACTTTCGTCATTTTCTCTTGCTGTTGATCTTTAAGTGAAGTACTTGCTCTGCTCGACTTTCTGGAGATGTTACTTGATGTTGCAGTAGAGACTCTACTTGATACAAGACTTCCACCCTCAAATATGACCTGATTATCTTCAAACTTTACATCATCAACCTCAGTAGGTGTTTTCTCAGCTACTCTGCTCATAGTCATATCAATGTGACTTTCTGCATGACTTTCTGATTGGGCTGATTCTGTTGTAGAAGGTCTACTCTCGAACTGTATGTTATTTTCCTGCCTTTCAATATCATGTTGCTCAGTGTTATCATCATCTGCTTCATAACCCTCTTCCAACTGTTTCTCTATCTGTTCCTGTTGCTCACAACTCAATTTCCCATGTGAACTATTTGTTTCAGATTTTCCATCCATTTCCAAGTCACTTTCAAAATCTAATTCATAATCTGGTGTGGTGCTAATACAAGTTGATGTCCTACTGTGTACTTGTGCAACAGAGAAATGGCTATTAGAACTTGAGCTACTACCTAGGACTTCTCGTTGCTCACTTATTTCTTCAAAAGCGTTGCTTGGTACAGGAGAAATTTTTTCATATTGGATTTCATCATCAGCTTTTGTAGTTGAAGAGGTAACTGGTCTACTCTCTAATGATTCTGCCTGAGATGCAGGCCTTGACTTTGTAGATTCTGCCTGTGAATCAGATCTTGACTTTGTAGATTTTGCCTGTGAAGTAGGTCCTGACTTTGTAGATTCTGCCTGAGAAGCAGATTTTGACTTTGTCGATTCTGCCTGTGAAATAGGTCTTGACTTTGTAGATTCTGCCTGTGAAACAGGTCTTGAATTTGTAGATTTTACCGGAGAAGCAGATCTTGATTTTAAAGATTCTGCATAAGAAGTAGATTTTGATTTTAAAGATTCTGCCTGTGAAACAGGTCTTGACTTTGTAGATTCTGCCCGAGAAGCAGATCTTGACTTTGTAGATTCTGCCTGTGATGTAGGTCTTGACTTTGTAGATTCTGCTTGTGAAACAGGTCTTGAATTTGTAAATTCTCCCTGTGGAGCAGATCTTGATTTTACAGATTCTGCCTGTGAATCAGATCTGGACTTTGTAGATTCTGCGTGTGAAGTAGGTCCTGACTTTGTAGATTCTGCCCGAGAAGCAGATTTTGACTTTGTCGATTCTGCCTGTGAAATAGGTCTTGACTTTGAAGATTCTGCCTGTGAAGCAGGTCTTGAATTTGTAGATTTTACCGGAGAAGCAGATCTTGATTTTAAAGATTCTGCATAAGAAGTAGATTTTGATTTTAAAGATTCTGCCTGTGAAACAGGTCTTGACTTTGTAGATTCTGCCCGAGAAGCAGATCTTGACTTTGTAGATTCTGCCTGTGATGTAGGTCTTGACTTTGTAGATTCTCCTTGTGAAACAGGTCTTGAATTTGTAAATTCTCCCTGTGGGGCAGATCTTGATTTTACAGATTCTGCCTGTGAATCAGATCTGGACTTTGTAGATTCTGCGTGTGAGGCAGGTGTTGACTTTGTAGATTCTGCGTGTGAGGCAGGTGTTGACTTTATAGATTCTGCCTGTGAAGTAGGTCTTGAATTTGTAGATTCTGCCTTGGAAGCAGGTCTTGACTTAGTGAACTCCTCTGCCTGTGAAGCAGGTCTTGAGTTTAAAGATTCCGCCTGTGAAACGGATTTGGACTTTATAGAATCTACTTTTGAAGCAGGTCTTGACTTTGTTGATTCTGCCTTGGAAGGAGGTCTTGACTTTATAGATTCGTCAAGTGAAGCAGATCTGGACTCTGTAGATTCTACTTGTGAAGCAGGTCTTGACTTTGTAGATTCTGCCTTCGAATGAGTTCTTGACTTTACAGATTCATCATGTGAAACAGATCTCGACTTTGTAGATTCTACTTGTGATGTAGATCTTGACTTTGTAGATTCTACCTCTGATGCAGGTCTCGACTTTGCAGATTCTACTTGTGATGCAGGTCTCGACTTTGTAGATTCTGCCTGTGATGCAGGTCTTGACTTTGTAGATTCTGCCTGTGATGCAGGTCTTGACTTTGTAGATTCTGCCTGTGATGCAGGTCTTGAATTCACAGATTCTGCCTGTGATGCAGGTCTTGAATTTACAAATTCTGCCTTTGGAGATTCTGCCTGTGATGCAGGTCTTGAATTTGTAGATTCTGCCTGTGATGCAGGTCTTGAATTTACAGATTCTGCCTGTGATGCAGGTCTTGAATTTACAAATTCTGCCTTTGGAGATTCTACCTGTGATGCAGGTCTTGAATTTACAGATTCTGCCTGTGATGCAGGTCTTGAATTAACAGATTCTGCCTGTGATGCAGGTCTTGAATTTACAGATTCTGCCTGTGATGCAGGTCTTGAATTTACAGATTCTGCCTGTGATGCAGGTCTTGGATTTACAAATTCTGCCTTTGGAGATTCTGCCTGTGATGCAGGTCTTGAATTTACAGATTCTGCCTGTGATGCAGGTCTTGAATTAACAGATTCTGACTTTTGAGATTCTGCCTGTGATGCAGGTCTTGAATTTACAGATTCTGCCTTTGGAGATTCTGCCTGTGATGCAGGTCTTGAATTTACAGATTCTGCCTGTGATGCAGGTCTTGAATTAACAGATTCTGCCTTTGGAGGTTCTGCCTGTAATGCAGGTCTTGAATTTACAGATTCTGTCTTTGAAGCAGGTCTTAACTTTACAGATTCTGTCTTTGAAGCAGGTCTTAACTTTATAGATTCTGTTTGTGATGTAGGGCTTTTCTTCTCAGATTCTACATGTGGAGATGTTTTGGATGATTTGATAGGATTTTGCTCTGAAGATGTTAATTTTTCGGATTCTTGCTTTGAGAAGCTTTCATACTTCGAAGTTTTCTTCTTTCGTTTCGATGCAGATGATTTGTTTGACTTATAACTTGTCCCACTGCTTTGCTTTTCTTCTATAACCTTAGATATCATCTTTCTTCTATCATGACGTTTTTCTAAAATTCAAAAAGAAAAAGTTTGAACATATCATTTACTTTTTAACAAAAGTGCAATTTACAAATCTAGCCAAATATCAAAAATGTTTAATTTCTATCTTTAAAATACTCACAATAAGATCAGTTTAATCACTTACCTCAAAACTATGTTTTAAAATACAGAAAACAAAACATGCTTCAATGTTTGCACCAGACAGACACTCCATAAAACGTGGGAAAGAAGATATGGAATACAGTATATGCTGACATGCTGTTTGGAAACACTGAAGGTGACAACTCTAGTCACGATATAAAGATGTCACTCTTATTCAAAATTCATAACATGGCATTAACATGACAAAATGTCACCACCTAGTTGCTCACAATATTATTAGTTCAAACTTAAGTCAGATTTGAATTTCTGAGAACTCTGTAGATGATTTTGAAAAATGGTCAATTTGAAACAAGTTCTTTTACTCTTCACATTGAAGGTGAAATCCCAAATCAGGTTTGAACTTCTGAGAACTTTAAGATGATTTTGAAAAAGAAAATTGGTCAATTTGAAGCAAGTTGAAAAAAGACCTTTTTAACCTTTTTTGACCTTGAAAAGGTCATTGAAGGACAAATCTTAATTCTAGAGTCAGATTTGAGCTTCTGAAAACTTGTAGATGATTTTGAAAAAAAATTGCTCAATTTGAAGTACATGTAAGTTGAAAAAAGACCTTTTTGAACCTTTTATTGACCTTGAAAGGTCATCGAAGGTCAAATCTTAATTCTAGTCATATGAACTTCTGAAAACTTGTAGATGATTTTGAAAAAAGTCACTCTAAACAGTATTTGTCAAGTTACTGGAAGTTGTGTAAGAAATTGTGACAGACGCCAATCGCTGTCACAAAAAATGGTGACAATAACAATATGTCACCACTTTCTGGTGGTGACATAATAAAATTAGAAATTTCAAAATAACATGCATCTGGAATTGAGATAATAAGTGATAGATTTAGTTGCTGTTCTTCTACAATCATGCATTCAAAACAATTTTTAAAATATCATAAACAAGTACATGTTTAAATCAAAGATCTGTCTTCGGACTGAATAGCTGCATGTAATCTAGGTACACTGCAGTCTTTTCAGAGAAAATGGACATTCTAAAATGGGACAATATTCAAGGAAACATTACATGGCAAGTGTTTCAAGGATAGGATAGGTCAGTGCTTCAAAAATTTACATTGTTGCTTAACTCTTACACTTTACATGTGTGATATACTAACTATGGGTAACATGAAAGTGTATGCAAACATCACATTTTCCCTTATCATTTACAGATTTCACATGAATTATCCATTACATATCATGATGAGAGAATAATGAACTTTAAGACATATAGATGTCATGGTGGTCAAACTTATTTTGTTAAAAAATATCATGAACATAAATGTATCTTATTTCATTCAAATAAAGAGGTTATTACAATGGTAATTTGTGTCAATGAAATAAGGATTTGAGATCAACTCAGCCAAAAATACAAAAATATTATGAACCAAAAAGAATTTCTCTAACATCAACAAAATATAGGGTACTGCTAAAAAAATTAAAGCTATACATATTCCGTTGACAATTTTTACAGAACTATGAAATAGAGTAAATTCTAGTGTACTCTTTCAGCTTCATTTAAGGTGATGTTTATGCAAAATCTTGAAAATAAAAAAGTCCTTAGTGACCACCGTGACATATGTTGAAATGGGCATTACAAAGACTGTCAATGTTAAACACACCTCCGTAATAAAGCTCAAAGAAATCTGTATCAGGCTTAGGATTCTGGGTATTTTCCTCTTGTTTCTTGCCTATAAAATATGCATTAAGTTAGTGAAAAATATAGAGATTCACGTTTACAAATAATTGTGATGGGTTATTTAAATTGAAATGTAATATTATAAAAATCAAACAATAAATAAACTCAGTTTCAACAATAGAATAACCAGAATGAGAAATTCCCATTAAGAGGAGGACAATGATAATTTATATTGGGGTTCCGATATCAAACTTTATGTTCAAGTACTTCCAAATTTTAGTATTATAATTAACTTAACAATACAGTATGTGGGAATAAACTCCATTTGTATGGTGTGTCATGCTTCAAATATATATATGTATATGTTCACATATGTAGGACAGGGTTATGTGAGGGGCACACTTTTACCTTTATGTAGTATATACTCCATGTCATAGACAAACTCATGATCTGGTTCATGCTTTACTAAAATAGAATTTAAAAATCTAAATATCAAAATAAAAGTTTGCAAATATGCTCAGAGGTCATACTTTGCTTATACACCAAATGATAATATCTACTAAGTTGATAATATAAATCACATCAATCATGACTTCAAGAGTTGAAGATTTAAATTAAGAATGCATGAAATGCAAATATTTTGCTCAGTTCACCTACCAAGAAAGGAAAATTATGTGCTTATGTATAAAAGTGCAAACTCTGTTAAGTGTTGCATATTCCGTGTCATGCCTTTCATAAAAATCAAATATCACACATCAAGTATCACAATTTCTATCAAATCATTCATCACACATTCTAACAATTCATACCACACAAATTCTATCAATTTTAATTTGACCAGTCATGCCATCAAGTCAAGTATAAATTATTTCTAGACCTACCTTAACCCATATATTCCATGGGCTATTCCCAATATTATATGATATATATAGGTTATTTACTGGGAGGGATTGGATATGGGTTTTATTCCGAGGGACAATATAATATTGACCGAAGGGTAATATGATATTGACCGAGGGAGCGCAGCGACCGAGTGTCAATATCATATAACCCAAGGTCAATATCATATTTTCCAAGGAATAAAACCCATATTCAATCCCGACCAGAAATAACCTATTTATTCCATAATACACCCACCCCTCTAAACTGCTACATTTGGATAATGCAAAAAACGGGAAAAAATAACCCGGAAACCGAAAATAGGTTAATATGCTCCAATACGATTTTTCTCGGGGACAATACGATTTTTTCATGTAATACGCTCTAATACGATTTTTTCCTGGGGACAATACGATTTTTTCATGTAATATGATTCAATACGATTTTTATTCCTTCTTATAACATACCTATGATGATGTATAGTGCAAAGTGTACACAAGACAGCGGGCCAATATAAGTTTTGAAAAGCCCGCGCCCGCTAACTTTCTGATTGGTCAAGGCGCTGACGTCATAACCAATCAATCGAAGATAAAACTGCACGAGCAATTTTTCTAAACTCATTTCAACCATTTGTTCGTCAATTCTATAAGAAAACGGTACTCTCTGACCAGTCTACATCATCATAGGTATGTTATAAATCGTTTATGTCACTATCGTGGCACATATGCCCTCGGTTCTCAGAGATCAATGTCCCTCCCAAGGTCGGGCCATATATCACTGAGTCCTCGGGCATATATGCCACGATAGTGACATAACCTCTAAATATTTCCCTGGGAAAACAGTAGTATTATGGAATAAATGATTTTATTAGGCATCCACTCTGTAATACTGTGAATTGCTGGTCCCATTTACTGCTCAGAGACAATGTACTTTAATACAACATAATAGCTCCTAGTCAACTCAACCCCAAGTCATCTCAACCCTTGGTCATCTCAACCCCAAGTCAACTCAACCACAAATCATCTCAACCCTTAGTCAGCTCAAATGATCAACCCTTGGTCATATCAGAATCGAGGTTGACCAAAGCTTCAGTTGACTGTGGGTGGGTTGAAATTACTTGAGTTGAGTTGACTTAGGGCTGTGATTACTTGGGATTTATCTACCCAATTATCTGAACACACAATATAAGTGAACAAGAGGCATGACAGATACAAGACAGGTGCAAACTTACCTTTATCGTCCTCAAAGTCATCATCTTCATATTTGTCTGCACCTACAAGCCAAGCACAGTAACATGTGAGACAAAGCAGTGCAATATATACATAGTGCAATATGAGTACATTGTGCAATAAACACATAGCAATGCACACATATTGTGTACATATATATGTTATGTCTTTACAATATATGTTAGTAGGTATTGTATATGGCCTGTCATGCATGTAAAACATTTGAACTTTGTTTTATAAATTGAATGTTTATTCTTACCTTTGTCTGACTTCTTGGATCTTCTTGATCCATCAGATTTATCAGATCTGTCTGATTTCACTGAATTTGACCTTGATCTTGACCTTTGACTTTCATCGTCATCCTTAACTCCTCGCACAATTCTATCGTTTGCATCTTGGAGAGCCTTTTTAATGGCTGATTCTGCCGCAGAATCACCTTGTACCTTTGCCATGTCCAGTGCCGTCTCAAATGAATCTACAGCATTTTGCAAATCTCCAAGTTTCACTGTAAAATCAAATCGAAAACATAAACTCATGCAAGTGAAACATTTTTTTGTTTTATAAATGGATTAAATTACATTTTTTCTTAACAAATGGTGGCAATGCCAATAACTGATCTTAAAGCAACTCAATATCAGGACTTCATATTAAAGTTGAAAATGACAACATTGAGACAATAAATAAACAGTTTATTTCATCAAATACCAAACTAATGACTGTTAGTTATATGGTGTTTATCTTGAGTTAAGCTGCCAATATTTTCAATAAACAATGCTAAGATATAGAGCGGAATGCAATTATTGTATATTATAACAGGCAAAGCTCATCTCTAGGACTCTAGGAGAGTTGTCTCTGTTTATGAGATATATACACACCCATACAAGTGAGATAAACAAATATAAGAGCCAGAATTAATAAACAGACTACTAGGAAATTGTCTGCATTTTGCAGATTTACTATGCTATAGAGGTGCCAGGAATCATGTAGCTCTAATTACCCTTTGTAAATAAGAATTCACTCTCTGTATTCTGATTAGAGGAGTTACTCGCGAGAAAAATCCAACTCGAGTTCAACTTGCCAAATATTTCCAAAACTCGAGTAAAACTCGAGTTCATTCATTTCGTCCAGTACATGTTGTAAACCCGGTTATACAAAATTACTATAGCTTCTTGCGGCAAGTTTCTCTGGTTTAGTCACATCTAAAAGCTGTTTAACACGTTGGGGACATATGAAAGTGTGGTATTCATTGCAGTTTTATTCAATTTTAGTGACTTCTCTATTATCGCCCGCTTGAGTTCCTTCGATAGAAGATCTTTTTCTGATATTTTTGGTGTAACTCATCATTCCACGATATTTGTTGAACTTCGTGAAGCTTTGAGAGTGTTTTTTAGGTGACGGGCGCTAAATATGGCGATCTTTGGTATATTTATTCCACTAATGAAGTAATGTTGCATGATCTCTGGGACCCGAATTTATTTTACATGCTTACAAGATAGGCAAAACTCGCGAGTTGACTCGAGTTATAGCTAGCTCGCGAGTTGAAATAGATTCCGAGTTTCTAGAGGACAACTCGAGGCAATGTATAGGCAGCTCTGACGAGCTGTACTCGAGTTACTGACTCGGGAGTTACACCTCTAATTCTGATACTCATATTACATGTGCCATGGGCTTGGTACCATGACAACCTTCTTGGTACCATGACAACCTGTCAATGATATATCTGATAGAATATGGAAGTTATTAAAGATTTAAGATGATCTGAAATGTCATTCAAATTCATTAGAATTGAAAAAGGGCTGTTTATTTTTTCCAGAATTTCTTCAAATCAGATTAAAAACCAGAACAACGGCAACGCCAAAGCGTAGCGAATCCCATCGAACAGAAATGGCTGGCATTTTTACAAACGAAGCGCAAATATCATTAAAACACACCAGAAAGGCCACCATCATCAGAAGAAATAATATGCTTTTAAGTAAAGCCACCTCTACAATTTTTGAAAAATCGCACACATACTTGTAAAATAACACACATAAAAATGGTGGCCATTTTTCAAAATGGCCGACTACTCACTAAAGTTTTATTAGACAATATGCCATGCTTAAAGTATTCACATATCAAATATGAACAAAATCGCTCCACTACTTTTCGAGTTATAGTAAAATAGATTAAAATGGCGGCCATTTTTCAAAATTGTTTTCAATATGGCCGCCTTCTACCAAAAGTGTCATAGGACAGTGTGCTGTGCTTATAGTATTCACATACCAAATATTAACAAAATCGCTCCACTACTTTTCAAGTTATAGTAAAATATGTTAAAATGGCGGCCATTTTTCAAATTTTTTTTCAAAATGGCCGCCTTCTACCAAAAGTGTCATAGGACAGTGTGCCATGCTTATAGTATTCACATACCAAATATGAACAAAATCGCTCCACTACTTTTCGAGTTATAGTAAAATACGTTAAAATGGCGGCCATTTATCAAAATGGCCACCTTCTACCAAAAGTGTCTTTAGACAGTGTGCAATGCTTATATAATTCACATACCAAATATGAACAAAATCGCTCCACTACTTTTTGAGTTACAGCAAAAATCGTAAAATGACGAGTAAAGGCCGCCATTTTTCAAGATGGCTGCCATGTGCTTCTTTAATATCTACATTTGTAGCATTATTAATGTCCTTTATAATTTTTTTACATTTAAAACATATTGCTATTACAGTTTTACATATTGCACCTAAATTACTGTAAAATCGTCACTAAAATGGCTGCCATTTTGAAATGAGCGGCCATTTTGGAAATCGGCTTTCAAACAGAACTTCTACCCCCATAGGGTATATGTGTACAAAATATGAACAAAATCGGGCCAACGGTATTTGAGTTATTGCCCGGACGGACAGACGGACGGACGTACGTACGGACGTACGTACGGACGGACGGACGGAGGCGTTCCCTATATCCCTCCGAACTTCGTTCGATGGGATAATCAAAGCAATATTCAACTGTTGAACCTTTTAAAAATAGGCATAATGTGAAATAGGTCCTTAATGACTTCAACCTCTGGTTATCTTTAATTTCTCTAAGTGGTTTTGTGTATCAGCATAAGCAAAGAGTTAAAGGTTCAATCCCAGGTTTCAACACTTGATGTGTTAATGATTTGTACATCATGAAGGCAATTATTAGTGCATTAACTTGATAAAAGACCTATTCTAAGCTGGTACTGTTTATGGTTTTAGCTTGTTTCACAGATGCATGTAGTTCTTGGTTTTGTATAAGGGAACATTTTCTGTATCATTTTATGAGACATTTTTTGTATAAAGTTATTATTTAAAGGAACATGTATATATTAAGTTCTTGGTCACACTTATATAGCCAGGGGGGATCTGGGAACCAACAAGGGGAGGGGGGAAATTTAAATAAAAAGCCCTTAAACCAAAATGTGGGCCCAAATCTTGAACATGAACATTTAAGGCCCATTTTCTTCAAAATTTGGCTTAAAATTAAAAATAAGGCCTTTATTTCCCAAAAAGGCCCACTTATTGGGACCTTAAGGAATTTTGGCCCAAAACCTTTTTGGGCCCAATTTTCTTTTCTGGGCACACCCAAGGGGGGGGGGGGGGCTGGGCTGGGCTCCTACCCCCAGATCTGCCAGTGATAGCTGTCACTTAAACACAAAGTCTGTACTCAAGTTTGGAAATCACACTTAATATCAACAACTTACCCTCAGCTTGTGCTACAAGGACAGTTGCATTCAGTTGCCAAACTTCATCATCAGACTCATTTGCAGCAGCTTTAGACTTCTCACCAAAATCCCTGGCCTCCTCATAGTTTCCTATTTGGAAATGACATCGTCCCATTTCATGGTAAAGCCATGTTTTTTCTAGATCTGATTTAGCCATTGGTAGTTTTTCTTCCCATCTAAAATTCAAGATTTGAATTTATTAGTTTTACTTAATTTCCAATAAAAATGTATATTACATATGTAAATTCACTGTTTCATCAAAATATTATTGCACTTCGAACTCATCTTCAGAAAATTATTTGTATTTTGAGTAATTCTTATAAAATGCCATTTTATTTTGTTATAAAATGACACAATGGAAGCTCTAGTCTCCCCCTATTACTTACATTTCTATAGCATCCTTGAAGTCCCCTCTTCTGGCATAGACTCTGCCTATATTGTCTAAAGAACGGGACTTGGCATCCTCAATGTCACTAAAAAGTAAGAGATAGAGAAAAATATTAACAGTATACCATTAGAATAAATACTATACTACATACTGTATACACCTTATTCAAATATTAGGCATAAGTAAATCTGCATTTTATATTAAGCATCTTGGAAGAAATCACTGTGCCTTTAAACAAAACCTGCAGTAATTCCTATGTACTTGTATATGATTAATTCATATACCATTAGAACCTTTATTTTCTATAGTTGTTGCATTGATCTTATATTACGCCTTATATTATGTCCAAAAGTTTAAACTACAATAAAACCCATCTCATTCAAAAGTGTCCAGATTTATCAAAAACATGAATATCAAAATATATATCAAATATTATCAAAAACATTTAAAACATGGATTTTAGCATTGAATATTATATACTTACTGTTTGTCAGCTATGGCTTTGTCTTTTTTATGGTAGTCCATTGATTTATCATAAGATGCCATTTCAAGATATGCATTTCCAATACAGCTGTAGAGGTTGGCAATGACTTCTTGTTTGTTAGGGACATCATCTTCAGTCCAGTTCTGGACAGTTTTAAGCACTTTCTTGGCCTGTTTGAGGCTCTGTTCATATTCCCCTTGAGACTGGGCTGTAAACATAAGCAAGTGTTCTTAAAAAATAGGACAGAGATACAAATAATAAAGCATTTTTTGGTTGAGTGCTATTGGTTTTCTAATGAAACCATATAATTAATCAGACCTTAAAGGCACACTATACTAAATTTAGAAGAAAAATGAAAAAATAATCATTGAAACATGTTACTCACACACGTGTTTAATGAAAGATAAGACTCTTATCAATACATTGGACATACTATGAAATTTAAATGTAAGTCTTTATTTTGACCCAAAAATGTTGAAAATTCCCAAAGTGGGCCTTTAAATAAAATGTGAATGAAAATTAAATGTTTTTAAAGGAGTAGTATAGATATGGTGAACCTTTTGAACACACGTTTCTCTTAAACCAGTTATCAAAACATTCTGAAAATTTTACACATCATCAATTTAATGGTCTTCTTTTGGATGGTAACATTATAATTTGAAATATGTTTATATACTTTTCTCTATATTGTTTTAGAAAACACATAAGACACTTCTTTTGTTCTTGGTAACATATGTTCGGAATGAAATGAAACATCTATCCGAACCTCATTGGAACAAAAATATTGTTATTGTACAAAGGAAAGGTTGGTTGATTTTAAAAAAGTATCTTGTTAATGAAATAAAAAAAAGTATCTTGTTAATGAAATAAAGGTTTATCTTAATTTTTATCTATTTTGGGGGTTTTGTTTGAAGTTTTGCAAAATCAACCAAAATTTCCTTTGTATAACTATAATATTGAGAGATCTAAGAAAATGTTGTATATGCTATTTTGTTCCAACAAAACATTTTATTTCATTCTCAAGAATTGGTAGAAAGGAACAAAAAACAATTGCACTAAAAAACAGAAAATGTCAACGAAAACAGTTATATAAAATATATATAAATAATTTTTGAATTAAATTGTTGCCAATCAGTCAACATTACATAAAGGGCCATATTTTTTTACATAATGTTTTCAATAATTGGTTTAAGAGAAAAACATTGTTGAATTCAGTTCGCCATATCGATACCTATCCTTTAAATAAAACTTAATTTTTTTAACATGTTTCATTAAGAAAACAATGGAGTGTTAAAAAATATATATAATGAACAAAATATTTCACTTAAAATTTGCTTTGGGAGGCAACTGAATCAAGGGGAACACAAACATGTATATGAGTATTACTTCAAGAGTTCAGGACACTGATACATTTTTCACTTGAATAGAAGCAATGTAATGAAAATTATTATACTCGAACCAAGACTTTGATTTGTTTCTAGATTTCTATGACCAAAAATGTGAATGCACAACAACTTTTCCACTGCCTTAAATGTGTTAAAAATCAAAATGTCAAATCTTATTTGTGAAAAAGATTACTTCATATATTATCAGCAATCAAATGTTCAAATGTACAGAATGAACTCTAACTAGGGGCTCCCCAAGGGGTATGTGATAAGGCGACCTGGCCTCTAAAAATGGGACTAAATGGGACTTTGGGGTACTTAAAAACGAACAAATTTGACAAATCAATCCTTGCAAGTGACAATTTTGCATATTTATCGGACTGACAAGTGTTTTAAGAGTGACAAAAATAGATATTTGTTCTGAATGTAAATTGATGCTAGTTAAGATGACTTATTCTAACCAGCAATCAAACTATGGAACATAACAGACTATTTAGTGCATTTAATACTTTGACGAACTATAAAGGAACGAATCTGACAAAATATGACAAGTGAATTTTAAATGTGAGAAGTGAGAATTTTGAAATCTTAAAAGTGACAAAAGCGACCCCACTACCCCCTCTTGGGTAGCCCTAACTAGTAAACAGTTTAAGGTCCTATTTAAATCCTGGTTCACAGCTGACTGATCATACTCTATTAAACATTTAATGTTCACATTGACCTTAGGCTTACCAAGCCATTTAAAGCAGCATGATGCCGAACCACATAAAAAATAAGTCAATCTTATTTTATTTTCATAGCTTGAAAAACTCAGCACAACACTCTGAGCGCGTATGGCAAAGGAACTTATTCTGGTAGTTTATAGATTTATTTGAACTGTGCATTTTATCCTTAGCAGTTTATACAGCTTCTATTCATAATAAGCTTGGATTTATGAATAGATCCGGGCTGCCAATACAATACAGTACTAAACACATCGAGTTGAACATTGTTGGCTATATTAAAATAACCTGTTGCTATATAGAAATTACTGCATATAAGTTTTCAGCGGATCGGAGGTAGTTTTTACATAAATTGCAAAGTAATTTAATCTGGCAAGTGAAAATATGAATCAGTCAAGTTAAAACTGTAACATAAATACTTGAGATAGCAAAGACCGCAAAACTGTTTTCATACAAAAACATAGGATAGAATGTAAAATACTTGTTTTATCAATCACAACTGAGTGAGGAGTTGATAGATATTTCATACAGTTGAACAACAAACAAGGAAAATGAAGAGAACATTATTGATTATTGTGACCATTTCCATGGTAATGTCAACTGGTATATTAGCAAATGTTGCGGAAAATGACGATAACGATCTGTTGGAATCCCTGCTTGAGGAGTACCTACAATTTGAAAAACACAGCTCTTTAGAAAACACCGTGAATGATGACGACCAGTCTTCCAGAGAATGGCTGAAGATGTATGATTCTGAATCAACAGATTTCACACATAGGATGTCCCTGCTTGAGTGGCAATATGAAACTGATATAACTCCAGAACATGCTCAGGCTCTTATTGATATCAATGTAGAATACAGTGAATGGATTTTGAAAAAAGTTAAAGAAGCTGAAGAATATACAAATGTAAAAGCTAATGATCTGCAACGCCAGCTGAAACTTATCAAAACTAGGGCGACTCCAAAAGATCCAGGAGTTACTAAACAGATGGCAGAGTTAGAAACAAAATTATCGAACATATATGCTGAAGGAAAAGTGGAACACAATGGAACATTACTTCGACTGGAACCTGAACTGCAAGATATCTTATCAAAAAGTAGGGATTATGATACACTGTTGTGGGCCTGGAAAGGATGGAGAGACATTTCCGGAAAGTTAATGAGAAAATCATACACAGACTTTGTGAAATTACAAAACATTGGAGCAAGAGAAAATGGTTTCAAGGACTATGGAGATTTTAGAAGGAGGGGACCGTATGAAATGGATATTGCTGATATGGTCGATGAGCTATTTCTTCAGATAAAGCCAATGTATCTTCAACTACATGCTTATGTACGTCGCAGGCTTCGTGAAAATTACCCAATGGCAGGTATTACAAAAACCAGCCCAATACCAGCTCATTTATTTGGTAACATGTGGGCTCAACAGTGGGACCAAATTCTAGACCTAGTTACCCCTTACCCCTATGTCTCCACAGATGAACCCAATATCCTAAAACGTAAAGGCTTCACTCCTCTAAAGATGATGAGGACAGCGGAGGAATTTTTTACTTCAATTGGTTTGGATCGCATGACAAGGAGTTTCTGGGAGAAATCAATGTTAACAAGGCCAAAAGGAAGAGAGGTGGCATGTCATGCTTCTGCATCAGATTTCTCGGATGGCGAAGATTTCAGGTGGGTTAAGTTGACCTTGAATGAAGATGTATAGTATATGGGGTATTTTAGGTTGTTCTGCACTTTCAAAAAAGTCTATTACCAAAATTTGGGGAAATGTCATTTTAACATACAGTGTTATCTGTATATCCAAACACCTGGCTAATCTGAACACCTTCCAATCAAACACCTTGATTGGTCACATTTTCCCTCCCATTGACTCCCATGTTAAAAAACTTGAAATCTGAACATCTAATATGAAATGAACACTACTATTCGAAAAATTAACCTGTCTAATCTGAACCCTTTTCACAAGATATTACATATTTCATACAAAATTGCTTAAATATTTCCTATTTTCAATTAAACACTGATTTCAAATGAAATCAAATCTTATGAAAAAACATCAAATGGTCTCAATCATAATGGGTCCCAATGTTGTTCAGATTGGACAGGTTTTACTTAATTTTGATTTTGAACTATTTGCATGTACAAGGGCGTAGCGCTATTTTTCTAAGTAGTACGCCACCATCACGGGAACAAGAGTTGAGTGAATCCCAAAAAGCATTTTGGGGGGTCTGGGGGTTTCCCCCAGGAAAATTTTGAAATTTTATTGTATTTGGAGCGAATTTGCAACCATCTGGTACGCCTGTGCGTACCAGGCGCTACGCCCATGATGTATTCTTACACAGTGTAAATATTCCCAACAAAATGTGGAAAAACATTACCTAATTAATACTGATAAGGTCTCAATGACCTCAAATGTTGCTTTCATTGCCTTTTATAAGAGTTTGGATGTGAAATGAATGTTATACACACAAGGTGTACTTTTCTGATGACATGTTCTGATTGCATATAGGCTGGCCTAGATCTAAGACTTACCATTAATACAAAGAATAATATATTTATTTTAAGGATAAAAATGTGTGCTGAGGTTACAAAGGGTGAACTGCAGACCATGCATCATGAAATGGGACACATAGAGTACTACATGCAGTACGCCCATCAACCAAATGTCTACAGAGGAGGTGCAAACCCAGGATTCCATGAGGCAGTTGGTGACACTATTGCCCTATCAGTGATGACTCCAGGACACATGGAAAAGATTGGTTTGGCAAATGAGGAGGAATCTTCATCTGAAGACACCGACAAACAAATGATCAATTTCCTCCTTTCAATGGCTTTGAGTAAGATCGCCTTTTTACCATTTGGACTTCTCATTGATAAATATCGCTGGGATATATACAGCGGTAAAGTGGATGAAACTAACTATAATGCAAAATGGTGGGAGTATAGGATAAAACACCAGGGGGTCAGCCCACCTATTCCTCGTTCAGAAAATGACTTTGATCCTGGTGCTAAGAATCATGTAGCCACAAATGTGCCTTATATTCGTTATTTCTTTAGTTTTATCCTACAGTTTATGTTTCACGAATCTCTGTGTGATAAAGCAGGTTATGAAGGTCCTTTATACTACTGCGACATCTTTCAGTCTAAGACTGCAGGTGAAAGCCTTAAAAATATGCTTTCGATGGGTGCAAGTAAACCGTGGCCTGACGCACTTGAAGCAATATCGGGTAAACGTTTCGTTGACACCTCATCTATTATTAAATATTTTGAGCCTTTAATGAAATGGCTTAAAGAAGATAATGAGAAACATGGGGAAACTCCAGGATGGGACCCTAATGAAGAAACTTATAAATCAGAAAATGATATCTCAAAACAAGCTCTTGTTAGAGAAATATTGGAAGCTCTAAAAGAAAATGATCAGTATTAAATGCAATCAAAATTTCATATGGTCTGTCACAGAATCGTGCAATTATTATTTTGATCACGGGGACCAAGGTGCAAAGAATAATTATTGTCAAAATAACAATTTATTTATGTCAAATTTCAGATTTGGTTTTCAACCTGGAACTGACCCTCGTAATATCAAAAATATTAAAAGTTATTGAATAAAAAATTGACCAGTTCAGTCAAGGCAAACATGTTATAAGGAGATCCCCGAGTCTAACTAATTCATTTCTAAAACTCAATGTCTCAAATGCATTCCAATTATTCAGTAGAAATAATATGATATATCGTGTAAAGGTCATTAGATGATGCCCAATTAAGATGTTACAAATACAGTTGCATAATATATTTACGTGTACAGAATTGTTAAATGCAAGCATAAGGAAGGGTGTGTTTAATAACATGTTATGTGCAGGCTGTAGGTATAGGGTTGTTATGCTTTCTTATGCTAATTGCAATAAATGATCAGATATCATATTAATTGCAGTATGAGAGAATCAGAAATAGCAATATTTTCAAAAATTATGATTCGTGTCAAGAATTTGTTAAGATGAACATTTATGGGTTCATTTTATTTAAATATGGGTATGGATTTCCCATGTAAAATCATGAAGGATCCCTTTCCTTTTTTCCCTCATCAAATATTAGACCAAATGACCTCTGTAATGAAACATTTCAAATTCAAGATCTTGACGACATTTTGATATTCAGACAGTATATATCTCTGATTTTCAATGAACATTAAATGCAGTACTTATAATTATTGTTTGTAAAACTCCTACTTGGAGGTTCAAAGATTTGGTTTCAAAATCTTTATTTATGTTCACTTTATAAAAACATGTTTCTTCTTAGATATAAAAAGGTGATATGTTTTGATCAAAATGGAACTCATTCATTTACAATAGTCACTGTCTCTTAGTAATGTTCTAGGGAACTTCATTTTCTCATGTTTTCAAAAGTATTTTTCTAAAATTCATTGTTCATGAAACATGTAAATGTTTATTTTCCAAGAAACACTTTAATATGTGAATTATGAAATACAGTTGTATATGATACACCTCTAGAAGAGAGAAAATGCGAAACATGCAATATTATAGAAAATGAAGAACACTATCTCATTCACTGTACGAAATATAATAAACAAAGAAGTATAATGTTGTCTAAAATGAAAATGCCAGTACAAGAAAATCTATTTATTTATTTGATGTCTGGTAAAGATCAAAACTGTATAAATGTAGCAAAATATATATTTACATCCAGTACCAATAGCTATATCTCTAGTGCACCAATGCATCATCATAATTAATAGTAATACTAATAGTTATGTAGTTTTTTTAACATGTTAATGTCTTCTTTTTCCTTCCTTTATAATTGTCATAATTTTTTGTTTGTACATGTACTTGACCCCAAGGGGTGTGAATGACTTGAACAATAAAAAAAATATGAAATGTTCCCACTGTAACTTCATACATGTAAGTACTTGGTGCAATAAAATATTGGCAATGTTTAATAAATTTTTAGTTTTATTATTTTAGAAAAAAATGAAAAATGATCGGGTTAACAGTAATAAGAGATAGTGGATTAAATATATGGCTTACCCAGATCCAAATAAATCTATGAGGATAAAAGAATGGTTAAAACCCAATCTATTATAATCCAAGGGGCACTGAAGGATTATTCTTAATTCATCAAACTCAGTTATTAAGGAATTATAATATTATAAGGGATATCAAAAGATTTGGAGGAATATGATTTATATCCACTACATTTGAAAGGAGCAATGGAATGATGACAGAATAAGCATTAGTGCTAAAATCAAATTAGGACAATCACCGTATTTTAACCTATAAAATTTTCATCACTTTTTCAAATGTTTATTTCTTCCAATGTTTTTGGGTTTTCAAAGTACCTCTATAATGCACTTTGAAGATGAGTACTTTTATTCAGTTGCTGCATTGATGTTGGAGTTTGTAGTGCAGTTAGGATGTAATGAAATTTTTTCCAATATAGCGACTAGTCAACTGATCACATGACCTTCTCTATCAGTATATATTCCCTCTTTTCACACATTGTTTTCAAAACGATGTGAGCCAAAACAATGATAAAAAATATCTGCTATATAAAGGTTAAGAAGAGACCAATTGTTTATGATACTTTTTTTGTCCAATGTTGATCGAGCATAATGATTAAAAATAGGAATGAAAATCCACATGCTAAACTAGTGAGGGAAAAACAAGGAGATTTCAGTGTCTCCAGGTTTGAAGACCGAACCGCGAATTGGAGAATTTATGATATTTGCTGTTTTCTATGGACAAATGATTTTCTCAAAGTATGATGTTATTCATATTTGATTGTTATGCTAAAATTAATAAAAGACATTTAATAAACACTCACATTCCTCAATCTCCTCCAGATTTCGTAAAACATATTTTGATGGGTTGGAATTTTTGTCATTCCCCTTTCCTTGGCCTTTTTTCTTCTTGCCATGCATCGGTTTTTGTTGACGCCAGAAGTCTGTCCTTGTATCAAGATAGTCGAGGCCCTCTCTAGCAAGATCTTGGACTTTTTCTGTTGTGTCACACTTACGCATGGCTGGAAAGATTGAGAGTATATTAATATTGGGCTTGGATGTTTGTTTCTAATAGAGAGAGAGAAATATCAGGTGACATTTACCTTTTAGGAAAAAATTATATTCTTTTGTAGAAACCTTACACAATGTTTGAAATGTTGAGAATAAGGATGGAATACATTAGCATGTAAGGAGTATGTGGGACTTGATGTTTCTATGAGAGCAACATAATGTATGAGTCTGAAATATGTTGCACCAGCATAATATGCAAGCTTTTGTATGTCATAGGAAATTATATATGACTTGGAATACGTGTGTATCATCAATAGGTGTTAGGTATATCTTCACATCAGTACCAGATGTATTTAAAGTGTTCTATTCCAGTTGGAAATAAATGTCAATGAATAGATGTACCCCAACAAATCGTGAAGGAGGTACAAGTAAATGTCCCTAACATTTTATTAGTGTAAATCGATTATAAAAACAAGCATGTTTTCATTTGAAAGCACTGAATAAATGTTATTTTCAATATTTTTGGGGTCCTGTGACTCCTGTCATTGAGGGGTCAATCAGACAGTCATTACATTGTTATTACTAATCATGTGTGGGGGTTTTATTGAACTATTGACCTGACCCCTTATTGTAACATAATTATTATACTTACAAGAGTCATTTAACAGTTTTTCTAAGTATTCTCTATCAGCATATAAATCACCAAGCAACTGTTTCAAAGTCTTTGTATCTTCTGTTCTCTTTGGCCGTTCTTTCTTCTTTTCATCCTGTTTTCCCGGTTTCTTGTATGTATATCCTCCTCTCGCCTGCTTTTTGGGAGATTTCTTCTGCAACGTGGATGATAGTTTATGTTAACTGAATCAAAACTTCTATTTCTAAATGTATAACTCAATCCATTCATTTTCAGTTTTTAACATGTTTTAGACACAATGATTTTAATAAAAGTACTTATTGACGATCAGTGATCTCCCCAGCATTAAAACAATTGGGCGCAGCACCCATCTGGAATTCCATTTGCACCCACTTGAAAATGAGAGAAATCTAAAAAATTGCCATATTTTGACCTGACCAATTTCAGCATTAAATGTGAAAATGAGAATTTTGTACCCACTTGAGAAAAAAAATTCTGTGGAGAACACTGATGATATATAAATTAATAAACAGACACATTAGAAAATTCAAGATGTAAGTATTTTTCATTGGAGGGAATTGAATCTCAAGAAATACATGTATGTGAGTGAAACCACCTTAACCTACAATTACAATTTTATCAGGTTTGGGAAAAAGTCATTGCTTTAAAATTGTGGATATTTAAGGGATGAACAATATACAGGTTTCACTTCCAAGAAACAAAAGAATATGACATAATATAAAAATGGCTATTGAATTATTACATCACAGTGCACTATTAAAATCAAATTGTTTCAACATGAAATTGTTATGGTTAACACTAAAATAAAAGTTTGATTATAAATGATTATCAAAAAAATAATGTTATTGTAATTATGTCTAAACACTGTGTTAGAAATCCCTAGAACAAGTGATAACATATTAATTTTGCATTCATTATCTCTAACCTGTTACGGTCTACAATACATAAGTGAAACATTATGAACCAACACTGCATTATGAACATTATGAACATTATGAACCCGCACTGCTTAAACCATGGGCTTTCAACTAGTCAATATTTCACATATATGTACTGTAGACAGATTTAAACAAAATGAATTAAAACAAGCATAAATTATCTTTTAAAATGTTACTATAAAACATATCTGTTAAGAATGATCACATTCAATAATCAAACATTAAACAATATATTATTTCAACCAGCAATGGCTAGTATTACAATTCCATATGTGGAATCAACATATACCTGATTAGGCCTATGAGTGACGTGAGGTGTTGACCTGTGTGTGAATTAAAAACATGTGATATACATTAGCATGTCACTTGATCGTTAACAATACTGTAATTACATCCCCCATGTTAGTCTTGCATCTAGCCCATGGATGTGTCACCCCCTCTTAAATGTGTATAGACTACAGTTGTATGGTGACTGATAGAAATAGGGTTGTTGTACAAACAAATTTGGTAGATAAATAGATATATAGGGTGTGGTAGAGTAGTGGGGGAGAGTGAATTAATGCAAGACAATTCACATGATTTTGTAGCCCAAATTTTTGTTAAAGACTTGTTTCAAGACCCTCCTCCATTCCCACAAATGGGGTGATTGATACAGAACTTTGATGCAAGACTATTTTGATATGGAGCATTTCTAATAAGTTGCTGTATATTAATAGTGATAACTGCTACTCCCTCCATCTTGATTTAAGCAGTTGCCTAATGCATTTTAATACATTTCTCCACCTTATAGTCTATTATATACATGTATCAAGTTTCAAGGTGAATTCCAAGCATGCATTATATGAAAGCCAGACACCAGAAAAGTATAAAATATTATCAAAGCATGCAAACCATTTGTTAACTTAAAACAATATATGGAGATTTGAAGAACCAAACCTATTTAAAGTCTTTAACATAATGAAATAGGTCATTATCAATTTAAATACCACATGCAGGCCCGTAGAAATAATATAGATGACATGATGTTTTGAATTGTTACAGTAATTACAGTGATTTTGAAGAATAGTGACAGCATTCCTCTACTTGATTCTTTACCTACAAGACCCAATTAAAAAGATTCCATAACTTATTGAAAGGTCATTAGGAACCTGTTTCTAAAAATATTGTAAATCACAATAATTTGAATCTGTTTATCTTTCATAATATGACGTGAAAGACAAGTGAAATCAATCACTCCAGAAGTTGTTCTTGGATTGATCACAGTGAAATTGTAGATGTTCAGAAAGGGGCTTGTTGAATGTTAGAAAGGGACTTGTAGATGTTCAGAAAGGGGCTTGTTGAATGTTCAGAAAGGGACTTGTATATGTTCAGAAAGGGGCTTGTTGAATGTTAGAAAGGGACTTGTAGATGTTCAGAAAGGGGCTTGTTGAATGTTCAGAAAGGGACTTGTAGATGTTCAGAAAGGGGCTTGTTGAATGTTAGAAAGGGACTTGTAGATGTTCAGAAAGGGGCTTGTTGAATGTTCAGAAAGGGACTTGTAGATGTTCAGAAAGGGGCTTGTTGAATGTTCAGAAAGGGACTTGAAGATGTAGATAAAAGGGACTTATGGATGACTTGAAACTCCAAAATTGGATTGGAAGATAATTTTAATGAATTGTATGTTGTAGAATCTTATTAAAACCATGCACCATGTTATCCCAAGTTATAGCATCTCACATGTTTACATACACTACTACTTTGCGTAGACTCCCCAACATCTGGCTCATTCTTAGAAGCTCTCTATGGTTCAAATAAAGTTCCCATGTAAATATGGTGGGATATATGTCTATATAAAACATGTAGAGGTTGTCTCAAAAGTTTCAAACTAAGTTCTTTACTTAATCCATAATGTTAACTACTAAACCACCAACTTACTCTAATCATTTCCATTTTTAAAATAATAAAAACCATTATACTAAACATTTTTTAATGAATCCACTGAACAAAACTGATCATGCACAGAAAATGGTACAAAACTTATGAGACAACCCCAAGTGTAGAAGTGTCCACTGTCAGACTGTAGGTAGGCATTCCTATAGGTAGGGTATAATAATATTTGAAGTCAAAGGAAAAACAAATAACACTGTGGCTTTTATATGGTGACAATTCCAATATACACAAGTCTAAATTTTCAAGTTTACCTCTGGATAAACACAATACACAGCAGTCTCGATGAGAGGTTAATGTTGTAATGTTGTAATCAGTACAATATGTTCTGTATTTTCCAAAGTACACTTGTAAACTAAAAGTTCTATTGCAAATTATTAAGCTTAATACAATTCTGCATGGCAGAAACAAAAAGGAACCAATTCTCAAAGAATTCTCACAACATGAACTCACCTCATCCATTTTGTCAAAGTCTGTAAGGTCTCCCTTAATTTCAAGTCTACTTGGGCCATCGTCTGAAATAAAAAGTATTAATGTTAAATACATGTAATGTACTTTTATATCACCAAGAAGAACTGTTGAAAAATTGTTACAGCCAAGAGGGGGGAAAGCCCCAGAGCATCTGCGATGACAGACATATTACGTCTCTTGTGTACCATCTTTGTTTGCCCAAATTCTCACCAGTTCATTTTCGATGCGTCGTTGTGTTGGTTTAGTTGAGCATATTCTTTAAATATTTCTATATCTTGATGTGAAATAATAAGCTATGATATTGGTTGAGACGCCAGAAATCAACATAATATTATTCGAAGAATTATTAGAAAATTTTGAATCCGCCATTTTTGTTTATCGATTTGGACCAATCAGAGGTGTATGTCATCTCAAACATATGTCATCTTGGAACTCTGGGGTTCATACCCCCTTGCCAATGCTTTATGTCACTGGCATTTAGCAGTCAGTGTCTGAAGTGGTATTTGAAAATAATGTTTCACTTTTGTTTCCATTTGAAGCTGGTGATAATTTGTCATGTTAATTCCTTGTTGAACATTTCAATCACTGGCCATTCATTTGAGAGCATCACATTTGTGGACTAAGGGCTTGATAAAAGAACTCATGTAACTAAAAGGTGATGACATCTCTTTTAGCAAGAATAAGATAAAGCCTAATCACCTCCAACACAGTTATTGATCGCCTCCTTTGCTTTTTGTATGCCCAATCGAAATCCCTGGAGCTCAGGTCTCTGATTGTGACCTCTCTGGTAGAAAACAAATGCCATCTCAAATTCTCCTTGTTGGTATAGCGACTCAGCCTTTTGAAATAAAGCCTGGGAAAATACAAACAGAATGTTGGAATTTTGGTATCACAATTTGCATAATCTGCTCAAAATATAAGCATGTATATAAATGTTATTTTAGTAAGGAATTTCAGGTTCAACTGTTTTAAGATGTAAATGTATATTATATAGGATGAATAGGAACATTTTGTTATTGTAGGATGAGTTAGTCCTGCATCATGCCCCATCTTGGATTCTCCTTCCACTTTATATCTTTATGACAAAAAATTGGGAAATATATATGTATGGGAGAGGCTTGGTGCAATAATATACTAACACTGTTTATATTCGTCAATATCAGAACAGTTTTGGTAATTTGCAAGAGCAAGTCATTAAGTCCATGATAGTTTGTCTAAGATATGGACTGACAGTCAGCATTTAAATGGTATATATATATTCAATACAGATAATACAGTATTCAATTGGAAACATTCAAGGAATAAAAAGCCTAAGAATACTTGTGTTTGATAGATTTGGCAAGAAAACAATAATCTCTCCATGGTAGATGGTACTTATGTCTTTATTTGTAATTTACAAAACCACATACCTTTATGTGTTTGGGGTCCTGTTCCAAGATGTTTTCAGAATCTTCCAATGCACTGTTGGCATCTCCAACTTGAATGTAGCAGTTGGCTCTAGAACACAGGCAGTTCTTGTCATCAGGTTTCAGTTCCAAAGCCTACGATAACACAGTGAATGAACATTTTTCAAATACCGGTAGTTACATTGCATTTTACATATATGTGTAGATATTTGGGGTAAATGAAATCCCAGTTATTCATGCAAATGTATATGGTATATAAAAGTACATGAGTGGAATTTCTAGTGTCCAGTAAAGCCTGTAAAGGGAATGCCTTTGGTACCTCAAAGTTCCACTTGGGAGATGTTCCATTATACATTACAGGTTTTACTCTAAAAGTACATTACAGGATGACCCTGATATATATTTGCAATGGCCGTGTGCTTGCCAAAAGATGAATATAATTGAACAAGTCTACCTAACACCTCCAATGAATGTATGTAATCACATGTATTTTATATTCAAGCAACCCAGCTAATATACCAGTATACACAGTCCTACATTATGTTTGATATCAAACAAAGATTCCTAAATTAAGTTTTAATCCTGAAAAGGGGTATTCTTTCACCTTGCTGTAGCAGTTAATAGCACGTTTATACTCTGCTTTATGTACAAAATGATCTCCTTCATCTCTTAATACATCAAAAGATCCTGGATCTTCTGGTTTACTTGCAGCATATGAAGCCTCGCTTCCTCTCCGGCCACCTTTTCTACCCGGCATTTTATATAAACTTGAGATATTCCAAAAATCAAATGCAAACTTTAACAGCCCTATACCATATATACAGATATCAATATTAACATCACACTCATAAAATCTCTGTTGCTATACGATATTTTATCGCTATTGTGCGATTTGTTTATTTTTGAACATTTTTTGCCAACTTCAATAGAATGATTGTATGCTGTTACTGTGTGTCTATAGCCTTAAAAGGACATGTCAAATATCAACATGGGTAATTCAATCGTCAAAATACAAATAAAAAAGTTGACTAGACTATTGTGACAAATGGTGAATGGGGAATGTTGACTCACTGTTGTATAGCTCTCAATAGCTTTTTTGAACTCTTTTTGCTTAAAAAGTATGTCCCCCTCTGCTCTGTATGTTTCGTACGACACACTGTGGCCTGCATTGCTACCTCGATCCATCGTTTAATATCTAATTTAATCCTATTTTCTGTAAGATAAATATTATATTGTGCAGGTGCCCGAATATGAAAACAAATATGGCGATCGCTAGGCAACAAATTGATCCGAAATTTAAACCGATTTTATGGCATTGTAAAGACATTTAAGTAGAGATAAGTTATCGTAACCCATTAAACTATATTATATTCGAATTGTGAAGGGGATAAATAAAGGATAAAGAATAATAGAATGGATACGATGTGGTAAATGCTGGCTCTGTATGCGTCCTCGTTTTCGAATTGTTTACAAATGGCGGACAAGACAAATTTTGAAAATTTAGAAATTTCAGACGATAAATCAGCAGCAGATGACCCAAAGAAACCTCTTGCGGATTTTATAAAAGAACATTATGATAAGCAAAAGGTAATACTCACATGTGGTTACATTTTAGAGTTCCGGTTGCTCGATATATTTGCTGTAAATGGGCTTATTAGCCACTTGCAAATTAATTTGAGCATGGATTAAGGAATTGATCAGGATGAAGGAAATCAGAAATGTAGAATTTCTGTGTCACTCGACATTTTGAGAATTTGTAGTCATATCTGCACTTCACAAATCAAAGTCAACCTCTGTAGCAATTTGACACCACCTTCTAATTTACCTCACTGACCTCTAGTCTATTGTTTCTCGAAACATACATGTATTTTCCATAGGCAATTATTATTACATCTTTATTTCCCATTATTCATGGAGCATTTTACAACGTAATTACAGGTTAATAAAGTGTATAAAAAAACTTTCAAACGAAGGTTGTTTTTGTTTTTTTAAAAGTGGTAGTTATTTACATCATTTATACATTTATGTTGAGCAGAAAGCTCTAACACCTTACATTATTATCGCTTTAATCTGGAAACGCTGGAACCAATGAGATTCCGTTTATAAAAATCAATTTGTGTATTTGTGGCAAAATTTTACTTAATGCTGCTATTTTGTCGCTTGTATCTTCATCAGCGTCGCGGGGGTCACATACTAAGTCGTGCATGGTCATACCTTTGCAGACAGCATCACAGCAGCATTGAAAGAGTAAATGATTTACTGTATCTATAAATAAATTTCCGCATTTTTCACATAAATGATTGGTTTCTTTGTCTTCAGGAAGTGCTACTAGTTTCGCTAGTGTGTAGCAGTATTCTAATAGATGCGGATGTTTTTGACCAGTAGTCCATATGATATTGTTAGATAATTCGACTTTGGTCAACCTTAGTGTGCTGATGCTAGCTTCAACTTGTATTTGAACGTTATTTTTACAAATTAATTTCCATAGTTTTGTTGGGGGAAAGTACCTGTCATCTAAAAATCTTTCTAAGTATTCATTTAGACTGTACTTCTGAAGTATGTTTTGGATGTCTGGTATAAAACCTTTTTGTTTATGGGAAGCATTTTCTGTTCTGCATAGATGTGCACGAAATAAGAAAATGTTCTTTGTAACAGTGTTGCCCATGTTGCAAATTCGCCCAAGTAAAGATAATTTTTTTAATTCAATAATTTGAAGAATGTCTTTACAGTTTAAAAGTCCAAGCACAATATCAGTCTTCGTGCATCTGTATAGGCCTTGCAAGCGCTTGAGGATAAATCGGTAGGCCCGTTGTAATATTAGGCACTGGGAGGTTGTTAATTCATTCCACAGTTCACAACCATGTAAGGCGGAAGGGATGCAAATAGTGTTAATGAGCTTCAAGCCAGTTAGAGGATTTAGACCTTTCGGGTGAACGCCAACTCCAACAAGCGAAGCGAAAGTTGTTTTCAAGGATGAAGCAGCTTTGTCTATGGCCTTGTTCAGACTGAGATTTGAATCATATATGTTTCCAAGATGTTTGAGTGAGGATACTTCAATATTATTTCTCCATCAGATGACATCCATTTATGTTTTTGTATCAATAGGGAATTCTGGTGTTTAGATTCACCGAACGTGATGACGTTGGATTTTTGCAGGTTAAAGACAAAACGCCATTTCTTAGAGTAGATTATGGCAGTTTGAATCAACGTATCAAGGCTAAGCTTAGATTCAATTTTTAAATAAAGATGGCATGGTAATTGATCTGTGTTTATCTATGTTTCTCTTTACTGGATTCTGTTGGTGATGCCATCTTTTATTATGTCGGACCAGAACCTATGATATTTTCTCAAAATCAGAAAATAGAGTGATGAGCAGGAACATTTTGAAGGGAATTTCAGTCACAAAATAACGAGTGACAACTTACATTTTCCTCTGAGTATAATCATAATCATAGGCCAAGGGTAAAGTAATAGTAAGCTGTATATAGAAGAGACAGGTGAACAAGTCTGACTTAGACCACTTGTTAAGATGGAGATTTCAACAATATTTAGTGTATTCTTTTCAAAAAGCAATGGGGAGTTGATAGAAAATTGATAGTTTGTAGCTCTTACCTAAGATTGAAACTCAGTCAGATGATATAGAGTGAATAATGCTGTCTTAAAGAGAGAATTTCTGAAAACCTGCAATTGCTTGGCAAGTTCATTTGTAAACAAGTGATCTGATTGGTCACTGCTGACCTCCCTGACCTCCACCAGTGACAATTTCTGTATTAACCAACCAAATCAGTTTCAGCTTGCCAGGCAATTGCAGATATCCATAGTTGTTGTTTTATATGCAGTATTATATGCAATTTTTAGATATAGATTTGAAAAAAACAATGATATAAGTTTGAAAAACACTTTGAAGAAGATTTTGGAGAGATTTGGGAATACAATTTGATACCAGTAAGGAGAACTAGTGCCAAGACTAAAAAATTTTGAAAATTTTTCAATCTTACTTGTGGACCTGTCTCTTCTATATACAGCTTACTAATACTTTTCCCTTGGCCTATGATCATAATGATAATGAAAGCTGATTAGACTCTAAGTTAGAGTTAGATGTAAGATAAGGTGTAGATATGAATTACAGGTACATGTATGCATAGGAATTCATGTGGAATTGATGATAAGTCCAGTGACTATAGTTTTGACAGACTAGATACATATGTAACTCTAAGCTTAAAATACTTCAATCTAGGCCTATACTAGACTAACTATCATGGAAATAACTTTAGCCACATACCTTCAAATTACCTCCCTGTATCAGATGTTTGGATATCTATGAAAATTAGGTAATCATCTAAAAATGCAGGTTATCATCTCAAAGCATGCACATGCATGGTGTTTCTTGATTGTACTGAACATGCAAATTATGAACAGTCTTTTTGATATTATTTTAGGCCGAGGGGAAGATAGCTCCAAGTGATGATATCAGCGATGAGCGTGCCAACAATTTTTTCAATAGAGCCATACAAGAAAGTCAAAGGTCAGTTTTACATACATGTAATGAATCATACATGTATGAATCTTTATATCCTTATTTAGATCTTGAGATCCTTGTATTCACATTTATTATATTCAGGGTTACTCAGGTAGAGCAGGTATTATATTGATGAATAAATACCACGGGCTAGGCACAAACTTTTTCTGTACCCCAAACCACCAAAGGGAATGAGGGGTTCAAAAGCTTTTGTGCCTAAAGCCCTAAAATATCTATGACTCAATATAATACTTGATCCGAGGTCTATACTACGATTCACGCATGAAAACTCACCAAAATCCGGCAAAATTGCCTCTTCCTTTCCTACTTTTGGTGCACTGAGTGAAGTACAGACCAGGTATTGCATTTACGAATAAATGCCTGGTAAAATATTGACTAATAAAAGATATTATGAAATGTGATTTTCATGCTCTGGAGAATGTACTAGACTGCTAGAAATCAGATGTTCATCATGAAGTTATAAATTGTAACCAAAACATTACTACAGGGTGTCCCAGAACTCATGAGAATTTTTTGAGGGAGATATAAGGCATGAGTGATTTTTCTTCAAATTTGGTACATTTATTAAACACACTTTGGGGGATAACTGACATGAATTTCAGGCAGATATCTTTGATATTTTCGAATTTATTGACATTTGAATTCTACATCGCCACAAACCCCGGAGTTATCGGGAAAATACAACAGTTTATGTCACATTTTGTCAATTTTATACAAATTCTCAACTATAAAACCAAAGTTTTTTTGTATAAGCTTAGTACAGCATTTTTCTCATATTCATGATGCACTTTGATAAAACGATATATAAACTTTGATAGAGACCCAACACATCAACAGATTGTACATTTGGTTTGCTGAAAGATCATAATGACATGTTCCTGAGGGACTGAAAGAAATGTCCCCATTTGTTTGCCAATATGATCTTGCATATTGACAGTGCTCCAGTGAATAAGTCACTACATGCATGTCAGTAGTGCATCCAATTTACTTTCTATTGAGACTTCACAGTATATAGTAGCTCCATATACTTGCCAGATTTTGCTCTACTAGACTTTTGATTTATTTGGGGACCTTAAACAAAGGTGAGCCTAACCATGTCACTGTTAAAACGGAGGAAGAATTGAGTCATGTTGTTTCAGAGCACCCTACAGAAATGGCTATTGGACGACTTGGGAATGTGTATAAAGAGAAGTTCAAAAGACGACATCAACTGCAGATAATATGCTATAATAACTCTGTAGAGATATGTTAGCTGAATATGTATGATCCTATTAACTAATGTACTGAAACGCTGAAATAATTCAATGAAAACAATGCTATTAGAGTAGAGAAGTTGTATAAGTATTATCAAAATGTGACGTAAATTGTTGTATTTCTCTGACTACTCCAGGGTTTGTGGCGATGTAGAATTCAAATGTCAATAAATTCGGAAATATGAAAGATATGTGCCTGAAATTCATGTCAGTTATTCTTCAATGTTAGTTTATTAAGTGCACTTAATTTGAAAGAAAATCATTCATGCCTTATAGCTCCCTCAAAAAATTCTCATGAGTTCTGGGACACCCTGTACAATGAATGTCAAATTATATTTTTATTATCTAAACAGTGGGTTATCAATGAACAATTCTGAGAATTTTACATTTGAAATTAAATGAGTGAATAATAAATGCTACACACAAGTACTTGCTGTCTGTTTTTGCAATTTTATTTTCACATAATTGTTATTGGTCACCCTGTAGAGCATGAACATAAACAGTGCAGTATACAATAAACTTAACTATTGACCAAGATCACAGTTTAAGATTTACAGTCAGCATTAGATGAATGTAGTTGATTTTCACAGTCAACCAAATGGATCTAGGTCTCTACATGTAATTACTTTCTTTGAGAAAGAAAAATATCGATATACGTTTTGTTGTTGTTTTTCAGAATGAATGAACAAACAGCAAAGTGCAATGCAAAGACTAAAAAACTCTATGAAGAATTTGGAAAAGATGCGTTTGAATCTTGGCAAAATGAGCATGCAGCACATGTCCTCACGCCAGAGGAACAACATTTAATAAAACAGAACAGAAATGGACAAACATAGAAGCAACTTAATCTAGGAGTTTTTTATTTGAAATTAATGTTTGTATATTTATTTATTGAAAATAGAAAATGTTAACAGTTAATAAAGCATTGCAGCTACTTTATATCGTAATGTTCAGATTAAAAAATGTTAAACCAACCAACTATATTAAAAAATGTTCAATAACTGCATAAGGATACACATATTAAGTCTACTACAGGTGTATACTTTCTTTCTATACTGTGACATTAATGCTCCACTCAGGAGGTGCTGCACTTATGGAGGTGTTCCACTTTACAGGTTTAATTGTATGTACAACTGATCACAACCTCAGTCAGATCATTTATTCCTGTACATCATCATAGCCATGATATAAGATCCACCAACACCATCAGCAAAACACATTGTATGTTGAATGAAAACAAGGTTGCTCCTCTTGAAGTATCAGTTGAGTCACATTTCCATGTAGTCTGGTTATTTTTTCGAAATGAGTCCAATTTTGGAATAGTTTCAGCCCAAGCAAACATCCTATCAACGTTGTAATCCTTCTGACTTGTGAATTTGCCATCTTGTTCTATATTGAGATATCCCTTCTCTTTGCAATCAAACCGTGACCATTGTAAAGGTGTGTCTTCGGAGTTTGGAGATCTGAAATTGTAATATAAAAATATTGAATTGAGTTGAGTCAGATAGGGAATCAGTGATTACTATAATCATTATTAATAGTAAGAGTATAGTAAAACCTGACTAATCCGAACGCCATGGACACCGCCTAAAATCGTTTGGATTAGGAGCCGAGGTGTTCGTATTTCGAGGTTTTTACATCCACAAGATTCTAGATTTTGAATGTTGGCCACATAGCTTCATGGCATTCCAAAATCTGAATTAAATCAATTTAAGTCAACGGGAGGAAAAACTTGCACATGAAAAAGGTGTTCGGATTTGCCAGGTGTTCGGATATTCAGGTTTAACTGTATGTACAATCTTCCCAATAATCTGTCACAGATTTAATTGTTTTGTTTTCTTGTACATTATTATTGTTATATATATATATTATACAAACTAACCCCGATTTAATAAAATTCGCCCAGTATCTCATGATCTGTCCACTCAGTATCTTTTCGTTCTCTGTATAGCTTCCCGACCCATGGTTCACGAACGGGTCCCCTTGTGTATATTGTATCTCGTCAGCATGCCCCGCGCTTGCCCATTGCTGGCGTGTACTGGAGCTTGGTCTGTGGGCGAAGCGATACATGAATGTTGGAGCAACCTCTATAAAACAGATACATTTCATATGTACGATTTAATTAGCCTAAGGCCGCGATCGTGATCTTCACAGCACTCGCGGGTCCAGGGGGAGGGGCATGGGGCCAAGAAAAACGTTTGGGCCCAAAAAATTGTAGGGCCTCAATAAGTGGGCTTTTTGGGTATTACTTGGAATTTTGGGGCCTTGTATTTTAAGTTAGGCCAAATTATCAAAATGGGCATTAAATTTTTTAATTTCCCTTTCTGACGAGCATTATGTGCCCCTTGCTAGCTTTTGGATCCACCAGTGTCACATATTTGAAAAGGTGAAGTATAGAAATCAACTAGGCAGCAAAAATAAGTGACGCACATCACTATCATATCTCTCAATCTCTGAATGGCCAATGTCCTACACGTGACTTCACGAGAAAGTAAGAAGATATATTCAACGGATGTTCGCATGCCTATTAAATATCAAATGATATTCATTCAACAGTTATGTGTACAATTTAGCCCAGTGTAATTTTAGTTTTGAGATACTATGTAAATGTAATCATATATATAAAATGTTATGTTTTATGTATTTTATTTGAAATATAAATGTACACATATGACTTTATATCATCGGGAATGGAATGTTAAGCTTGTCAGTTATGTGATAAACCAAATATTTAACCCTATTTTCGGTGAATACTATGACACCAGCAGTCGCAAAATTTTAAAAAATAATTCTTCCATTTAAGCATGTTTTAACAGTTTCTACTAAGCCACAGGCCAAGGAAGAAGATTTAAATCCCCCCCACTCACTGTATAATGTATGTAAAAAATATATTTTTTACATTATACAGTGAGCGGGGGGGGGGGTTAAATCTTCTTCCTGGGCCTGTGCTATAGCCAAGATATGATCGGAGTGTATATCTCGAGTGAAAATGCTTCTCACGCACCCAAGTTCTGGGGAGACCATGGTGCAATTTTTATGCTATTTGTAAATATGTATTAATACAATATGATTATGTATCATGTATTGTAGTTTTTAGCCCTAGATTTTTAAAGATGTGATCCCCTTGGCAAAAGCCCCTATGAGAACGTCCATTCTTGATTAAGATTAAGAGGCTAAATGCATTATCAATACTTGAAACGTACGTGTGTACTTTCTGCCAACATCATTGCTTGGTCCAATATAACGTAGATCGCCTATAAAGTCACTCAACGCCACTGCACGATCTTTATCAGTATCCCGACCATCCACATACAGTGGCACTGCAACTTCAACTATAGCATCAACATTTTCTGGGTAAAAGTCACTCGCATATTGTTTTATCAATTCCTTTAAACTCGACCTTGATGGAATAGACTTGTCATAAAAGTTGGCGCCCTCGTCTCCGTTAAAGCCAATGAGGTAAGGCACGTGTTTGAATTTACCCTGGGTGTACATATTATATGGGTTATCGAGAATGTAGTTGTTGTCGATGACAGGTTGTGGAGTCGTGTATGACTGCAGATCTAGAATCTTTTCTATTGTTACATTTCTCAAACATGCCATGTAACCATCAAGTTCTGATATTGTGCAGTTTGTACAGCACCCTAAAAACAAGATAACGTGTATTTTGTCATATATGATCTCAATGTCTATAACTAATCCTAAAATAAACCAAAAGTGCATGCTCTCATTGAAATATGCAAATGGTACGACGCTTACAAGGGGAGCAATGTTTCGAAGCCTTGATATTGTTAGAAAATGATTTGTACCAAATGCAAATTGCAGTCAGTTGAAATTTAAACTTTTTTTGGTCTTTTCTACAATAAAAGATTAAATGCAAGGACTGAGTGTCAAAGGTGGCAAATGCTGTTGCTGAATGAATGACGCGAATCGGCGATGGTTAGAGTGAAAATATTCTCTTCGAACAACTGACAGCTCTCACATAGATTCATATAAGGAAGACTTATGGGAATCAAATACTGGTATTCATCCTGAACAAGGAGGTGGATAGGCGTTGTGAATAGCTTTACTTTAGGCTTTTTACTCTCAAATTGTATGCTCTTACCTATTGTCTGTGCAAGTAGTTGTGTTTTGGGAAGTTCTTGCTTCATTAAAGAGACCCGTGCAGCGGCTGTAGCAGTCCCACTCTGTGAGATCGCTTGTTCAAAGAGGCCCTCTGTTTTGGGGGACAAAATATGTGCTGATACTGCTATGCTTCCTGGACACGATAAAACATAAAAAAATTGTGTAATCGTTTTAATTCATCGATCAATCCAATTTATTTCAATTTTTGTTTCAAATCGATTGGGGAGATGTTTCGACCTCTTAATGCCTGTTAAGTAGAGACTGTCACTAATTACATGTTTTCGAACCCGAGTTCGATGTAAAATAAAAGGGAGTTTAAGCTTGCAATGTTTTTCACAACCAAAACGTGAACGGAAAATATTTAGGCGATGCATTTGTATGGGCGATAGGTCATACGTATAGGTTGGCATTTCGATTATATATGCCAGCTTAAAGGTGCAACAATTAGTGCGAGGGGCCATTCAACGATCATCGACCAGTGTTAAAATATATTTAAGTTTGGATATTTCATCAAGACTAACATATATTTTTATTATCTACAAAAGAAACCCCCTGGATGAACATTATTTCAGCTGATATTCCTCTTGAGACGTGGTGGATCTTAAAAATCAATAAGTGGGACTCCCTTTATAGAAGCTTTGAACTGAATTTACTAATTAATTTAATAATTAAATTTATAGTTTATCCATACATTTTAAGAAAATGGGCATGTCAAAGAAGATGTTAAGACAGTTATTGACCTGATAGCTCAGAAAAAATAAAAAGTATCGAATTTTCTCTCTACAGTCCTTGTTGCCCCTTTAAACTCCCTAATGTTGAGAGCGACGTTTAATAAATGCATCTCAGAGATACGAAGTTCAACATTTGCGTTATTTCCAATTAATCAAAAGTACCTGCACTTTCTCCTGAAATTGTTATCTTATTTGGGTCGCCTCCAAATGGTTTGATATTTTCCTTTACCCACATAAACGCTTGTCGTTGATCCCATAATCCCTGATTACCAGGTGCTTCTGAAGAATTGCTTGTCAGGAAACCTGAACAAAATAAAATTTTGTAAATATTTTGTAAATGAATCATATTAAATATGTTATATAGACACATAGACGGTAAATATATGGGGGCATTGAAGGCCCTGTATAAGGACGTAAGGAGCTGCATTAATATAAACGATTACTTTACTGATTCTTTCTCTATTAACTCTGGATTGAAACAGGGCTGTCTAACATCTTGCCTAATGTTCAATATATTCGTTAACGATTTAACGGACACGATTAAGGCATTAGGTGACGGCATTCACATGGACAACGGCGAGCAGATATCGATATTGCTATACGCAGATGATGTAGCACTTGTAGCGAAGTCCGAGGAAGGTTTACAACGGATGTTGAACGCGTTAGGTGAATGGGCTTCCAAGTGGCGACTTACGGTGAATATCAAGAAGACTAATATCGTGCATTATCGGCCTAGGCGTATCCCAAGATCTAACACCAAGTTTATTTACATGGGCCAACAGGTCGATGTTGTAGATCGGTATAAATATCTTGGTATCTGGATGAACCAGTTTTTGGACTTCTCTGAGATGGCTAAGACCGTAGCCGCAGCTGGAAGTCGAGCACTGGGTCTACTGATAGCGAAGTTCAAGGATATGGGTGGACTGCCCTATGAATGTTATACCCACCTTTATAACAGTCTAGTCAGGCCTGTTTTGGAGTACGGGTCAGAGATCTGGGGACTGAAAGAACATGCATCAATAAACGCGGTGTTCCATCGCGCGTGCCGTGTCTTCCTTGGTTTAGGGAAATATACCCCTAATATGGCTGTCACCGCAGAAATGGGCTGGACAAGACCATTTGTGCATCAGATTCGTTCGGCGGTAAAATACAGGGACAGATGCATTGCCTTGGATGAAAATAGGATCACGCGAAGGATATATAACTGGAACGTCAGCATTGGTACGACTCGGAACAAGGCTAACTGGTTCTTCAATTTAAAACGGATTATTACCAATGATCTGAATTTACAGTTTGATGACCCTTTGGATACAATTATGAATAAATTGATCGATGTTCAGTTCACCTCTTGGAGAGAAAACATCTGGAATGATACCCGACGGGATCCTAGACAACGTAACAAATTGAGAACATTTAGATTGTTTAAGAACGACTGTAATTGTGAACCATATCTGAAGTCGAGCCTGTCTATCAGGGACCGGAGAGCGTTTGCTTCACTACGATGTGGTGTAGCCCCGATTAGGATCGAGACGGGGAGATATGAACGTTTGCCTCCTGAGGAGAGACAATGTGTTATGTGCAACAATGGAATAGAGGATGAATACCATGTATTGATGACGTGTAACGCTTATAATTGTGTCAGACTTGAGTTGCTTGAGAAAGTAACAAATATAATATGCAATTTTCAGGCATTAGACTCTGACATTCAATTTTTAAAACTCATGAGTGACTCACGCATCTACCTACACGTTGCCAGAGCCTGTGGTCGGATGTTAAAATTAAGAGAATGTGCTATTTTTAGATAATTTTACAGACTTTTAATTAATCACTATTGCTATTTATTGAATTTTTACATGCCAGTGTCTTATAGGTCGATGACGGCCTGGGTTATTGTTGTTTTATGAAATTTTATTGTATTTATTAACCATGACACTTAAATAAAATAAATAAATAAATAAATAAATAATAAATACAAGTAGACGTGTTGCTCTACATAGTAGCGTTTATTGACTGGGCTACTTCCTTTAGCGCAACAAAAAATCCCATTTTTAAAAATTGTTTTAATCCCATAGTTTAATTATAACTTATAACATAAAATATATATGATAACATATAATAAAATAATTCATATATTAATTCAATCATACCTAATATCCCTAATCTGTAATTGATGGAGATGAAAATCACATTTTCGTAGGTTGCCATAGCGATTCCCTGGAACTCACTACTACTGCCTATAAGATAATTAAAACCTATCACTACTTGATCTCAATACATAATCATGTTATTAAAGCGTAAATAAAATGAAAATGGTTATTGGTTGAACATATAATTACAACTGTATGTTTATATAACGTCTTAATTGAGACCGTCTTTGAATGCGCCACCATGGATCCATATTTGGATGGCCAAGCTAGCGTTGACGTCAATCGTTGGAGTATAGATGTCTAAAGTCAAACAATCTTCCTTCATCAGAGGAGATGACATGCCTTGTTGAGGACAAATGGGACCTAAAATAAGATTATTATATCATTTAGTAGTATTCATATACATCGACATATTAGACTAGCTCCGAATTTCTTTATATACATGGCCACACCTTTTTAATAAAGTTGTCACTGTTGGTTATAGAGCTACACAGCAGTTTCGAAACGAAGTATTTTGATTTACACTCGATGGATTGTTGAGGTGGTTACACAGACACAATATTATTCAAAATCAAGGTGGGTATAGGTAACGCGGCGCAGTCAAGCATATCTGTTCAAAACGAGGCTGCAACGCGGTAAAGACACAAAATGGAGGCAACTCCAATTATCGGAGGCACTTCGTCCTCTGTTTCCTCGAAACATAGGTAAGTTTTTGAAAACTCATGCTTCACACTCGGTGATCAACCCCTTAAGGTATGTAAAGCTATAAGAATTTCTGTTCAGGCATTGAGCAGAGTAAAGAAATAGTCAACACAGATATGATTTCCCGATCCTATTTCTCTTGACCTATCTTCTTATTCCAATTAAGGAGGTATTTCGCCACTCATGAGCAAATTCAACATTGACATTCAATAGCCTGATACTTATAGAATGTACAATACAAATTAAGATTGAAACTTTTGTTTATTTTCATCGCAATCTGCTTACAAAATTGAACTAGCCGGAAACGCAGCGCAGTAATTTTCAGCAATTATGGCAACGCGTCGACAGCATAGATTAAATTGTATGGCAACGCGGTGTAGGCATACACGATAGAACATCAGCTGTCACTGCGTTTCCAGTTTTGTCAAATATGTATGATGTCTGAACCCGCGTTGCCGAAGTGTCTGAACTGCGTTTCCAAAATATACCTGGTTTTCCACCCAGAATCGGTTAACAGAAGGCAAACAGTGATGAAACTTTGAAGAAATAGAGATTACGGTGGTATATACGTGATTAAATAGATATGTGTCAAGTGACAAAGTCAAAAACATAGAATTTAAGCTAGAGAAATGCCACAATTGTCAAATTTCAGTAAGTGATTAACTTTGATTGACTTGGAATGTATTTCCCTGTTTGACTAAATTTCAAGAAGCTTCACATAGACATACTCTGTGAAGTTCTCCACCGAATGGTATATGCTATTATAACTGTAGCAGACACAAACTAGTGTATGAAGCTTATGAATAAACTTACCGCCCTTTCGACCTTCCACTGAGTGGCCATTTTGTGTCTTTGCCGCGTTGCAGCCTCGTTTTGAACAGATATGCTTGACTGCGCCGCGTTACCTCTGACCACGGTGAAAATGCTCCCCAGCGAAGCAATTGAACCCTGATGTGTAGGCTAATAGCATGGGCTTTCAATTAGAAATTAATTGAAAGCCAATGGTAATAGGTAAGGTGTACTCACTGGCCCCACTTGCATTTCGCTCTCCATTCCACCATTCCACATCTTCTGGAGCTTTAAATCGCATTGCATCAACAGGCGGCTTTGCATAGGGCACTGCACGAAACACCTGTATTGGTTTCGTAGAATTTATGGCATATTCTATCGTTCCCCTCAATTGTGATGTTCCTCTGATTGTGACTATTGAAGCAGTAGTCTGGCCCCCTAGTCCTGTCAAATACAGGGTTAATGTTACAAATTCATTACCATTAACACCAATATCTTCTAAAGTTGGGAAACTTATTTTTCATTTAATATTTGAGCCTTAATTACTTCGATTTCGAGTGAGTCATTACAAAACAGGATGGCGAAAACGGAAACGCTGCATTTTTGCTAATCTTATAAAATACAATCTAAACTTTTTTCCAGCACACGTTACAGCTCCATATCATTAGAAACAGTGATTTCAATGGTCGATTGAATAGAAGACCTTTTGCATTGAAACCTGAGACCATCATAAAATAAAATTTTATGTTAGTCTCAGATTGAAACTTATTTTAAAAAATTCCCTCAAAGAGGCAAAATGACAATATCGGGAGACCTACTGGTCCTTACAAAGCCTCCATTTATTAATGGGTGAAAAAATTAGGACCCACAGTTGGAAAAGTCTGGAGAACGAGCTACCCATTCTGGCACTCTGTTTATTAAAACAATCCATAAACAATGAATATTACGTTATGGTTAAGAGTCGCCAGCAATTACCTACCGATAGGTTTTAAACTACACTTATATTACATGAATGGCAACATGAATGGTATTTTTCAACAGCACCTCAGTATCTGGTCTAGCTATAAACCCCTGTGACCCCCCTCTCAAAACATCAGCAGTCTGTGTGAGGTGTGTAGCCAGGTAGGGGGGGGGGGGTTGGGGGGTTGCAGAGGCTTGTAGCTAGACTACTCAGTAACGCACGCCAGGAGTACGAACCAACAGTTTTGTTTTGAGAACACAATGTCATTTGAAAAAACACCTTTAGACTCACCAACAGAAAGAGCCGAGGCAGAGGATTTTACCATTTCACAAACAACGGATATGGTGGTCTACAATTGAAAAGTAATAGAATAATGTGGACTTACCATTTCACAAACAACGGATATAGTGGTCTACAATTGAAAAGTAATAGAATAATGTGGACTTACCAAGGCAGCACAAAATAAATGAACATCCTATTCTCAGCACCGAACTCCCCATTTTATATCGTAACGATGAACTTTGCAACATCGGTAGTTGTCATTCGGAAATAATAATAATTTTGCGTCAACTTTTTGGAACTTGATTCTAAACTCAAACGGGATTCAAACTTATGTAAGTTGAATTTGATCTTCAACACTTCTCAGATTGTATGTAGTAATGCCTTGGTCACATTTGCTCCGATTTCCACTACGGCGCCCGGCCGATTGAGTATTTTGTTCAAAATTGAATACAATATTGAACAAAACACTCAATCGGCCGGGCGCCGGCCGATGGATCGGAGCATGTGTGACCAAGGCATTACTGCTATGCAAACTATGATAATGCATATGAAGTCGAAAACAATCGCTCATTGTTTGCACATAAAGTACGATAACAAAAGAACCGTAATTTCAATTACATAGTAAACACACTTTGCGTGATATTTTAGCTTGTAAATGGTTGTTTACATCAACATCTCAATCTGTATAACTGGGTATTGATGAGTTTAAAAAGGTTAACTCATTTAAATATGAATAGTACCTGCACGGAGTATTCCATTTATATTTTAGGTGGTATTCCAGTAAATAACTTTGCCGATAAACACATATTTTTATGTGGTTATTAGGAGGCCCTTCAAGGGGCCTCCTATCATTTTTGTAGTTATTCTTTATTTATTTATTATTCTTTTTAGCATTTTTTCTCCAACTTCCAGCTAGCTTTGATTTATCCACCATTGTTTTGCCGTTTTACTACATGCCACAATCAACCTCGCTGCCAGCATATCAAACCAGGTCAAGAAAGGTCTTTTTTCAACTTGCTTCAAATTGACAAATTTTTTTTTTAAAAACTCATCTACAAGTTCTCAGGATTCCAAATCTGACCTTACTTTTGACCTTTGGTTGACCTTCAGTGACCTCCGAAAGGTCAAAAAAGTTGATTTTTTAAATTGATTTTCTGGATTCAAATTTAGGTTTATTCAATCAGAAAATATATACTGAGGTCTAAAAAAGTAAAATTTTCAAGGTCAAAGGTCAAGGCCATCAAACAAGATCACAAACTGTGTTTTCTAAGTTTCTCAAAGTTTGTGACTACAAATCAATATTTGCTCTCCAAATTGGAGGAAATAAAGGACCATACCATATCATACCTCAAAAAGGTCAAATTTCACATTGCTTCAAATTGACCAAACTTTTTTTAAAAATCATCTACAAGATGCCCGGAGTTCATATATGACCTTGTATTTAAGATTTGACCTTTGGCTGACCTTTAAATGTTCAAAAAAGCCTACGGGGCCTCCGTAAGATTGCTTGCAATCTTAAACCTCTAGTTTTGAAGTACATTCAATTCTCTACATTTTTTTACCCCAAAAATATAAGGTCACCATGGACATTTTCGAGATACACATCCGAGAAAAAATATGGTTAAACAAGACTTTTCCTGATTTGATGGATTGGGGTTTCACCATTTGCATGGTATTTCAATGGGATTTTTTAATATTTTCTGATTCAACTTTGAACTACTGGTTTTACCGATTAACATGCATTTAAATTTTTATATTTTGTTAATATGAATGCCTATTTTCAAATAAGCTAATAAGAAAATAGGTCACCATGTTTTTTTCATAATATGACATCATAATATGTTGGTTATCTTAAATTATTTCTGCATTTTTGTGTATTTATCATGTTATAACAGTAGTTCTTCCATCTTGAGTATACACTCCCCTCCATTAGTTTGGCAACCTAAGCTCCCCCATTGAAGTACCAAACCATTCCCAGATAGCACAAAGACGTCGGGCCAACGTCGCTATTGGTGGCCATTGGTTGGCATGGTCGCAGTTGGCAAATTGAAGTTGGGCCAACGTTGGCCCGTCGTTGGCTGCCGCTAATACCAGGGAGCCAACAATCCCAGATAGCACAACTCTGATGGGCCAACGTTGGCCCAACAATTACGTATCTGTTGGTCCAACGTTGGCTGAGATGGTTGGCTCACCGTCGCTATGGCCATTGTCCCAACGTTGGCCCACCGAAGTAAATTGTGTCAATAGTGGGCCAACAATGGGCCATCGTTGGTTCTTTGGTGGCTGCCAATGTTGGACCAACGTTGGCCCAACGTCGTTGTGCTATCTGGGTAGCACTAAAGTACTGTTGGGCCAACGTTGGGCCACCCACCTATCTGTTCCCTCTGCAAGGCCAACGTTGGGCCAACATTGCCATTAGCACTAAAGCACTGTCGAGCCAACATTGGACCAACGTTGGGCCAACATAATTTTTTGCCAACATTGGACCAACGTTGGGCCAATATAATTTTTTGCCACTGTTGGACCAACGTTGGCCCGCTGGACAAAATGACGTTGGGTCAACCGCTCAAGCCGACGTTGGGCCAACAGATGCGTAGTTGTTGGCCCAACGTTGGCCCACTGGCGGTGTGCTATCTGGGACCTATCGATAAATCAGTGCAAAATTGCAGTTGGCAAATTGTAGTTGGGCCAACGTTGGCCCGTCGTTGGCTGCCGCTAATACCAGGAAGCCACCTATCGATAAATCATTGCAAATGCTTTGCCTAAAAATAGAAGAAAAACATACCAGCAGTCATTAAAAAAAATTAAGGTAAATTTTATGTAATATTTTCTTTCAAAATTATCTGATAATGTTGTTTACCTCAAAAATATGGATTTTCGCCTTGTAATACAGTTGAAACCACTTATAAGACTACCAAATATATTTAGTATGGAAAAACAAGCCACCATATTTTACTGATGTAAAATGGATATTATATGTGAACACATTTACAGTAGCAGTATTGAATGCACAAAGACGTCGGGCCAACGTCGCTATTGGTGACCATTGGTGACCAACGTTGGCCTTGCAGAGGGAACAGATAGGTGGGTGGCCCAACGTTGGCCCAACAGTACTTTAGTGCTACCCAGATAGCACAACGACGTTGGGCCAACGTTGGTCCAACATTGGCAGCCACCAAAGAACCAACGTTGGCCCATTGTTGGCCCACTATTGACACATTGACACAATTAACTTCGGTGGGCCAACGTTGGGCCAATGGCCATAGCGACGGTAGGCCAACCATCTCAGCCAACGTTGGACCAACAGATACGTAATTGTTTGGCCAACGTTGGCCCATCAGAATTGTGCTATCTGGGAGGTTGCAGTTGGCCAATTGTTCATGTGGCCTGTCATTGGCTGCCCAGGGAGCCAACAATGGCTGTACAAAAAAGTAAACCGTGTCAACGGTGGGCCAACGTTGGTTCTTTGGTGGCTGCCAATGTTGGACCAACGTTGGCTGACGTGGTTGGCCCACCGTCGCTATGTCCATTGGCCCAACGTTGGCACACCGAAGGAAAATATGGTTGGCCCAACAATGGACCAACGTTGGGCCAACCATATTTTCCTTCGGTGGGCCAACGTTGGGCCAACGTTGGGCCAATGCACATAGCGACGGTGGGCCAACCACGTCAGGCAACGTTGGACAAACAGATACGTAATTGTTGGGCCAACGTTGGCCCATCAGAGTTGTGCTATCTGGGTTGTGATGATGTCATAATAGCAAAACCTATGCCACGTAACGCCAGTACATGAAATTGCTAAAACAATGCGGTTATGGGCAATACCTTGCTAAATAGTAGATTAATCCGGTAGCCGACTGCCGAAAGCTGCATTCGCGAATACAAGCTTAGATTATAGTCAAAATTTAGAAGACCCATTCAACTTGAGAAACAGAATAGCATATTCACAATTTATGAAAAAACGTTTCATCAATATTTGTCCCCTGTGAATGACAGCTAAATAAAAATCAAAGATAAAAGAGGAGTATGATTCTAAACATCAAGGCAAACATTCTATCACATTGAGTGGTAATTTTGACCACCAAACAATCTTAACCCGAATCAAACCTTTCTATTTACATTTTACTTATCATTTACTACGTATACTGTTCACTTTGCATATACATGTATGTAATTTTCATCTTAAACCCCAGTCACTTTTTCATTTTATTTACATCAGGGCAATTTATAAATGTTATTCATAGTGCTAGGATGTAATATCAAATGAAAAGTGATCGTGCAGCATTGACAAATAATGATTCAATCTTGTTGAGCCACTTGATTTCTACGGCCACTGCAGAAATGAAAAATATTATAACTCCGAGTTATAATTTCTACGCCTAACCTGCGCCCTGTAAAAATCTGCATACGCCGTACGGAGACCGCAAGGCGCCCGTAGTTTTCCTACGCTCGCCGCAGAAATTCACCGATTTAATTGATCTGCGGTCGACTTACGACCGCCGTGCGACAAATGTGACTGGGGTGTTACGCTTGTTTAAAGTTTGTGCGATGCAAATGTCCAGATGCATTCTAATTTGTCAGAGCCCCTCTTTAACCCATGCTGTTTATCCCAAGGTAGTAAAGGCTGTGGGTCCCACAATGGACAAGATCACCGTGAAGATGCTCCCCAAGTTATATTGATCTAGAATTGTATTGTTATTTGATATACTGTTTAGACTTTGCTAGATGATATATAAACTTTTGTAGATGATTACATTTTACTTATCATTTACTACGTATACTGTTCACTTTGCATATACATGTATGTAATTTTCATCTTAAACCCCAGTCACTTTTTAGAAATTAGAAAATTGAGCTGATTTAAGCACATTGAAAATAACTATTTCAGCGTTTTTCGAGCTCAAATCTGGAGCAAAATTCACGCACCTGAAATTTGCAAAGTTAGCATACTTCCAACAATCAACTGCAACTGAGTTACGCTGATTAAACGTGTATGTACTCTGACGACATACAACGTTCCTGAGGAATTTTGTGGGTCCTTTGAACTAGTCCATAAAATATACATTTATACAAGAGATCACTTTCATCTCGATCTTTATCAGACTGTTATTAAGATAAGCTAAAAACTTAAGCATTATCATAAATAAATAGGCACGAGAGAAGTGCTACTGAAAACATATTCCAAAACCGTGCCAATTAATTAAATAAAGTACTCGCCATAACCTTTGTTGCAACGTTAGCAATCACAATGCCAAGGTTATGGATGACTGTCGCACTGATACGGCCTTGCACTGTCTAGGCTGGAAAATTAAAAAGTCACGTATTTTGATTATTGCTGAGCGTACATTCGATTAACTGGGATATTAAAAATAATTAAAAAGTCTTTACTGTTTTTTTTATATAATTACAATAAAATAAATGATAAAATTAATAATAAAGATTGAATTAATTACAGTGTTAAGTCAGTAGGTTTGCATTTGTGAACATTTTATTTGACACGCTGAGAATCAACAATGCAAAACAATGTCGTAAAATAAATATATCCGCTTAGAATTTTTACTGAGGAAATGCATTATCGATCATAGATTACGCCAGGTTTTTATTTACATGGACTGGTATTCTTTTGGGTATACCCTTGGAATTAAACTCCTCCTGAACAAGAAATTGTCACTTTTTAATAGAAATAATATTCACTCCCTTCAGCTCCTTTGATACAATGGATTTAATCGAAAACTGTTGATTAGTAATTGTTACAATACGATATCTCTCTGATGACATTTGCCAGAGTGTTTATATTTGTGATATTAGATAACTGTTATTTTATGGATTAAACCAGACTGTTTTATAGAGTCAATGATTCAATTCATGTGATACATGTTCAATGATGCATATTTTATAGAGGCAATGATAATGCAATAAATGCATGCTCCCTAAACGTACATCCTTCAAGACCGTCCTGCTGAGCTAACCGAAGTCAAATACCATTGGACCAAGGATGTAAACGTGACACCTCAACATAATTATGATAATCTACCAGATGGGATATATAATGATGCTCAAATCTCCATTACTTTATTTCTTGTTGCGACGCATTCATTACAAGGTAGGTTCAAGAAGACGGAGAAGTTTCTTCATCCTAGATTATACTTATTTTGATTATGAAGAAATCACGCTGGTTCGTTGCGCCATTTTAAATGATAACGCATACATTTAACAAATCGAACGCTTGATGTTTTTATACCGTTCACATTTTTTCCGAAATTTTTCTATGGTTAGCCATATTCAATTTGGCATGTATTTTGATACTTTTTTATGTTCAAATAAAATACATTAATCATATTTTACAAATATAAATAAAAGGCCACAAGACGGCCCGTTTGAATCACATAACATTATTAGCCAATGTTTAATGATTGGGACAATATTGCAGTTTGTATTGGATTGTGTTCCTGAAAAATTATCAAAAGTGCATCACCAGAAGACTAAGAAAAAATGTTTGATACCTCTTCTTCTTTCTCATGTTTGTTGACTTTTATCCAAGTTTATTTTATGCTTTCATTATGTTTTATATATATTCTCATATTTTCATAAATGTATGATACTAAAACACGATACATTTACAAAGTATTCATTGAATAAATGATAAAGTGAATCGTGATTTTCATGTTTGTACCATTCTTTTGAAAGCCAATGTTGCATATAACTTGTATTTTCAGCATCTTTAAAAGAACCAGCTCAAATCTTTGTAAATTTAAAGAATAAATATCAAGAAAATGTATAATACTTTAATCACTAATGCCATGTATGTTTGATCTTTTGAATTTGATATTCAATTAAAGTTATTATCTTGAAATTGAAATCATTCGGCCATTAAACACAAAGACCAAAAAGCTCTAAAACAGACAAAAAAGTGCATTATGAAGAGAAAAAATCCCCAACATCCAAAACAACGGCTTCCAACATACAAAGAAACAAATCCCAATTCCCCCGTCCACACCCATTATTTAAAACCCAATTCAAATCCAGAAACCCAAGAATTTATTTTTCAGATTTTAGGAAAGACGGTCTAAGCGACTGAACCATGACCATGAAAGGTTATCTGACAGTTGCACTTATAATCACTGGATGCGTTTCCGGGGGAAGAGCGTTCGGTGTGGATATAAACGCTGTGAAAGCTATCTTCGACGTAGCAGATTCACAAACCTGGATAGACTTTCTAAAAGACCCGAGTAAAGCAGGGAGAAGTGGACTTATTGTTATTGATCTTGGTCCAAATTTTTTTGACGCAGCCTGTGAAGGTGAAAAAACTCAAGTTGGTAGGTCACATACTGACTTTACTTCTCGAATTCTTATGGTCTTTTTCTCAAAAATAATGTTTTAGACTGAGGTTTTATATTCGATCATCTTCGTCATCGGTTTAAAATGACTGAAATGGCAATGATTACTTTGTTATGATGAAAGATAGAATCAACCTTCTACCGATACAACGCTCTTTACAAAGAAACTCCACGGATCTTAACAACCCGAAACACAATTAAGACACATTGAGAATTGTAAATCTATTTCAAATGTTGCTGGATTAAACAAGATATTTTATTTTTCAAATGTTGGATAAAACGAGATATCTGCTTTTACAGTTGGCAGAAATGGTGATGTGTGCTTCATCGTTCAAACATCATGCCGGAACTACAACGTAATGAAGAGCATCAAGAAGGACATAAAGGACATCCTTGGCAAACTAAAATATGAGTCCTTTTACACCACTATAACTTATAGCGATAACGCGAGACAGGCGAAGGCACAAAATAAAAGATGGATTGTTAATGCAAAGAGAGTTTACCCAGGCAGGCTGAGAGTTGGAGAAGACTGCAACGACTGCCAAGCTAGAACTGACAAAGCCCTTGAAAAATGTGAAGAATACTTTAATGATACTGCTCTCAATGGGAGAGAGACGGTCCCCAAAACAATCGTCCTTTTTACAGATGGTGTCTCATTTGGCGATAAGTTCATGGAATTGGAAGCGACGAGAAAGCTTACAATTGACAAATTAATTGAAATACAAAAAGTTCAAAGGGGGTATGAGTTAGCCCTCCAAGTCGTTAAGATTAACCAACCAAGTCATACTGCAATATCAACATTTAATGATGAATGGGGTATGATGTCTTATATTCCTGCTAAATTTCCCGAAAGGGTACATGTGAACAAACTTGGAGAAAATAATGACCAAGACGTGGAAATCGCTGTTGCTGGAGAAAAGCTAGTAGACGAACTTGTACCAAGTAAACGCATTATAAACACTTTGATTGATGTCATACATTAATAATACATATATTATGTACATCATTCATAAAAGTCATCCTTCAGAGGATGAATATTTGTGAGATTCCTATAAGTGTACACAGTTGTTTGTTGTTCCAAACTTTCAATCACATAGTGAGCGAGTGATTTTTTCCGATATAATTTAGCCTTTGTCCGACCCACACATGCATGCGCCTATGTTTACGTATAATATAGGGTACAAAAGCTTGATGAAAAGGTTATGCAACATTTTCTTTCATCTTTCAGAACCATGCTGCACGGCAGATGTCGTGTTCATCATTGATACCTCAGACAGCATTAATTCAACAGATATACAACTTCTTCTCGATTTCGTCCATGGGTTTATAGAGGTCCAGGAGAAGATGTTGAATCCCAAAGCCGATGACAAAACCTACGGTCTTCAGGTAGATCATTAATAACTTGATATACACGATGAAAAAACTTTATTTGGTTTTTATGACTTATTACGCTATTTTATTTGCATACTTTATTTTGGATTATATTTTGATCTTTCCCCAATTTGGCACTTGTGTTTACATAATATGAAATACAGAAAAATACACTCGATAAATTAAACTTTAAATAACGGAGCAGGTACTGTAATGTTTCATAAAAAGGTGATTTTCTCGAACAGACAATGGACATAGGTGTACATTGAAAAATTGCAACAAACAGCATGAGTGTGAAATATAAAAACTGCACTACTACCCAGAGCTCAACAAGTCACTAGAAGCATTATTATATTATACTATACTTTGCATATCTTTCCAAAGTGTCGATACAAGCGCCAAGAATAGTGGGGAAAGAATTCATAAGGGGTTCTCATTCAAAAGTCCATTTGCGTTGTTACAAGAGGAACCCCCTTTGTACAAAAATGATACACCTGCTCCATAAAATGTAAGAGATCTTATTGTCATTGAGACTGAAAGTAATGAACAATCGAACATAGAATTGATTTAAAAGTCTCTCAAATGGGGACATCTGACTGATATATGGAGAGCGTTATATTTATGCTTATAGATTGCTGTTCTAACATATTGTGGAGCAGTAAAAGTTCACGCCACACTTGGGGAGAAAAGTAGAGAAGAACTTATGACTATAATCGACGGTATCAGTAATAAATCTTGCACATTTACATCTACACATTTGGCTCTGAAGTCGGCACTGCATCAATTGGATAAGACACCAAAAGCACGTAAAGAACCACATGTCAGGAAGATAGCCGTTTTAGCCACTGATGGTCGAACTTATAAAGTTGGAACGAATCAGGCGTACACAGGCCCTGATACAATTAATGCCGCGAAAGCCATCAAGAACATTGGAGATGGACGGGGAGAAGTGTTCCTTGTTGGTAAGAATTTACATGTAACAAACACACTGTAGTGTGACAATCTATTTTCCTGGAAAGGAATGTACATGTGAATAATTTGTTGTCAATAACCACAGGTTTACCCAACAAGAAACTGAAAACTACCGGAGTTAATGATGAATGGCCTCACCTTCCGTCAGCACCAACTAAATGTAATTTCGTGGACATGAGAAATGGAACATTTGAAGATCTAAGTGCTGTCGGAAAATACCTTACTAAGAAGATTTGCTATGAAAGTAAGTAAAGGGGAGTAAGATACATAATGTATTTTGATAGTTTTTAGTTGTGATATGTCATGTTGCATACGAAGTTAGTTAATTTCACAGTCTGTATGCTTACATCCTTCCGTATGGGTTCCCATTGAATTGCGTATGAAAGTCTGTTTCGCATATTATTTCGCATGCATTGCGATACCCATGGCATATTTCTGCTTCATCAGGGCTGTGAAGAAATGAGATCTCATGGTTTATCTCATGATACTTCACATGCTAGATTTGAACATGTGGTGGGCTTTGTATAAAAAACCTCCTACCTCATACCCACCTACCCACGTACGTTGATACAGTCTATGAAGGGTTCGACTTTAAAGATCTTAATTTTATTAAATCTTAGTTAATGATGCATTTGTAACGACCATTGATAGCAAGTTACTACTACAGCCGAGCTGGGTTCGATTCCCACTCGAGGTATCGAATTTAGCACACTTTCTTTCAATTTCTTTATCTGGCTTGTTGGACCTTTTGCTCGTGGTCGTTAGTTAGTTATTCCCATGGGGCACCCTCGGGTCAATACACATTACAAAATTCACCAATTATGCCTTTATTATGGATATGTCATACGTCTGGTCATAAAATAAAGCCGGGATTATAAAAATGTTAATAATTAGAGCTATTTTGAGATTTAAAAATCTTTAAAATTGAACCCTTCAATGACTGTATCATGTCCCACGTAGGTGGGTATGTGGGTATGAGGTAGGAGGTTTTTTATACAAAGCCCATGTGGTGTGATATGCTCGGTCATATGATTGTCAAACTTTTCGATGAGAGTGTATACAACATACTGTTGTAGGGTAAATAACCATTATTAAAATATTTTCTCATTTCATTCATTTGAAATTTTATGTTTTCCAGAAGACGCTGCTTTCTGTTTCTTTGATGATAAAAAGCAGGACAAAAAAGAAGAAAGAGATTGACAAAATGTTTCTGAACCCCATTTCTGAAGATAAATTGATAAAGTTATTGCGGAAGAGGAGTGGTCTGCTTAAACCTTATTTTTGAAAAATGTCTTTGTACGAAATATACAAAATCTTATAATTAACATAAACACGAACTTTTTCAAATTTGTTGCTCTTAGAGCTCATATTTGACTTTTTAAAGTCGGTATTCCTTATTATATGTTTTGATGGAGGCTGTGTCAAATATTAAAGGTATGAGACTGGAGAATAGTACTCATGGTCATATTTGGTAAGGTACGCACGCAAATATTTTAATTGTGTCATTGAAGGCTAATTATACCCCCATCACACTCGGGATGGTGTCCTTACTGTACTGCTGCGACCGTATGAAATGCCCATCCCGTTGAAACGCAGCAAGGGCGTCTCACCGTCTTACGGGGATATATTACTAGTTGTACAAATTAATAATTATACAGTGAGTAGCACAGGACTAATACCCCGTACTTAAAGAGCTTTTTCCTCTTGTTCTTTTCACGGGGCTTTTAAAGAGGGCGTTTCAGTTTGGTTCAGGGAAATATAACTTCTACTACAACTTTTGCTTAACCACATTTATTTATTCACATTCAAATTTGATTATACTTTAACTTGAATAAAACTTTATACAAAATACGTACGAGGGTTGTCCCATAAGTCTTGAAATTTTTATTCTAATTCAAAAAGATTTTGATGAATTTGGCTGAAAATTGGTATATATCAAGATCAATCAATTATCTTCAACATGTGATAGTTTCATAACAAAATTATGAACTTGAGTAACTATTATGGTTGCTATGGTAACCGGGGGAGTCGGGGGGTGGGGCAGTAATGAAATATAGTAAAAATGTAAAATGGAGCCGTGGGAGTATTAAGGATTTTAAAGGATGGTATGTATCTTAAATTGTGAATCACCTGTTAAGATTGACAAAAACACTGTATTTTTGGTAAAATCTTATGAAATACCTCTGTGATGTCATAATAAACTAGCACAATTGCTCAATTTTGGTACAGAGCCACAGCATTTTGAAAATCAAAATGGCAGGGATTTTGTCACCAGATGTTAAATCTTTGCGTGCAGTTGTGCAATACCACGCCTCCTTAAGGCATACACCTACACAAACAAGAACAGCCATGGGAAAAGTATATAGACAGTAAACTCCAAGTGCACCTACAATATGGAGGTGATAGAAGAAGTTAAAAACTGGAGATACCAGCCTGGAAGATGCTCCTAGAAGTGGAAGGCCAAAATCCAGTGACAATCTCATATCACATATTGCAGAGAGTAGGCCTATAAGGGCTGAAATGAGAACTACTCAGTGTAGGAAGATCGCTTAGACTTTAATATTAGTAAGAGTACTGCTCACAGAGTGATGAAGAAAGACCTTTGGATGTCAAAGGTAGCCCCTAGATTCATTCCACATATTCTGACAGAGGAGCAGAAAAGGCAACGTGTTGAGCTGAGCCAGGGGTTCCCAAATCCTTAATTTTTACGTCATATTTGTATTTTTATCCTGTTTTCTGCCCCGGGTACCCCCAACATTCCATTTTTAATCATCTGTAACATTACCAAATGATCTTATTATGCTATGAAACTTACAGAGATAGTAGAAATATATCTACGTTAGAAAATGTGAAATTTTTATCATTGTATCTCAAATATTCTATGAATAAGAATAAAAATTTCAAGACTTATGGGACAACCCTCGTATATATAAATTAATATAAGTGTCCTATCTACTAATTATAACAAAATATGAAAAATGTTCTTGGTGACGAATGTTGTCATATTGAGTCTCCTTAGTGATATAACAATTGGGCGTCTATCCATCAGCTGTGTCGTGCTCATGTCAGGATCTAGAAAAACAATTAAATGTCAAATCTATTAGCATAATGGCCTATGGAAAGAATAAAATGTATGTAAAATCTAGTTGGAAAGAAATGGGGCATTGACAAGCAAAATATGTCATGAGGGCATATGAGCGTATTTAACCAAATCAATGAACATTTAACAAACATTTAAACAAACTGCTTAATGAAAGGACATGTCTACGCAAGGTCTACGCGTAATAGTCTACATGGGTTTTCTAAGAATCTGGTAAGGTGTACAAGTATCAAATACAATCATATCACAGGGCATTTATGACATTAGATTGTAAGCCATTTTAACTTCATATTTACCTTCTTCCAATTTGCAATGAATTCAGCCTTTGTTATTGTGCCATCACCTTAAAACGTATTCAAAATATACATACGCATGTGTTAGCTAAAATATCATCGTCTGGATGAGATGCATGTTCGAATCTGAGTCTGACATTTTATAATCGTTACTTTAGGCCATATCATAATTTGAATTCAAAAAATTCATGCCGCCCATTGTTGAGTTTTTGAGATAGAGGTTTGACGCTGAGCTTGAAACAGCCATACGTACCTTGTGAATCAAAATTATGATACGAGAAAACAAGAGTAGTTACCATCAGTATCCAGAAGTTTGTATAGACCTTCTAGTTCGGACATTTCAACGCTTCCGCTGCCATCTCCATCCAATTTCTACATATAAGAATCAAAATATATTCACCTGTCTTTTATTAACTCTCTGATTTCTGATTGTATATCTATAAAAACAATAAATTAATTTCATTGTGAGAGATATCAGTATACCTGTTTCATTGGTTATCTTCCAACACATTTCTCGACATAAAAAAGCAATTTTCTCCAAAGTTAATGATTCTTTGTAGTGGTTTATGCGATCTTTCATTATGTATAATGTAAGGTTTTAATCAGGTCCGCTGTATCGATAGAAAAGAATCATGGAATCAATTCTCTTAGTGCTGTTTCTCATAAATAAGACATAAGTTTAGGATGTCAATGATGTTATTATCTATTTGATAAATAAATAAATATCCAGGTCTATGTTCTGCAACAATTAGATTCAAGCCTGATACAAGCACAGATACACATACATAATTTACTGAATTTCATTCTACATGTTATTATCTTGCAACAGCACAACATGTTTAAAAATATATTCTTGAAAATAATTTAGCCCTGGAAACTATTTCCGCCATTGGTTGTCGAGTAACAATCCGGGAGTAATAATATAAATATGTAATTTCAAGTGCCAAAAGGGAAAACTAAAAACCACCGAAAGAAAAAAAACTAAGAATACAAGCAGCCATAACGAAATAGTGTATCCAGCATCTCAATAATCAAAGATCAATGCCTGTTCAGGCACTTTACCTAATGTTCCCTGCTCCAGCACTCAGAAGCCGTTATCACAAACCGAAAGCCAACGAGCCAGAGACATGTAAAACACTTAGCCGATGTTTCAATGGAGTAGTAACATATATGTTAATTGTCGATTATACTGAGTTTTTTTTATTGAATTAACGCTGCTAATTTAATATCGGAGAGCGGGCACACGGGAAGACTCATAAACTAAAATAATGCATATTTACCTTGAACACTTTTTGGGCGGAATCTTCAGAGCCGTTGAACACTTCTTTCCAGTGACTGATGAATTCCGACAGTGAAACAGAACCATCACCTAGAATCAAACATAGCATGAATAAGGCAAAACATCACCGGAGCGCCTCCAGTAAAACATCAAATTAATAACAATATTTTGTTGAAAATTACATCTCTTTATATACAAATGGTAAAATCTAATAAGTTTGGCCTTTTGAATAAGTAAATCAAATAAAGTTTTGGAATACTATTAATCCAGTTACTAGATAAAACGTATTTGAAAGGGCAAAGGTATTTGGACGATAAGATATATGGGTATATAATTATAATATTTACTCTTTAATCTTTGTGGGATATCTAACAAAATTTTAAAAAAAATGGTGCCCTTGATAAAAAATTAACCAGAATTGCTAAAAATGAAAAATGAAAGCATCATCCATTGTACTCAATTTACAGTATACTCAGTACTCCATTTTTCAATTTCTAATGGTACTCAGATGTGAGTAGGTAGTTACCAGTTTCGCCACCAGGTGGCTGATTCGGGTGAAATAACATGGCAGGGTATTACAAAATTCCCTTAAAGGGATATTCCTGGCCAGACCATTTCTATCCTTATATGATAGCTATAATCATATATATACTTTCCATATTCAGCAAAACACAGGAAAATGTTTCAATATAGTCAGTATTGATAATTAAAAAATGTAGTACTCATTTCCATTAAGCTGCCATCTTTTAACATTTCACTCAGCAAGTGATGTCATTGACTCTCAACTTTCAGAACCTTGCCTATAACAGTATAGGAAAGTATCACAAAATCACTTCTAGACAAGTGGTCCTTACTTTATGTGCAAAAATATTTTCAGAGCTTGTCAACTTAGAATAAAAGAAGAGACTTATAGAAGGATTAAATCATAGGACACGATTGAAAAAGAATATTCTATTGATTTTCCTTTCTTTCCTAATGCTATATGCAAAGTTGAGAGTCGATGACATCACTTCCTGAGTGAAATCTTAAAAGATGGCAGCCTACTGGAATTGAGTACTAAATTTTTAAGTGATCAAAATTGACCATATCGAAACATTTTTCCGTGTTTTGCTAAACATGGAAAGTATACATATGGTTATAGCTCCCTTATTAGGGGAGAGATGGATACCTTTAAACTTGAATATGCATCAGTTTTAATGGTTCACTTTTCAAATTACCCTTATGTATGTGATAGTTATACAAATTAGAATATGGCCAATAAAAGAAAATATTATCTGCCCAACGTAATTTGTAAATGTAGATGTAATTTTATATTTAGATTCCAAATATGACACCAGTTTGACTGAATTATGAATTTTTAATGACGTAAATCAAGATTATTTCTACTCGCATCTAGGATATTCAAAACGCCCATCAACTCATTTACAAGTCCTTACCATCAGAATCGAATCTCTTGAAGCAAGCCATCAATTCATCTTTGGTTATTGTACCGTCGTTATCAAGATCCACCTTATTGTACATTCCTTCGATCATTGCGTCCATTTTCTACAGTGCAACAACAGAAAGTATCATTAAGTAGATGAAGGATACAGTCGATCAACTATTTGGAAATCTTCCGTATATCTGAAGATGGGTTGATCGCAATCGATAATTGCATATGAGCATACTTTACTAATAAATTAGATTTGTTTTTATAGTATAATTATCTACATATTAGATTATAACCACTATTTAGACCTTGTTATTGCAAATAAATAATAGATTACAGCTAAAGCTATAATTCATTGTCACATATAATCCATAGTCACTTATAGATCAGAGTCACTTATAATTCATTGTCACATATAATTCACAGTCACTTATAATTTATTGTCAAATATAATTTATTGTCAAATATAATTCATTGTCACATAAAGTCCATTGCCACATATAATTCGTTGTCACATATAACCCATTGTCTCCAAGGTGGGATTATCTAAGATAAGTATGTAAGATAAGATGTCATTAATCATTATTGTGCTGAATTTGAAATAAATAATTGAATCGATTGTCTACTGTTATGATTGAAAAAATCAAATAAGCAAAACAAAGAATATAATCTGGGTAGTGATACATTGCGACGTCATGCCTAACCGAACTACAAAGGTGCTTCATTCTATCCAGCTAAAGTGGATGGAGCAATGCCATCGGCATTTGACTATCTTGTAGACTGTGTTCATAATATATCATATACAATGATTTGAGTGCTGCTTAACCCCCCTATCACACCAAACTAGTTCTTACCCGTTCTTGCCAGTCCTACGAAAACGTGGTAAAACGGGCTCAATCTGGCTGTGGTCGGGAAATATGTCTAAAATAATTAGCTACTTCGTTCATAAACAGTCTTCAATACGTCCATTTCATTCGCAGTCCGGTCAGATCACACCACGTCGGTGTGCAACGTCGTATAACGCGTCCCTTAGTCTTGAAGGTCATCATGACCTGATTGCAGAACGGTATGGTCGCCATCGAATTTTGAATCGATTCAAAATTCTAAATCACATATCCCGTCCGGGAAAGTCCATGAAGTTCGTAAACAGATCGTAGAACGTTGTAGCTACGTATATTCAGTTCGCACACAGTTTAAAACAGATTCGACAACGTTTTAACGATCACCAGAACATTTTGAGCATGCTCTTAGTTCTGGAGGATCTACTCGTTCTAGTAGTTTTATGAAGTTTGTAAACAGATCCCAAACGGTTCTTAGTGGGTTCTTAGTACGTCAAATCAGTTCGTGCACAGTTTAAGCCCGTTTTCGAGAACGTAGTGAGAACTAGTTTGGTGTAATAGTAGGGTTAGCTACACCATGCCATGGGATACATTCATGCCTCCTTAAGTATTAGCATAAACTACTCGTTTATCAATGGTCAGTGTCAATGTCACCAACAAATGGTGCAACAGGTCAGTTATGAAAAATCGACGTCAAGTAAACATTTTCATTTATGGCTACTTGTCACATTAATAATGTCTTGGAGTAGAAGATTAAAGACGAGGGGCAAGAGATCAGATCACACATGACAGAGGGAAGAGGTATAGATGGGCATGATGTGATACCTGAAATAAATGGCCTCGATTAGCGAGGAGACATCGCGCATTGATCAAAAAGCTACTTCAACCACGAGGACAGTCGCTCGAACTTTGTAACTAATTAACAGAAAATTTGTTGTTCATATACTTGGTTATCACTATAATTGACCAAGTAAGAACATTAAAATTACATTCAATATCATGTTTTACACAAAACATTATCAGTACAAGGGTTTAATTGAATAAAAGTGAAGTAACCTTTACAATTTCTCTTTTGATGGAGCTTGTAATACAATTAATTGATTTTACTTTATTTTGGTATTTTATTCTATTTTCTATAATGAATGATTGTCACTGCCATACACATTTTTTAATTTGGGATAAATTTAATTTTCTTAACTACATGGAACTGCCCTACATTTTGATGAAAAGGATTTAAGCTCAAGGTGCTATCTTTAATATTAAGTGAGCCGCCCACTCCTTGAAATTTATGCTACCCCAAAACCCGACTATCGCCTCTTCTATTAAGCTGTATACAATATAACTCGTAGGCATGTGTCATTAATTTACAATGGATTGTGTCTAATGTTTCAATTATTAAACAACTTTTAATTCAGTCAGTTTAAAAAACTGTATCATCTTGCTCAATGGAGCGTCGATTATAAATTCCTTTGAACCATGCACATGAAATAACATATGATTATTTATTTACTTATGGTCGTTGATCTTCATTTTCATGAAACGTTATGCAATGACACGAGTATAAGTCATCAAACTAAGTCATTTGTGAACAATTCATTCATAGATTTCACTGCACCAAAACCATAGAGGAAGATATCATTTTTTGCAATTAAACCATACATATATTATTTTGAGTTATTATACATATAATATGGATATTCCTTATTCCGTATTGACAATTTAAAAAATGAAAAGAAATAGCATTTACATTAATTTAGCCTACATTTTAATCTCGAAAACTTTAATATACAGAATAATTGAATTTATTCTAAAACGAATTTATTAAAAGTAAACCGTTTTTTTCATATAGAAAAGATATATTTGGAGAAAAATAAGGTATACATGTAACTCACCGATGATTTTGTGCTGTTGCCCCTTCGAAGAATCAGTCAGAGTGCTAGGGATCTTTTTGAATTTGAAGAGATCATGGGATATTTGATAACCTTTATACTACTTATTAGGATATTGTTTATACTATTCTAATATGGACTTTAAAATTATAACATTTATCAAATTCAATATTTAATTACTGAGATAAACCGCCAATATGACGTCAGTAAGTGTCTGTTGTAGGCTTCACTTGTCATTATATTTAACGCTCCGATTTGTGCTACTTGATATTATCCAATAGTTGCAAGTTTTAAGTTAGACGATCAGCAAACAAAATGTGATAGAATGTTTACACATAAACATGATATGAAGTGGGATACTAAATCACTTTTTCTAATAATAGTCCATGAGTATAAATTTAAAATAACTATTTACATTTTTAAGCATTTGGATTATGGCGATGTCTTTGCGGACTGGTGTTGACCCTTTGATATATTTAGGCTATTGCTTTCGAGATTGGATTTTGTTTGTCCCACATCATTTGCGCCTGAATGCTTTATCTTGTATCGAACACTAGTATCTACAACTATTTTTGATGTTTTGTTTTCTAGCTATCAATTTTAAATTTATTCTTCAACATGAATTGTAATGACTTCACTATGAATGAAATGTCCCTTGGTGTTATGGCCTCGGATTGTGATATTGCATTCATTGGTACTTGAATGCCGGGGGAGGGGGAATTAGACAAGATACTATTATCAAAGGCAATGCAAACTCACAGATTTCCAGCAATGGAATTAGTCTGTGTCGACATGATCTAAGGGATAATATGAAGGAGACAATCTAATAAAGTTTGATTTGAATACTTTAAGATAAGGACATGAAATTAGAGATTTTCAATGGATTTTGATTCTTTAATTTAAGATTTGCATTATGTTTACATTATACACCTTCTTCAAAAACACAATCATAAGTGAATTCTATGCACCCTCTGTGTGTCTAGATGATTGTTCTGTATCAAGGGTATAGCAAACCAACACAATGATAATTGTTTATCAGAATTATCAGAATATTCTTCATACGTGGTGTGGTGTTAACCCCCGTTGCTCACATATATGGAATATTAGACACTTCATAAAAGCAGTATAGACTTTTTTACAAGAACAGAAACAATTGTCTGGAAATATGCTAAAATGATGGTTAAACATTTTAGGTTAAGGAATCTCTTTTAGTAACTTGAATTAGTCTCAAGAATGTGCTATTTTACCTGAAATTTTCAAAAGGTTCAGTGGAGTTCGATGCATTAAAGTTTCAAAGCACTTTGAAATCGGGGAAATCAATGGTAGATTAGAACATTTTCAAATTAATTTGCTTTGCTTCTTTATAGTTAATTACCACTATATTATATATAGGTTAATGATAAATAAAATCCATGAGGCAGGAACACTAAATTCCATACTTTTCAAAAATATTAAATTTTTAATAACATTTTACAGTTCCTTGGCTCATTGCCTCATATGAGTAGTATGAAATAATACAAACTGATATGAGTACAGTATACAATAAACTTAGTGAATGGAGGGAATTTATCGAATGGGATGAACCTGTCTGAGATGTGTCTACCTCGAGAGACAATCTAGTATTCCAGGAATGGTGGAACGGGTAGCATTTAACATTTCCCATCTCGTGTCAACTAAATCACCGACACCATAGAAACTACATTTAGATATCCTGAATTTTTAAACAAAAAAGATTAAAAAATAAATAAAAAACCTGATCCTCAATTCAAGCCACCATATTACATAACACACTTGTTATTACAAGGAAGCTATTTTCAAAGCTGGTGTCTTCGTCTCAATTTTAAAGATATTATACACAGGATGTCTGTCTATTTTTGGGAACATACTGTAAAGAAGGAATAGCATTCTAAGTGTGTTCTCATTGACAGAGTTGTTTTATAATTAACCGCAACAGCTTGAGTAGCATATTGTACATGATACATTCTATGCAAATTAGGATGACGTAGCTCCTATCTATCACACCCATTAGATGGAAAATATCATGTCATATAACACATACAGCGATTCGGATTTAATTCAGAAAAAAATGTGAATAATGAGTTTATAAATGAATACTATATAGCCATGTAGAGTGGATTCGGAAATTTGGAAAAGTGATTTAGATAGCTGGCCAAGGGAACTAAGAAGGTGGGGTCCAGATGGAGTAAAGCTGGATTTGTAAAGTATGTGCTGCATACAACTATGGAAAGTAAGTGTCTTAAGTAATAACACTTTAATCAAATAGCTAATCCTCTGATTAACTGATCATAAAACATTGATAAAAATCATGTTATTCCGTATAAAACCATGAATAAATGATAACCATCTAGTGGACGGTTTGGGAGTAATGGTAATATGAAAACACGATTATCAATAAGACAATGTACTCAATATAATTTAAGAGCAAAGACTAAAACTCGGGGATTTGGGGGGGGGGGGGGGGGTTGGGGGGGGGTACCATTAGAAATAAAATACAAGAATAAACACATTATGTGTTTGGGTCAGTGAATATTACACAACAATTATAAAATACAAATTGATGATAACTTATTATTTGAATTGATTTGTAATTTACATACCCACGTTTACCACCTGAATGTGCTTGTCGCAGATGTGTCCTTAATTAATGACTTCATTCATCTAATAAGTGGATATGAAAATGAGATATAATTGATATCAATTAATTTCTTCAACTAATTGCATTGTTTTGTTATGAATATTAATAAAGAGCATGTTTGATTGGTATTAAATATGAGAATTAGTTTGATCTTGAATTAAGAATTAATGCCGTCGATTTTCAAAGTACGAGCGGTGATCAATAAGTAATGGACGCTTTTTTACAGATACTTTTTCATAGACCAATCCCTTTGACTTTCCTACCAGTGATACATCATTCAATTATCTATCAATTCTGAACATTTGAAGACAAAATATATTACACATGTTGATATATGCTTATTTCCGTGAAGGAGGTATAGGCACCCCGGGACCGACATTTACGTCAAATATTCAGTTTTCAGCCAGTTTGGCATATTTCAGTTATATTTGAACTTTTTTTATATGCAACAAGTGTTGTGTTGTTTGAAATATTTACCCTACTCCATTTGGACAATGCACCTGCCCACAGATCTCAAAATGTTCAGAATACAATATCCCTGGACCTATACTACTTATTTCCATAGAGAAAGGACGCAGGTTTAATGACAATGATGAAATAAAGCAAGCTGTGCAACTGCATCTTGCTACCATGCCAGAGAATGGGTTCAGTCGTGTCTCACAATCTTGAGTTAAAAGGATGAGGAATTGTGTACATGTAGCACTTATGGAACTTATGGTGGGCCTTGTATAATGAAGGTGGCACAACTTTAGTGTGCTCTAGGACTAAGTCGTTCCAAAGAATTTTCAAAGCATATATGTTTATTGAAACGAATGAAGCAAAAATGTTCCTTATTTATAGAAAATGAAATATTTAACTGTTTCATACTTTATCCCATGTCGTTGAATTGATTTCAGGGTGTGGTTTGCACTCTGCTGTTTGTGCTGATGCTAGCATCGCTGGTGTTCAACAAGGCGTCACTAATTTGGCTCTTGGGTGGAACAAAGATAAACAACGTTCCTTTGGAAACATGGTAATACTTTTTACAACACTATTTTTCATAATATGTAAACGCAAAAATACAACTTAGGAAGCAAAACTATTACAAAGCACATCCAATCTGAGGATATCAAATCTTGATCATCATATTAAGGGCACAGCCAGGAACATAATATATTTACGACATGTACATGAGTTGAATTAACTGGAAATTTACCCCAACATTCCATCCATACCCAATCTATATGTCCAGTAAAATAAAATTTTTATCTGTCCAATACAAGAATAGGTATATTTCACTTATTGTGAATTATAACATGGCGCCTATGGGTAATCTCCCCGACCTAGGAGTCACATTTTCAGTCACATTTTCAGTTGATAAACACTTTTTAAAAAATGTCTAGATGTAATTTTACATGTTGATTTCAAATGTATCACTTTGAATGAATTCTGAATGACGTAAGTCAAGATTATTTCTACTTGTATTTATTTAGTCTATTGTCTCACTCTGATACTCATAACATCTTTCTGTTTCACCTGAAACTCAGGACTGAGAAGAAATGTGATGTGATGGTTTATCATGATGCTATTGTCTAGACACATTTGGATATGATTCTCAAATATGCCTATGGGCACACTTACTTATTCCATCATACTTGGCGTTCATTATAATATACCTTATGGAAAAAACAAAATGTACATGTATTTACAAATAAAATGACTATAACATTTCCAACCATTCCAAGCATTGTTATACAATATATTCTTCCAGGTATGCTGCATTTGCGCTTGTATTCCTTGTACCAGAACTGTTTGCAGTAATAAAGGTTCTATGGAACACATCTTTTATAAAACAAACCAGCACTCACCAATGGCCGAGTGGAGTGGCTCTACTAGTGGTAAATATCTTTATAGCCGTATATGAAGCCTCTCTCCTTGTCTTTCTCAATAGATCATATCAAGAACCCATGTCCCAATGTCCCCATATTATGTGTCATATATACTTATCCAAAGTTACATTGATTTGCCAAGTATCATGGTTCAACTCACAAATGGGAAAAAGTAACAGGCATTTCAAAACTTAGTGTTTGGCCAAAATTAAAGTTAAATTCAGTATCCTGGAAACAGCACTAACCTCAATGTGACCAAAAATGTGGATGCTATCGTCAAAGAGAGGATGGATATTGAGTTGTAAAAAGTAGTGAGGGTAGATACTCCAAGGAAATTCTTCTAAAATGCCTTAGAAAGGTTTTATGAGCATTACAAAATGCCATACCCCTATTTGAAGTGTATTTAAGGTCATGTCTGGAAAGAATTGCTGCTGTTAACATGGCCAAGGGAGACACGCCGACTATTAATTTTGTGTAAAACTAAGCTTTAATTTTGGTAAACACTACATTTTGAAATGCCTGTAATTTTTTCCCGTTTGTGGGTTGAACCACGATACTTGGCAAATCAATGTAACTTTGGACTAGCTTTAAAATGATATATGACTGTAATTTTCATTTTCACGTTCAGGGATTTTTGGTGAGTTTCGCGGAGGTGAGCAGTTACCTGATGTTTACATTGGAAATTGCGCCACGATTACCAATACAGCTCCTCATGCCACTTCTAAGTTCAGTTTTTGCAGTTGCACTCTGCTACGAACAATGGGAAAGCTATATGGTAGGTTACGTAATGCTAACTTGCAATAGTACTGTACTTCATGAGAAAAGTACAATATGTTACGTACTCATACATATATTTGAATAATCGTACAAAGCATTGCGCATAACATAAGGTTCAGTGTGTACATGCACTGTTCATGAGTTTCTTTTACATGTCACTTATGATATCAAATGTCGAATAAAAACACATGTCACGAGAATGATTATTTTTTAATTAACAGCCTTGATTAATAATGGAATTATAACTAACAAGTACAATGTACGATATCAAAACATTCATTTTAAAGTAACAATGTTAATAAAATGATAAACATGATAACGAATTTAATCAACATTGATCAATTTATATTTAATTCTTAATTCTCATTCTATCCTCTGTGTATTACCCATTGTGCCCTCCGAGTTGTATACTTACCCCTTTGATTCTTCTCGATTCCAGATAAAACGGGCCAAGGACCAAGAAGTTCACTTTGATGGTAATTTTACTCTGGCTCATAAACCAGCTGACACAATACCCGACGATGCCAACTGGAAACGTTTAGTGAAGACGCTGTTTGGTCTTAGTGGTATATGGGCAACATGTGCAATAGCGGCTGTTGGCGTGCTTACCAGTATCATGCCTTGGTTCCAGGCCCTTTGTCTCCCAACCTCCTTGAGTCTGTTGTCTCTTGCCTGGAGCCCTAAGGTTCAAATGTACATTGTCCGCTCCCCTGATGGCACATTCCAAGGCCGCTGGAAAGCAATGTGCTTGTACACAGTCTTTAAGATTATTGTACTCATGGTCGGAATCAGTATTATCATGGTGATACGTCTGCAACAGCATCATATTCTCGATAGCAATTTCTTTGTGAAACTTGGTGATGGACTTTATGGTTGCAGACAGAAGGAAATCTTATATCCATTACTGATTCACTTTGGTAGCAGTTTCTGTGGCCACCTGACTGGTTTCGCAGCAGCAACATTATGTGTACCTAATATAGGTATGACTTTGCCATCAGTGTTGGCAACTCCTATAGCCATCGCCATTGGAATGTATTTCTGTATTCCTTCGTTTCAGCTACTCGACGAGCTGACATGTTACTCATCAAATATCAGTATCTGGTGTATGTTTGCCTTAGCCTCAATTGCTTGGGTAGCCCCATATCTCATATTAGGAACCAACTTAACAAAACAGTGTGCGGTTCTTCTGAAGCCAATGGACGAACTTTTTATACAATCATCGTGGAATGGTTTGTTTCTGGACCAACATATGTTTCTTAATTACACATACGAAGGATTCACGCCTTGTAAAGAACACGTTGCATCAAATAAAGAAAACGTGAGTCGTGTTTTCATATGCACGACCATGTATAGAGAGGCTGACTGGGAAATGAAAAGACTTTTGACCAGCTTATATAACATATCGCAGTCCAAGAAGGTCAAGGACGTTTATTTAGAAGCACATTTATTCCTAGACAATGGTACAAAGGATCTCCATTTGACTGATTTTGCAATTCAACTAGTGTCATTATTAGAGAGTACAATGTCTATACGTCCATCACAGGCGAACTGTTTGCAGACGCCTTATGGTGTTCAACTTAATTGGCTCCTGCCTGGAGTCACAAAAATGCCGTTCTTCATACATCTCAAAGACTGTAGCATAATAAAAGCTAAGAAAAGATGGAGCCAAGTTATGTATATGTCATACGTGCTCAATTTCCGAGTCCTGAGAGACAGCTCAAAAGACAAATCTCAAGTGAAAAATAAGGTTAAAGATAGTGACGATTCTTTATTCGTTGGCTATTCAAGTGATAAGGAATGGAGGAAAAATGCCAATACACTTAGTAGTAAAAAGTTAAAACGTCATTCATTGCCGGATGTACCAGAGAGAGCAACGATTATTGAAACTACTGAGGAGGCTGTCGGAACTACTGAGGAGCAATCTCACAACGTTACTGAAAACAGGAAATACCTAGGAAGACTGTTTAATACTGATCCGGATAATAGAAACATAACTGGAATACAACAAGGTATAGCAATAACGAGTCTTTTAGAATCATACAGTCGTAATGATAGTATAACAAATCCAAGCTCATCCGACCAAGGAATAGGGACATCGCAAGATGACGTTTCAATTTCATCTTTTACAACTAGCAATCCAGAACGTTCTGTTGACACATTAGCATCTCGAGGGACATCAGCCTTACAAAGTGACTCATACTGGCGAGATTATGAAGGTGATGTATCATCATGTAATGAAAATTCTCTAACTTCATCTAAAGCCAAACAGTCCAGATCCTTTTTGACTGAAGCAGATATGCACAATGAGCTTCCAAATATCAATCCAGATGAAAGCTTAGGTAAATGTTCCATATTGCGTTTCAACCCTACGAAAAATATAACTCTTGGCCTAAATAGACCCCCTGCCCCACCGATACCCCAACGACCACTACCCCCTAAACCTCCTAGATCTAAAAAAGCTTCAAAAGATGCTCGGAATTCCAAGAAGAAACAGGAGTTAAAAGAAAGTCCGTCTACTCAACAACTTATAGATATGGATGATTCACAAACAAATATTTACCAAAGCATCAGATCTACTGCTATGGAATCAGAACTTAAAGCAGCCCCAAGAAACCGAAAAAGTAAAGCAAAAGATGATAAAATATTTACAATAGCCCGTGAAACAATACCTAAAGACTCTGACCTAAATGAAACACGCCCTAAGATTCCATTAGATGATAATACTTACATTCTTGCCACTGATGCGGATATGGAGTTTACAGATGAGAGTATTTTGGATCTTCTTCACCTTTGTAATCATGACAGAAGACTCGGCGGTGCTTGTGGAAGGACACATCCCATCGGACAAAATACGGGACCCGTTGTGTGGTATCAGAAGTTTGAATATGCTAAAGGTAATTCCCTTCATGACATGCGCTCCATTTACACATTTGATGTCAAGTTTAGGTTAAGCTGGGGCTTTCTAAGTGTGACAAGTTTCCATTGGCATTTGAAATAAACTTGTAAGATTCCAGATAATTTACCAAGTCAATCATTTTAATATATTGTATTGCATCTTTATTGTATACGTATTGCTCTTTTGGGAAAGCTGTATTTTCTGATGATGATGATTTTTGTTGGAAAATGTAATGATTCGAGAATGAGCTCATGGTACACCAATTCTTTAGTTCTCCCAATACGTGCGTGGTTGTAACTGAAATAAACGTGTTTATTATGACATACAAATTCATGAGGTTTACTCACAATTCAGAATAACTAGTCTAATCATTATATTCTTAACATTTTAGATTTCTGGATGATCAAAAGCTCACAGAATGTAGTTGGTTCTGTAATGTGCTGTCCCGGCTGTTTCAGCCTCTACAGGTTTGTTAAACCTAACCTCTAAAGGTTCATTTTTATACGGAAAAAGGTTCAAAAATGAATTCTCGAGTATTCCCCTTTTGGTTTGTCATTAAGATCAAATTAACCAAACCATTAATTGATTTATTTGACAGTTCTGTTCTGTTAGGTGTCCCTTAAATGTAAATAAATATCTTTCAGAGCCTCTGCAATCAGAGACATCATCTCCAACTATGCTGGACCCACAGATGAATCGTTCGATGTATTTATCAAAGATACAGGTAAGAAACCCGGGGCCCCGGGGTAAGAAACTCCTTTTTATTAACCGATATCATATTCTCATTTGTATATTTCACATATATTTTAGATAACTCGTATTATCATAAATAAAACATACGCATCATGTGCAATATTTGAAGTTGTTTGGTTCTTTGCGTCTTTGCAGTATACGAAAAGGTAAATAAAATGCAAATTTTATTCCTACAGTGTATCTTGTAATTGCAGGTGAAGACAGATGGATGTGTACCTTGATGATGTTGAATGGCTGGAAGTTGGAATACAGTGCCTTCTGCCATAACACAACATACTGCCCTGACACATTCATGGAGTTTATGAAACAACGGAGAAGATGGGTGCTTTCCGATCTCGCCAACATGCTTCTCGTTTTCAAAAACATTTTCAAACTTGCTCGAAAGAATGACAGCTTTTCTCTTGCGTACATTCTCTATTTGATCCAAATGTTTACAATTGTGCTCTTTGCTCCTGCCTCGACGATCGTCATCATCGCTGGTGGGTTCGACATTATCTATGGTATCCCCTTTCAGATAGTAGCACCCGGGATAGGGGTGATGGTTCTGTTGTATAGCTTACTGTGTATAGTAGGAAGCATGAAAGTTCAGACGAGAGCTACATTGTTATTGACGTCGATGGCCGGATTATCTATGGTTCTAGTCGTAATAGGGGGCGCTGTGTATATCGCTGAGGATATTTACCAAAGTAAGCTTAGACAAATCACATTGATATAAATCAATTATGGGTGCATTTTTTATTTGTAGTAAATATTGTTAAAGTGTATTGTAGGCCTAAATTATCGTTTGTATTTTTTAATGTCTTAACAATTTAACATAGGTTTTATGCAGATATAAAGATGGCAGAAGAAAAAATGTATTGTAGTCTTTCAAAGATATTAAACCAGATTGATTGCACTGCCACCTAATTTAAGAATTATTTCTATCGCCATCATTTAGCCTAAAACGCAAATAAATATAGATCTGTTTTGGCCACTACCTGGCCAGTGGAGATAATGCCTGTTATATGACTTGCTATTTAAAATAACTACTATTGTTATGTATATTATTGTTTTATAGATATAATCGATGAAAATGTAGGCTTCCAGGAATATTATTTGATACTATTCCTAATCGGTGCACTTTTATTTGCGGCCTTTTTGCACCCCTGTGAAACGTGGATCCTTGCTCATGGGTTTGCATACCTGCTTGGGTTCCCTGCCATGCAAATCTTCCTTCCGATATATGCCATTTGTAATATAGTGGATCAAAGCTGGGGTACTCGGGAGAATGTAAGTAGAAAATCAATCCCTCTATTAATATAGTATTCAATTTTGAGAACAAGGCATCTACTGTACTGTGTAAAGTGTAAACTAACGCAATATAAAACCATTGTCTTAAAAAATCACGAGTGGCATCAGATCTACAGACATTTGTAAATGTAGTGTCATTGTTTCAAAACCTCGAGTTAACCAATTAAGTAAATCATACCCTATTGGTAAATGTCAGTCTTACAGTTTCAAGGTAATAGAATATATAAACCTACTCCGAAATGTTGTGGGAGAAACATGAGAAAGTCACCAATTCGCGGAGGAATAGTCTCATCCAAATTGTTTGCCTATTAGGTTGCTATTCTCAATTTTTCTTAATCAGATTAAAATGAATATGTTTAAGAACAAACCAAAGACAAAACCGGCGATGTGCTGCGGAAGAAGTAGAGAGAAGTCTCATAAAAAGTTAAAAAAGGAAGACAGGCCGAAAGGTACAAATAAATTATATGTGAAATAAAAGGTAGTCCTTAAATTCCTTATTTTAATGTTGTGGCGAGCTTCACAGATGTGATATATGGACTGTAATTCTAAAATAGGTTCTCAAAGAATGTCAATATTTATTTGTTATCGATATGTTATTTTCTGGTTCAAAATAAAGTAGGGAGACAAATGTGTACACTTTTTTCTGTATTTCTATAAATCTTCAGGAAAATATCCCTGTATTGTCTTTCATTAGTATATATATTTAAAGAAATCAATGCCAACTCCAGGAAAATTTCAAAATTGCCATTCTTTCAATTAAAAGAAATTCTGCCGAAGTTTTTTAACACCATTGGAGTAATGCAGTACGGTATATATCTAAATTTGCTAACACTCGATGCAACAGTACAAGCACTGTGAACAATGATACTTTCCAAAGTAGGAAATACACCCATGAGTCATCATACTTTATTTTGAACCAGAAAATTAGATGGGCATGAGCAGCAATTATTTCATAAATGTGAACCTAGAGGACAGGTGAACCGTAACCAGGAGATATGTCCCTGATTTATATTATTCTTCTCTCACTATTGTAGATATAGATGCTGACGTATCAAGTTCAACTGTAGAAGTTGAAGAAGAAGCAACCGTCATATGTACAGATGCAAACTTTAGACTGATGAAAGATGGCAGCCCAAGCGAATATGAAGAATATCTATTCTGGGAGAAGATGAGGGAAATAGTTCTTGGAACATCAGTCAATTTGAGTGTGTGTGGTAAAACGTTGAAGAAGGGGTTGGCCCACTTACGCAACATCTGTTTAGGATCACTACTAGTGCTCAACTCACTCTGGCTTATGTTACTTAGCGTACTATATTTTAACGCGGATTTAAATCTGGTGAAATTGAATGTTTATGGACTAATTGCCGGGACGGTGTATGGGCTGGTGTTATTGGTCCAAGTTGTTGGTTTGATATCACATCGATTTGAAGCGGTGTTTGCAAGATATGCCGTGAAAATCTTTGGGGGGACAATACCAGTGTGGGTGTTTAGAAGAACAGCTTGAATGAAAAACAAATTAAGACAAATATTGCACTTCGTTTTTCACTGAGTTTTTATCATGTTTTATCATGTTCATTAAGAGGTAACACATTTTGGTATGTAAAGTCAAAAGAGTAATAATTAATCTTTTAATTGAATAACCTTACTACATCTACGTAGGTGCGTTGGTGATAGTTGCTGTTGAAATACAACTTTAGTCTTGTATGGATGAGCTAGTTTTACGTAAGTGCTCAGATAATACACACAGAAATTATAATGATATGTGTTTCTAGCCAATAAGAAGTTGAATAAATGATATAAATATTGAAGATAAACTTTATCATAGACTATACTCACAGATATTAGTAAATAGCTTTAACCTTGGTTCTTCCAACTGCAATTGGACATTCTAGTTTGCCATCTTGTAAAAGCAAAGTACTTAGATACTTTAAAGTCTTAGCTTCAGATTAAGAAAACTTAGATGATAGTAATTCTCTGCAAGAAATGTTTATTCTAGATATTGCTTTCAATATCCGTTAATTCTACTATAAGCATAATTGATGATGATTTTAAGATCTCATTGGCGGAATACAATGATCTAAAGAGCAAAAGAACACGCAATAGCATAGGTATTTTCCATAACATTTTTTTTGTTATATTTATGTAAAGGTATGCACTATTATTAATTATTAATTACTTTGATGTAGAATTCGGTTGTTTCAGGGGCATGTCAGTGTGAAAAGACGCGTTCAGATGTTTTTTTGTTACAAATGGATTTTAAAGAAAATATTTTGAAAAGATAATGTGGGGTAAAGCTGAGCTCTGTTCTAGTCTGCCACACTTGTTTTTCTACTCGATATTTATGTATTATACAGGGTGGGAACAAAAAACCAATACCCTACTTCAAATCAGGATAGAAATAGTTAAGTTCAATATGGTACATTGACTTATATATCATTTTAAAGGTTATATATTTATTATACTTATTTGAGAGGCCGGGTTGCTATTTAAGGTTTCTAGATATTAGGGAGAAAATAGCGAATCTGTGGAATTATGTTAACTTTTTATTTATAGAATATCATTTTTTTGTTAGGTGAATTGATGCTTGTTTATTTTCATCATTGTGTGACTGAACTTGTTGTTTATGAATTTCAGTATTGTTTAATAACATTTTACACTTTCCTCACCAGATATATTTCATGTCTTTTAACAGACCCCTTTTCAGTACTTATTGATAATAAACAACACTGAAATCCATAAACAATAAGTTTAGTCACACAATTATGAAAATGTACAAGCATGTATTCACCTAACAAAATTATATTCTATAAATAAAAAGTCTTCCAGCCTCCAAATAAGTACAATATACCTTCACTATTGATTCTATGACATAGTGTTATATACCAAATTGCTTACCTTTAAAATTATATATAAGTCAATGCACCTTCACTATTGATTCTATGACATAGTGTTATATACCAAATTGCTTACCTTTAAAATTATATATAAGTCAATGTACCATATTGAACGTAACTATCTTTATCCGGATTTAAAGTTGGGCATTGGCTTTTTGGCCCACCCTGTACAATAGCAAAATCATTTACACAACAAATCATTTACGTTTTTAACGCATTTTTTATGTATACAACTTTCAGCGTTGTTGTAAACGCTCGCAGTTTGCGGCTGCATTCCTGTAGTCCAACTAAAGAAATAGAAACCGTACAATTGAAAGTGGAAACCGTACAATTGATCATGGAAACCGTGCAATTGAAAATGGAAACCGTACAATTGTTTCGCATGCAATTGTTCCCATTCGTAACTTCACCATGTTCACATTTTCTGCTTTTGAAAGCATGCATCTCAAACCAATTCATTCTTCAGGGAAGTCCAAAAAGTGCTATATTTACTTGACAGCCAATATTATGTTTGAACTACATTTTCTACATTAATTTAATTAATGTTTCACGTTTTGACCACACTGGATAATGCCTTTTATGTAGTTGTACATGAATCAAGACACATTTCGCTTTCTTGAGCTTGCTATTCTTTTAAAACACTCGTGCATGGATCACACGGTAATTAGCGTTAAGAACTAATGGATTACCAAATTTATCGTTCGATATATTCATGGTCACTTGATGAGTTCAACGAGCATGGATGATATATTGCCCATTCTAAGGAACTTCAAAACAAATGGATGCCTTATGTAATAAAGTGCAAAACTATTGAAATAGATCACTTAAGTGGATTTTGAAAAAATGGTTAGTGGACCCTCCAGGCCTGACACTAAACAGGGACAGTATCCCAGAAACCATTTTTGATCACGTGTTTCATCTTGCCCAATCAACAATATCTATCTAACATTTGGCTGAAACATACTGAGATACTTTACAGATTTAGTCGAGAGTTTCGCACTTGACTTATTAGCTGTAACATGTGGATAGATGAAAGTGGAAAAGATTAACTGTTTTTAGAACAAACTACTTTAGTATTTAAAGGACAACTGAAATAGCTTTTCTCAACTTGCAGCTACAAAAATGTGGTTTTCTCCATTGTAAGCCCACCATAGAGTTCTTGCGATAGCCATTATAAAATAAATGTTAGATAACTGCTAACGGTCATAGATAACGAAATAAAACTAACTGATAAATCAAATTGGCCCCCACGTGATTAGTAACGTCATATACAAAATATAGCTTTGGTTTATTGGTTCCATAGTAATCATAACGTCACGGCAACCATAGGATTGTGGTGTAAACAAATAACAAAACATTTTGGCATTATGACGTCATGATCTAATGGACCAAAACGGGCCACGTGGGGACCAGTAAGAGATCACGTGGGGGCCAATAACGTCACAACCAATTCGAATATTGCTTATTAAGCAGCTATAACGATCGTGAGAGTGAAATAGTTTTCACACTACTGATGAGAAAACATGTCCAAATACATCTATCAAAAAATTATATTGATTCCTTTAGGTTAAAAATACCATTTCATATCTGCTTTAAAGGTGTTTCCTATCTTATATTAAACCGTAGAAGTTAATAAAACTATTGTGATTTACCAGTAGTTCCAGCTCTAATCTCATATTGTGAAACAATGCCAGTTATATAGTTCACTCCTTTGATCCCGAGGCAGGGTAACGTTACAAAACGTATATGTGTAAATGATAAATTTTTACCAGGACAACTGTTTTTATAATAAAGAGAAAAGTAAATGTCATAAAACGTTTTCCAACAACAGAGTTATTGCATGGCTGTTTCAGGCTTTCAAAATACCTTACAATTAGACCAGAACCTGTAAATACTTGCAATTGTTAAGTGAGGACAGAATGTTTGAAAAGTGCTCGATGCTATACACTGCACTGGCAAACAAATGGAATTCTTTATTTCTTTTGTCGAAACTTATGAATTTTATCTTTCAAAGAGAAAAAATAAAATGCTTAACGAGATAGATTATAACTATTATTTAAAAGCACAGGGGAAAATAACGACAAAAATTGAAATAGATTTTTTCTAGGTAATGTTTTTTAGAATCTGATTGGACATTATTTGGATAATTATTCAATATTTCCCAATAACATATACATAAAAATCAACACTATCACCATTGCGACATTTTTCTAAATGATATACAATACTTGATCGCTGAAATATTACAATCGTGTCAATTTGGGGAATTCACATGCCCATTTATGACTTTCGATCTTGCAAGTTATGACATGCTATGCGTTCATATCTCATAAAATAGAAAAAACGATGCTCAAAAGAGCAATTTGGATATTGATTAAACATTGTTTTTCCAAACATGACAAATATGAAACCGACCTTCTAACAGAAATGTCATCAAGATATCGGGTCGTTGAGTATACTGTCAAATAAAACCTCATTTACTTTCGCTGCACTTAGACCATCATAAAAAATCATGGTCATCAATTATTTCTTTCTAGAATATTTCTGGTTGGAAAACAGAAGGAGGTGATTAGTATCAGAATCAAGGAGGATTAGCTCCCAGAGTGCAACATCGATATTCTGTCCCATATATGGGGATGTCGTGCAACAAAATTTGAATTCTAACAGCCGCCATTTTGTTCACTTCAACAGTTGAATCGTGAATTTTGGCCTATTCGTAACGAAAAATGCCAAGGCTCACAAGAAATGACCAAGATATTGGTTCGAATCTTTTGAACTTTTTATTTTTAATTTATGATCGGTTATAAGTTCAGAAAATAACGACGGCGTTTTCATTGTTGGAAAATATCGACTTCGATTTTGGGAGCCAATCCTCCTTGTATCAGAATGCTAGCCTCTATGCAGAAATAAACAAATCTGGACATGACTGTACACGCTCGGCGGGGCAGAAATCGACAAGACTTGACAAATTTGGGTATAATTATATATAGACAAGCCTCGATCGGGCCACTGTTCAACACCTCGTTGCTTTGACAGAGGATACGCGTTTTTTGTTTTCTCGATTTAAACCTTCGTATAAGTCAAGTTGCAATCATAATTTGGCACAAAACTAGAAAATATAGTCTACAAAAATGCGAAAATCTATTGCTAATTTTACTTTGACGTAGTCTTACGTCAATTTGACAAAAGCGAGGGACTAAATGTATGAATTGCGGCTTTATTTCAAAATCCTTTCCAAACCGAATGCATTTTTTGAGCTTGACCATATTGTATAAATTTAAACCAAATTATTATCTGCAACTTGACTTATAAGTAGGTTTAAATCGAGAAAACTCTTATTAAGGAAGTTCATCCATTTTGCTACAATGACGTTCCGTCAAAGTAACTAGTTGTGGAACAGACTGAATTACATGTGTACCCCACGAAACCCCCCACGAAAAACGCATCAGTTTAAAAACATCCTTACATCTCTTCCGATCGAAGGTCCATGTGCAGTATGGCAAGTGATTATAGACGGTCACATCTTTCTGCATGGGCACTTTCTAACCATAAATACAGTGTTTTTATTAAAACAATATGTTTTCTTTCAAGTGAAGTACCGATAATAGTAAAATATCAATCCAGCTCCCTAAAAAATATCCATGCTAAGAAAGTACAGTGAAATATATGACGGTCTAAAATCACTTGCCATCCTGCACATAGCCCTTTGTATAGGAAACACTGGAGAAGGAGTCTAATAACAATTGTCAACTTTTGGCATCCATGAATATAGACCAGACAAAAATCTTCAGAGGTAAAGACTGTTAAGATTTTGTTCCGATAATGTAAAGTGTACAGTATGGTGATATACTTTACAAAGTCAACCGAATGGAGAATTTATGTAATTATTTGTCTAAAGAAAATGTAATTGCATTTCTTGTTCGAAAAACTAAACTGATATCATATCCCGTCACCATTTCCCTTCCATACTGACTGTATACTAGATTAGTATAATAGGAAGTCGAATTAGGAAATATGCCAATTTATACTTCTAACCGTCAATGCATTGTGTTAGCCTATGTGGTCAAAATCCACAGTGGATGGTTTTACATGAATGATGCTTTTAAGTTTCGCTTTTCGTTCACACGTTTAATGAATTAAACATTCTCCAGAAAACCAGTTATATTTATAATGGATCACTTCTGTTGCCAACTCTGTTACCC